TTAAGATATGAAGGGGCCTGACCATGAAGAGCTTTATAGGTGAGGAGGAGGATTTTAAATTCAATTCTACATTTTATAGGGAGCCAATGCAGAGTAGCTAGTACAGGAGAGATGTGATCTCTTTTTCTAGTTCCTGTCAGTACTCGTGCTGCAGCGTTCTGAATTAATTGGAGCGTTTTAATGGACTCATTGGGGCAACCTGATAATAAAGAGTTGCAGTAATCCAGCCTTGAAGTAACAAATGCATGGATTAGTTTTTCTGCATCTGTCTGTGATAGTATGTGTCTAATTTTTCTAATATTACGTAAATGAAAGAAGGCAGTCCTAGAGGTCTGCTTTATGTGGGAGTTAAATGACAAATCCTGATCAAAGATAACTCCAAGATTCCTGACAGTGGTGCTAGAGGCCAAGTTAATGCCATCTAGAGTGACTATATCTTTAGACAATGAGTCTCTAAGGTTTTTGGGGCCAAGAACAAGAATTTCGGTTTTTTCTGAGTTTAACATCAGAAAATTGCAGGTCATCCAGGATTTTATGTCCTTAAGACATGTTTGTAATTTAGATAATTGATTAATTTCATTGGGTTTGATTGATAGATATAACTGCGTATCATCTGCATAACAGTGAAAGTTAATGGAGTGATTCCTAATAATGTTGCCTAAAGGGAGCATATATAAAGTAAATAGTATTGGTCCAAGTACAGAACCTTGTGGAACTCCATGACTAACTTTAGTATTTATGGAGGATTCATCGTTAACATGTACAAACTGAGAACGATCTGATAAGTATGACTTAAACCAGGTTAGGGCAGTTCCTTTAATGCCAATTTGATGCTCAAGTCTCTGTAAAAGAATATCATGGTCAATGGTGTCAAATGCAGCACTAAGATCTAATAATACAAGTACAGAGACAAGTCCATTGTCAGAAGCAGTCAGAAGGTCATTATTAACTTTAACCAGAGCTGTCTCTGTGCTATGATGAACTCTAAATCCTGACTGAAAATCCTCAAATAAACTATTGTTATGTAGAAAGTCACACAACTCTTTGGCGACTACTTTCTCCAGAATCTTAGAGAGGAACGGGAGGTTAGAAATCGGTCTATAGTTGGCTAAAACCGGTGTTCCTGTATTCTACATGTATATCAATGAGGGCAGGTGAATGAACTCATCTTTGTGTAATGCAATACAGTTCAACAGCACCACAAACAACACTCTCAAAAATGATCATTAAGTTAAGTTAACAACATAAGCAACAACTACGTTAAACAGTTTCGACAGAGTGAAACTGAACATTATAACCTTCATGTGAAGGTACAATTTATTGCTGGACTGTTGTATTAGACTGCATTAGTTTTAGTTGAGTGTTGTACCTAATAAAACAGATTCCCCCCCCCCCCCACCAATGTTTTGTTACATCAGCGAGAGGAGCTGCAATGCCTTGACATACTTTCTGAAATCCAGCAGGTAGCTCCTGTACTACCTGCTTATGCATAATAAGCATGAATGTCACATAAACCCTATTTTGAAATAATCCTGCAGACTGCTACAGTTACATGTTCACAATGTATATTTTTCATACAATATAAAATATACAGCCAGTGCTCTCACTCTGTTATTTTTCTTGTACTCACAAAAACCTGAATCAGACAGTGTGAGCGTAACAATATTGTAACAATTTGGAAAAGATGTGTACACATAGTCAAGGATTTATAAGTAAAAAAGGATTAGACCAGTTAAAGTGTCAATCAGTCACTGCTGATCCCAATGTAGGATTCAGATTATGTATGAATGCAGTCAGCCTTGTGCAAGATTTATTAGAATTATCTGTAAAAAAATTAAAGGACAGTTTCTCCAGAGCTCAAATGTGTTTTATGGACACACACACACACACACACACACACACACACACACACACACACACACACACACACACACACACACACACACACACACACACACACACACACACACACATATACACACACCCCACACACACACACACACACACACACACACACACACACATACATACATACATATCAGAGCACAGTGATAAAGACCAGAATGCAGACCAGCCTTAAAACATACTCTTTCTTCTCAGATTAGTGTTCCTCATTTAGCTTTTCTCCTGGTTAACCTTGAGCTTGGCACCTTTCAGAGTGTAGCAGAGGGCGTCTCAGCATAAACTGTCAGCACCACACTGTGGGGATAATAAGGAGGTCCACACCAACTTCTGTTGTTGGCCTCACAAGTCCACCTGAACCTTTCTGTCACTGTAATTATCACTGATTTAACACATGAAGATATCTGCAAATATCTGTCCCATTTATACAGTTTATATTGATGCAGATGGTAAATATTTTCCTTTCATTTTGACCATATTTTTATTAAAGATCTATTTTTAAATTTCTATTATTTATTATTTATTAAAATTCTATTTCTATCTGATTCAAAATCCAAAGACAGACCTAACTAAGGTCATATTTATATATATATATGTTATATGTTGTTTAATTCAATTTAAGCCAAATGAAACGGTCTGATATCTTAAAACAAGAGTAGTGTAGTTACTACCAGCTCCAATCAGCTGTGTTTGTAAGAGTGGGTGTATAGATACCTCATATGTTGTTGTTTTTTGCTGCAGGTCTCTCTGACAGTGAGTCAGCACTTCGCTTCATAGAGCCTACACCACAGTCATGCTTCCCTCTAGTGGTAATAATAAATGAGACTCCCAATTCACTACAGGTTAGTTGATGATGGCAAGCTACAATGAACCTGTAGGATAAGGCTGGGAAAAATATCAGATCTGCAAGAAAAACAAACAAAAACAAACAAACAGACAATGCCAATGTTTGATCGTAGAATGAGGATCCTTTCAACATTTAACTTTTAATTTACAACTCATTTCCAGGTTTCACGCAAGAGTCCTTTCTTATGCTTTTCAAACAAATAGCAGATTAGATTACTTTGATCCCAACAGCACTTTGTCAAGACACTGTATGTAGATGTGGCAGCTATAAATTGTACTCTATGTCACCATCTGCTGGACAACAAATGTCAAAACACATTGTTGGATCAAATTGCCTGTAAAATATCCACTATATACTCATCCAAACTCAAAAAGCTATATTAACAAAAAAATGTGTATTTGAATTAAATCGAGTATAGAGTATAAAAAGGTGTGTTGTTAATTAAAACATGTACCTAACAATAAAACAATATAAGAAAAGGCAAAAATGTATCTTATAAATGTCCTAAATTAAATGAAACACAATTTAAGCCTAATTTATAATTAGTTTGGGTGATTTGATAGTCTTTTGGAGAAATGTAATAATAAGCTTTAGGCAATCTATATGTAGTACAAAGGTCTGGAAACAAACTTGTACCTCTGGATCCCATCTACAAGACAAGAACAAATGTTTGTGAGAAAATGTTTTTGGGTAATTTGGCTCAACTGAAAAACTTAAAATTCACTTTATGTTAGATCCCACTCACCTACTGTTCTTTCCATTGTGGCTGCAACCGTATAAAACATAAGCAGGTCAGAGGATGTGCAGTCGTGTGTGTATATAGACCAAACTATCCCAGTGGGAGTGCAGAACACTGCAGAAGTAAATGATATTCGAAGTTCACTGATCATATTTATTACCTAGAAGAAGATGTGGACAGAGTTCAGGAAGGTTTTGTAAAACATATCACATGAAGTCACTTAGTGCTAACAAACCCACAGTGGGGCTAGTTTGTTAGGGAAACTGGGGTGTTGGTAATAAGATCGTTAGGTAATTAGTACGGTCAGGATAAGCTATTGGGATGTGACCTTTCCCTGTCTTTCATTACTTGCACTATCTCAGCAAATCTCAGTACAACAGACATAAATAAAGGGAACCCATTGAAAAATATAAATGTTTAGCAAATATGAGTGTCATAATTAATAATAATTCAACCAACCAACAACAAATCAAGCAGTCAGTGGCTACAGCCGGGAGGCAGAGAGAGTGAAACAACACAATCGTACTTCTGAAAGAGCCCATCAGCCCAGGTAGCCGGCCTGTCTGTTGCTGACGGCTGTGTTTGATGGGGAGTGGCTGCCACTGCAGCTATTCTCAGCCTCAGACAGTGACAGACAGAGCCTGAAGAAAGAAACACAGACAGACAGGCAGAGTGACAGACAGACGGATGGTAGAAGCAGCAGTTGGGGTTTCAGTGTAGGTTCCCCACAGACTGTCTGGGTCACTGCAGACACAAAGGTCTTCCTCTCCTCTTTGCTTTGTGTACAGTGCCCTCTGTCCTTCTTAAAATAGAGAGGAGGAGAAGGCAGACAGAAACATGTCAGACTCTCTATCAAAGACGAGAAAATGGCCTGGAGGTATTGGTGAGTGTGCTGTCTACATTATGTGTACTCATTGCTTATAATGTTAACCCCTAAGCAAAACAGCGACAGCTAAACATCAGAGAATCTAACAGTGACAACTGATGTGAAACCATCTGACACCAGACAAAATCATCTGAGCAACTAGCATGCCTAGCATATTTCTTTCCTCTGCTCTCCCATTCTCTTATTCATCTTGTGCCCCTTAAGATCTATCTCACGTCCCATCGTTTTGGCCCCATCCTCCAGGTTGGGAGCCGTTGCTTCAGATGGTGCAGGTTGTTGGCATCCTGGCCTGACAATGAGCAAACGGCCCCCCCTTGTGGAGCGCCTGCAGCCTACTAAACTGAAATTTGCAAGATTTCATGACGTAATTCAAAAGAAAAGTGCCTTACTTTTGCAATAGTATCAAATTCAAGGAACTCTCCTAATTAATAAATTCAGACAATGTGTATAAGAACAGAATAATGGTGAAAAATGGGTTCATCGAGTTGAAAAAAGAAGCTGATAAATTAAAAGCATCAGAACATCTATTCTCCTACAAACCCAGGTGTCTGATGTACAGTTCAGTATTATAGACAGATTTCTAGTAAAACATTATTTTATCAAAAACTCTAAGAGACATTGACAGCTTTAAATGAAAGCAAAGCATTTTATTAGATGCAATATTCAATATTGAAATACAAAAGGCACTGAATTCTTTTCTCCCAGCACAATGCATACAGAGATGTGTGAATGAATACAAATCTTATATATTATATAATGGATGTAAGATCAAACTGTAAATTAGACCGATGTCTGTCACAAGAAATCACACAAACTGTCTTGAGTATGCAAGTGTTCTTTAGGAATGCTAATATATGTTACATCTAAGCTGATGTTTTAAAACAGTACATCAAATAAACACATATGAATGTTTTTCAATGTAAGAAATCACATAAAAAATATACATCAATAGACAAATAATTTAGAACTTGGTGGTAAATGGCTGCAAGGAAGACTTTTGAGAAGTGAAACCATCTATGAGAAAATGAAATACCTTAGCTGCATACTGGTGATGTTGAGACACTGGTTCTTTTTAAAGGAAGGTAAGTTATGGCAAGTTTACACCGCTCAAGTAGAAATTAAAGTCAGATACACATCAAATATTCACACTAGCTGATTTCTACACTGTTAATCCTCATTTAAAAATAAGATGTTCCTCCCCCCCGCATATACTGTTAGCAGGCTCAGCCTATTAAAGGAAATAGCAAGAATTGGTGTCAGTCTGCTTGAAGTAAATACATTTATTTTATTAGCAAAATATTACATTTTTTGTCAGAATTACTTTGGTTTCCTAAGAAACAACTATTGAGCAAAGCAGTGAAAGATCAAAGATGTAGTTGAAGCTGCTTCTGTAGTCTAAATTAAAGCAGAAATTTAATTTGCTTGAAATCGATTGACCCAAAACACTTTAATTTTTCACACGTGGATGTGATCTTTATGGAGAAACTCTCATGTGATATCAAATACTAAAATATACAAATATTTGTACTAATCATAGTAATTTTTCATAAAGATCTTGGGATGTTTTGGTTCCAGACATAAGTTGGGGGGGCGTCAGTCCGAGAATTCAGACTATTTTTCCCCATTGAATAATTGGCCGCAGATAAGGGGAATATTATCAGTAACATATTACAGTAATGCATTCATTACAGTTATTTTTCTTTCTTTTAAGACTGAAATTTGTGGCATGCAAAAGAGATGGTTTGCCAAAATAGGTGCAATGAAAAAGAAGAAATGCTTTTGAGACAGAGAAAACAACCAATCAATGACAAACAGAAACACTTCATCTTATTTATATTACAGGATCAGGGTCCACCATCAGCGTGGAGAAACAGAAGCGTACTGCACCCACATGAATACACGTGAGCAGCATGCCAGTACACACACACACACACACACACACACACACACACGCACGCTCGCGCACACACACACACACACACACACACACACACACACACACGCACACACGCACACGCACACGCACACGCACACGCACACACTCACTTACGGCCACATAATACACTGAAGAGCATTGCCAAAAAAGTGCACACAAAATATACAAAGCCAGGACACTGGAGTAGCAATGAGTCAACTTCATTAATGCTTTCAACTCCAGAATGCACTTGATGTGTGACTTTCCCCTACACTGCTTTTTACACCCAAACAGAGCCAGAAGAAGTCACTCTGCGGGAGACATGCTGAGAGTGTAAAGCAAAGTTAATATGGGGAATTACATGTGCATTGATAGTGGGGGTGAAAGGAGGGAGGCTAATAATGTAGCCTCACCTAGCTCAAGGTCTATACAGTATAAGGTTAGATTATCATTTGCAGCTGCTGGCTCCAAAAGGCAGAAGCTGCTACCAGAGTCACAATAACTTCCTGCTACTTTCATGCCAACCAACAAGTTCTCAATGAACCTGAACTTCCTGCTTCATTCCACTTTTTTCCGCTTTTTGTTTATAATCTAAACCTGATAACATATAGACCTTGACCTGTTAAATGGAGCTCAACTCAGTCTACCCTTAGTTTCCCTGAAAGGCTCCCTGGGCCGCGGAGGACGCTGCACCGGCAGCAGCTGTTTGGAAGGTTTTATTCGTGAAGACTCCCTGTGAAAATTCCTGCTGGGCCTTCTGGAAACTGGCCCCGGTCCGGCGGTACATGCTGTGGACCTGAAGAGAGGTAGAGAGAAGTCGTGACCAAATGGTAGCCGAATGGATACATTGGTCAGTCTGTCCACCACTATGGTCCAGACGGAAAGATCTCACTAACAGTTTTGTACAGACATTTGGAACAAGACGGAGTTGAAACTGACCTGAGAAAATCCTGTTCCATTAGTGTAATCTATGAGTCACTGGTTCTACATTAACAATTAATATCAAATGGTCAAATTGAAAATATTAAGAAAAGTGAAAGAAGTCTCACCATCTTGAGCAGGATGATAGACAGCACAGCGCAGATGGTGAAGAGGATGGCCACTATGATCATGATGGCTCCCACTGCTTTGTTTATGCTGATGATAGTGAAGGCAGCAATCCAACCACTGCAGTCAACAAACATCATTAAGTTTCAGGTGGTCTTTTAAACAACTTAACTTAAACATTATTAAACATTTGTATACATGTTAGATACAGGCACATACAGTACACAGGTAATCTAGATGAGAGTTGGGTTACATTTGGGGAGAGAAGAAGAAGGTGTTAAGGAGAGGCAGAATGAAGGTTGCCAAATGTGACTTTTTCATTCATTCATATTAAATCAATAATAAAGATAAAAGTTGTATTATTATAATGTGAATATATGCTCTTCAAGATCGAATAAAACACATTTCAAAGTCTGGGTACATTTTCATATTAATATCCTAAAAGTTTCAGAATATGTTGTTAAATTTGTGCTGCTTTGTAATTGGCACCTCATCTGCAAAGGAAAAGCTACAAAACAATAAGGGACCCTTTACTGTTTTGTACTTGACTGTCTCTGTTCTGACATTATGCAAAGTGCCATGATGAAATGAGAAATATCATTATAAAATGGAAAAGGGGAAATAAAGAGCCACTTGGACAATGGTCATTCTGGAAAGTGCTATTCTGAAATTAAAGAGCTTTTTTCAACTTCCAAAGAGTCCTTTACAGGTTAAAATATAACATCAGACACACAACTAGGAGCTTTCACATGTCAGAATACGCCCACACATAACAGGTAGAATCACACACGTATAGGTAAGAAGGTTTTTATAGTATTAATCAGGATAGGAAATTCAAAAAGTTAATATATTGTAGCAACAATAACAGAATTAAGGTTTTTGTGAATCTCAGAACAGTTAAATAGTCAACATCAAGAGAATGTAAAGGACGTGATGAAGTACACAGCAGATGTAGGAAGGAGCCAATCCATTTAAAGCCCTGTAAGTCGGCCAAAGGATTTTGAAATTAGCCCTTGCTGATCAGGACAAACATCAGGTGTTGAATGACCAAACTTTTTAGATCATCTAACCACTGTCCGCAGCATTTTGTACCAAATGAAGAACGTTAGGAAAGCATGTGCAAGGATTTGGCCGTCTGTATTGGGTAAAAGGGGCCATATCTTGGGTATGTTATGTTAGAATACTTAATATGTGGCTCAAAAGTAATGTAAAAATATCCAAGGAAATAACGAATATTTGATTTAACATCTCAAGCTTAAAGAAGAAATCTCAAAATTAAAACAGGGCATATCTTGCTGCCCAGTATGTATCAATATGCCACAACCTTAGGGATAGCGAGTGACCTAAACACACAGACACAAACACTGAGCTTTATTCAAATGGTTGCAATCTGCAACTTCACCACTAGATGCCACTGAACCTTACTAGGGCTGTCAACAAATACTCTAAATCTGATTATATAATTGATTTGCATAAAATAACGGTGGGGAAAAAAAGCTGCACTACCACGGCTGTCTATCTTGCGATCTGTTGCATGGGCCTGTGCGATTGCACTGAATGCACTGCGTTACAGAAAGGAGTCACACGTCACTTTCGTTGATTGAAAATGAAATGTTGCTCAAGTTGAAACAAACAAAATAGGAAAAAATCAACAAGGGAGGAAGAAGATCAAACAAATTACTGTTGCCATATTACCACGGTATATAGTAGAGCTGGTATACCGACACATCTCTAGTGTGTAACCCATCAGTTTACCACTTGTATTTTTTTAAAGTCAAAATACAAGTTTATCAGGACAAAGAAAGAAGAGACTGTAAGCAGAGTCAGTAAGCAACAGAAACTTACAGAGTTACCAGCAGACAGAGAGGCAGCAGGCTAGAGGCTGAAGGATGAAAAGTCTGTCAGAAGAGATGAAAGAATGCAGAAAATGAGGAAAAGAGGAAGGACAGCAGCTTATAGGCCAGCTGATTGGTTGTACTGGTTAAAGGGAAGAAACTACTGGTAAACAAAAGACTCCTCCAAATCAATCGGTAGGAATGTTGAAATAACAAATTCACCAATTTGTTATTAACATTTAGCTATTATTTAATAAAAAGTGCACGGATGTGAATAAATTCAGTTAATTTTCATGTTTAATTCTGACTAAGTGTTAATTATTCATAGATCTGTGCAAAAAAAAAAAAGTAAATTCAATGAAGGGGACTTGGAGTTTTTTAACTTGCTCATGCTACATTTGAATGCACCGTATACAATGTATGTATTGCCCAGGATCTCTGAAGACACAATCCAAATCATTTAACCTTTAACTCACACGTCAAAATTAAACATTCTGTGACTCACCTGTTCCCCCACCTGGGGATGCCTACAGCCTGGATGATGAAGATCACCACTTGGCAGAAAAACACGAAGAAGAAGAAGAAGAAGCTGAAAGAGCTGTCAGTCCTGAAACACAAGAAAACATGCATTTTACTTTTACACTTTAAACTATTGTTGAGGTTAGTTTCCCTTGTCAGTTAACTTGTAATAAGGTACAAAGAATATAACACATAAGCTAGCCATGTAGATAAGTGAAATATATAAAGACCTTCTTCAAGGGTTTTCTTCAGGTTACATCTTCTTTGGCTTAATATGCAACACAGGATAAAACAATACGCCAGGAAGCTCAAATAAAAATATATGTTGCTCATAATTACAGCACTGATTTCAAGAAACAGTAAGTATTACTATGCATGTTATAGAGTAATTAATCAACTGGAGTGTTACAAAGGCCACACATACAGATTCTCAGCAACAAAGTGTCATTCATAGAGTGAGACTCACTTGAAGGCTTTGTAGACGGGCCGGTACCAGCAGAGGAAGGAGCAGGGAGCGAAGAGGATGAGCCAGAGGATGGAGAGGCCAAAATCCACACCATAGCTTGCATTAGTGGTGAAGTAAGCCAAACAAGCCAACAGGTTGAGGAACAGAGTCATACAGTTGACTGAAGAAACAGTGGAGAGAGATAAAGATCAATGAGAATAATATGATTACTGATATTGGCATCATCTTCATTTATTTCGGAAACAGGAACACCTCCATGGCAACTACTGATGAACTTAACACAACTTGTAATAACATTATAGTAATTGTCTAAAAATCTATGTTGCTATTGGTATAAATATATTTCAGAGAATCAAAATACATTACATTTTTAAATGTATGTTAAGTATGTTGAGACATCTCAGGTTTTGTCCTAGTTTCTTTATACAAATGCAAAAATGCTAATGCATAAAAATGTACAATTCTTATTGCAAACAGAAACTGTATCATATATCTGCTTACATTTCATCCCATATGCACACATGCACACCTATCATTTTAATGTACTTACACATCCAGAGATAGTACATCATCTTGCAGACTCTCTGGTACTCTGGGGGGATTTCCTCTGAGAAGTCCTGATAGAAACATGGTTTGATGGGGAAGAACTTGGGAAGTGGAGGCCAGTTGTTTGCTTTACCTGTCAGGACAAGAGACACAACATCTACCCTGTTAGATGAAAGAGCTGGACTCAATTTAACCAAAGGAAAAGGACCAAACAAGACATGGTGTATATACAATAATCTCCTGTAAGTACATCTTAACAACAGGGAATCTGTGGTTATTTTTAAAATGTTGACACATTCATAACAGACCAAGAATTCAAATTAAAGATAGGCAGTTTCACTTTAGAACACATTTTAAAATTAAATACACATTTATCAAGTGTGTGGGAGTCGATATGGCACTGGCACTACAAATTTCAGCATGTGACTAAAAATCACAAATATTATACTGAGAGGGATATAGGGAAATATACTATATTGAACAGAACAGCAATAACATAACAGGCAGACAAACATTAACACATTCAAATTATGTTTTCTATTGATCAAAATGTTCATCATAATTAACTCAAGCATGAAATGATGAAGTGAAGTTAAAATTGTCCGTCTTACATTTACAGAAAAACATATAAGTTACTTAAAGTCTTTAAATATAAGTAACTTTAAAACACAATGTTTTAATGATTTGTTGATCAATAATATGTGTGTGTAATTGACTAATTGATTCAGCACAATAGTGACGTAAACAAACAGGGAGGCCTTAGTTTTTTGTAAATATAAATTCAAGCTGAAAGGTGACACAAAATGTGTAGTCTGTGCTGTTTCTGATAGAACTGCAGAGGAGAGGAGAGGTTTTGTCTTTAATGACCTGTCGGGCCTCTGCTCTGTAGCTCCTGCTCTCTGCGGTCCAACTCGGCAGCTTTTCTCTCCAGCTCCTCCTGCTGCCTCAGCAGATTGGCCTGAGCTGCAGCAGCAGTTGCCTGAAAAAAGAGGAGTCGGAAACTTTACTGTAGTCAACCAACGTATTGAATGTACAGGGGTTTCACATTGTATACAAATGGTGCAGATACAACGAGACCATGCTCACACTGCAAGGAAACAATGCAACATTTGTCAAACACATATCAGCCTGTATTATATTTTATATATAACATCTAAGGTAGGGGTGACCACTATAAACTGTTACAGAAGCTAAATGTAGACATCAACAACCATTCTGTGTTAATGAAGTCATACATACATTTTTAAAAAGGCCATGATACTTTATGGTCCAAAATACACATTTATGATTGTAGCAGATGTCTGACTTGGCAGAAAATAGGACACAGGTGATCTGTAGTGTAAATCATTAATATTTATGATATCAGCAGTGGAACAAGGAGGCTCATTATAATATTGTATAAATTGACTCGATGTTTGTGTAGCCAACAAACAGCCTCAAGTAACACTTGCAATCCCAAGAGACTAAGCAGAATGGATGCAGAAAGCTCCTTGTCCACCTCAAGTTATTACAGATATGACATCTATGTGTCTAAAACAAGCAAACTGTTGGCTAAAAGTCAAATTCAGACTGACTTTATAGTGTATCTCAGATGTTGCTGGGGTAGCTATCCTTATGTCTATATAAACAATTACTGAGTAAATATGACAACCATAATACTGCAGTTGTTCCTTGAGCCAAACACAATACCATACATTCTCCATCCAGGTTTCTTAAAAACAGGACATGGTTTTTCCATTATGCCTCGAGGTAAACATTTGATGTAAATGATTCATTATTTGCTTTGACAGCAGGCAGCAATAAAATGCATCATCCTCTAACTTTGATAAAAGTGGGTCTAGTAGCATCTTAGGTATCACTGCTGAGGTAGATTTTTGGGTCATTGATCATATGGTGTACCAACTGTGTGAACAAACACAGAGCTGCAATACAATATGCATTTGACACAAATATATAGGCACTGTACCTAAGAAAGTACCCGAATCTACTTCAACACAGTATTTATTCAGCAGCAGTAGATAAGTGGAGGGTTTGGCAGACAGAGAGAGGCTCAGTATGGCTGACTCACCTGCGGACTGGGCTCTGTAGACGGCTGTAACACAGCAGGCTGGTAGGGAGAGGTGGAGGCTGGAGTGGTCTGAGCAGCTAGGCCATCCTGGCAAACAAATGACGTGATTGTGAGGAAAACTACCCAAGCCCAAGACAATAACTATACAGGCAGGAAGGTGACAGATAAAGAAAATTAAGAAGATTAACCAGGAAGAGGAGAACAAAACCAAAACATACAGGCAAAACAGCAACTCCAAATAAAAAAAGAAGGAAACAAGGGAGGAAAAGATAAGTAAAACGAGATAAAAACAGTAAAGATGAGGATTGAGGAGATGCCAAAGCCAATCTTAAGATGACCATGGAGAAGAAAAGAAAAAGGAAAAAACAAGAAGATAATGACACAGGTTTCAGATGTCTTACTGTGGGATGGGCAGGGAAAGGGTTGTACTGGTCAACTGGTTCTACGCTGGAGTTGGTCACTTGTGTGACCGAAGGGTCCTGAAACACAACAAAACATCTGTCACTCATAATTATCAGTCACTCAGCCAATCACCACTGATACATCTACAGAAACCAGGTCAATGAAATTAATTCTCAATCCAGTTTCAACTGCTTTTGACTTTCATTATACTGAGCAAGGTCAGAGCTGCTGGAACAAGTAAAAGTGAACAGACTTATGCAAAAGAGGCTTAGATAAACTGCATATTGGGGGTCATTGTGATTGAATTTTGAAGTATAGGACAGTGTCTCTGATAAAAAAGGCAAGCCCAAGGCAGGGTTTGGAGAGTAGTTAGCAACAGATCAGTGCAGTTATACTGTACTCCTTGGTATTTAAGTGGATATAAAGCGTGAGATCTGTGGGTTTGTTCTCCAAACAAACAAAAACATTCTCAACCTTGACTCTTGATATTTGAGCTATGAAAAACACACTCACAAAATGTATTTACTGCTGTTTGTCTCATCTTCAGAGGAACTCTTCCTTTCATTTCCTGAAACACTGAAGGTAAACCTTAGAAAAACATAAACCCAGACTGTGGTATCTGATAGCATGCTATGACCAAGTCATAAAATGGAGTACAACAACTTCCAGCTATTGTTGCAATAACCTCTACAGGTCCTGATCAATCATTACCTGGTAAGAACTCAAGTCAGACACGAACCATTGGTAAACATTAATTGACTTTAACCTCACAATTAGTTTAACTGTCTCTAACTGATAGGAGAGGCCAGTCTGACAAGTATTTCAAAAGCAGATTTCTATAAGGCTTTAGCCCTGAATTTTCCAACCACGCTGACAACACTCAAAATTAAGGATGTCCTGTTGTCACAGGGATAAAAAAAAAAAAAAGCACCTTGAACACAAAGCTACATGGTCAGTTTGAGACAGTAGAGAAATGCCTTATTACGTTTATGTATCATAGAATATCATTTTAATTATTAGGTGTTCAAATCTGAAAAATGTGAGGTGGTACCTGTAAAAGCTCTACACTACATCACACGTGCGCATACAAACACACAAAATCAATCATAGAGAGGTCGCTCCCTCTCCTCTTGTACCATGTGCAAGCAGTTACTAGGCTAGGTGTGGGGGTTGGGGCTCGTTTAACCTTCTCTCTCACTGTTTCTTTCCGGATCTCGGGATTATGGTGTCCCTATAGCATGTAAACAGTTTGTTTGAGCTTGTAAATATTTACATTGTTTTTTTGATCTTCTCCCACCCTTTTTTAAAAAAAAAAAACCTTTTTACTTAAATATACGATGTCCCTGAAGTGAGTTTGTAGTTATTATTTATTTCCATCGCTATATACTATGTCAGTGAAGTGATGTGATGAGCGATTCATAATAATGATAATAATAAAATTCATACAGAATTTAAAAAACAACTTCAATTTTGGACATGGTTGCTGAGTCTGGGACAGTTGGTAGTAGAATTGCAATTAATGTGTCAAATAAGGTGCTAATAATTACAGCTGCAATAATTAATTTGATACATTTATAGAACAGAAAATTAGTCTGAAAGAAATATGATAATTGATTGTTTTTTTTGTTTTATCTGGATGCAGCTTCTTCAATGTGAGAATGTCCTACTTTTTCCCTGTTTGAGAAAAAAATCAGCAGACATATTAATGAAAAATATCAAGTTGTCCCTTTGTTAACAAGGGATCAGTGCAATTTGTAGATCTCTAGTCGTACAAAGTCCTGCGGCCATGTAAAAAATGCATTTGTGTTGTGCTAGTGACCCAATAAGCTCTGATGTTGCCTGAGTACCAGGGAGTGAGGATTTTTACAATTCCCTGATAACAGGGAACAGTCTGGAAAACATCACATGATATTCCAGAAATTGTATGACTGTTTTACTACAAGTTGTAAAGCAACTGGCACAACTTATTTGCATGTTTTAATGGATGGGTTCACGGATGTAAATACATAACATTTTATTTTATGATGCCAAAGTACACTACAGTGCCCCCCGCAACAAATAGTCTATTTTGATAATGGTAAATTGTAAATGGTAAATGGATCTGTACTTGTATAGCGCCTTTCTAGTCTTCCGACCACTCAAAGCGCTTTTACACTGCGTGCCACATTCACCCTTTCACACACATTCACTCAGTGATGGCAAAGTCCATCAAACAGAAACTAACTCATTCATACACATTCACACACCGATGCACGGCATCGGGAGCAATTCGGGATTCAGTATCTTTCTCAAGGATACTTCGACATGTGGCACCAGGAGCCGGGGATCAAACCAACAACCTTCCGATTAGGGGACGACCCACTTTGCCTCTGCGCCACAGCCGCCATTAACAATCAATTAATGGTTTTAGTAACTTTTCATGTACAAATTCAAAACAAATAGCTGGTTCCAGCCTGAAATGTGATGCTTTTGGAGCTTTTCTTCATCATATCAGATAGAATACTGAATATCTTTAGGTTTTGGTATGTTGGTCAAATAAAACAAGCATTTTTCATATGGGAAATTAGGCTGCAGTTGATGATGACAAAATGATTAGTCGATTAATGCAGAAAATAATCTGCAGATAAATCAATAATGAAAATAATTGTTGTAGCCCTAGTCCAGATAAAGCTGCATCTGTCATAGTTGTTTTAACAGAAAAAGCAGGAGAATGGATTGTCTGTATTATAGGACTTTAGTGAAATTAATATACAATAAAACAATTTTTTGACAAAGCTAAACCGCACAAACAACTGTCAGAACCATTTATATAATCTGTGTCAACAGAACGTCACATGATTACCCAACACGTCACTCACTGGTCACCATTACTTATCTGTTCGAGAGACACCTGTAAACATTCCCAGCAGGAAACAGAGGGATGCCTGAGCAGTTTCACTCCTTAACACTTTTTAGGGGGCATTTTCAAAAATGAATGTTGCTCAATAAACTGTTTAACAGTTCAAAGACACAGCGTATCACATCCTTTTAGACTATTTATTAACTGTCAACTTGAGATTGAGTATGAGAATATATTGCCAGGGTATGTTTTAAATGCCAATGACACTTTTAAAAGGAGAAAACGATCTTAGCCTGTGGATATATTCAAAACAGCACATTATGCAAAATGTGTTTACTTCATACCCACCGTGCTGAGTCATAAATGAGAGGCTGTTTGTGTCTTTTGATGACATAGCATATAGACAGCAATGAATAAAGCAAAAAAACCAAACCAAACTGATGACAGCCACTAAGCCTTTCTGAAATAAAGACTTAGCTGGGACAAGCCAAAACAAGACATCACTAGGTTCAAAACAACAGCAACGGTATGTGGAGATGCACAGAAAAGCACCCTTCCCTTGATATTCATGTAAACTTCTATACCAGTCAGGTCTGGAAATGTACAAATTCTGACCTAAATGAGAGTAAAAATAAAGTTGGGATAAACTCTGCACCATATTCTGATCTTATAATCGTTGTACCAGGAAACAGGACTCGCTGTGATAACCACTGGTTGCCTAGGTGTGGCTGTTGTACCCATTTCATAACTGCAGTTGGATATTGCTACTAAATAGACTTAGTCACAATTACAGCCCTACATGCTAACACCTTTCAGAAGTAAATGGTCATAAAAGCCCACTTCAAGGTCAAAAAGGGTGCTCATTTTCAGTTATTTTTCAGCTTTGTCCTTGTGACATTTCTCAAAGAGTTGGCAGCGTATTAACTGTTTTACTGTCAGGCTTATGTGAATGTATGCATGTGATAGTGAACTGCAGCACTACAGCATACAAAACATATTGCAGCTGCTGCTAGGTTTTTTATTCCGCCACTTCAATCCACACCCAGCAAACAAACAGCTGTCTCCACTGACGTCATGGCCATTGTGCACCTGATATAATAAAGTGTGACTGCACTACTGTAAAAGTGACTGTGTTATGCAATGTCACTAAAATCATAGAAGAGTTTTCACCGATTCTGAATTGTGGTATTTAGTCTGACACGAGTAATTTACCTTAAAAATGTTGAAGTCTGGTTGCCCTTGAGTCATGAATTTGTTGTTTTACAATATAAACAAATGTAAAAGAACAGCGAGTGTGCTTAACAGATATGAGCAGGAAATATTACAGCATACCGACCTAATGTGGTACTATAACCTGACGAGCTCTTATCTTGTACAGTAATCAAAGGCACAGTAATCTGGGTGTCCGAGTTGCTCAGTGGGCTGTCACATATTATGAATTTACGCTGCATGTCAATTCCCTCCCATATTTCTAAGGAAGGTCCTTGTGAGTGAGCCAGTTAATTTCTTTTCATGCAAATGTTCAACATTAGCTACTTCATACTACACAATAGGAAATTAAAGATGAAGAAGATGGAGTAGTTTTACAACAACAAAGGAATATCATATCCATGCGAAAAAATACATATGAAGTGAGTTGGGATTTCAGACAGACTCCGAAGGTTTTCTTGTATCAGATAATAAAAAAAACCCTCAAATTTTGTTGAAGTAAGTTGGAATTTACCACGCAGGGAAGGTCAATCCATTGCTATGGTTATCACAGCATAAACTATTTGAAATGTAGGATCCAGCATTATTAAAGTTTGACCTGTATTAGAAAATAAAAGTCACAATATCTCTTTACTGATTCTATGTCAACCATTCTTCATTTAATTTGTTGCTCGCAAGTGAAAACTTTATAAATGTGAAATATTGAAATCCTGCAGTGTCCCTTTAAAGACCTGAGCACCCTAAGGATCATTACATGTCAAAATAAGAAACAGTCAGCCTACTTTTACATCACTTGACTTTTTCCATCTACATAAAGAAACACTTTCATCTGTAGGTCAGCCACTTTAACATAAAGACACTCAGTGTTAGATGGCCTACTTCTGGACATTGAACAATATTCAAACCACTAACCTGCTGCAACGTAGAGCTATCTGGATTTAAACATTTTCAGGACACAAACACAATGATGTTACAGAGCTTTTTATAGACTGAATGAACTTCTGGGCGACATCCTGTAGATCAGAAGTCCTTTTCAGGAGAAAAGCAGCAGCAGCAATGGAGGTACAGTAGCCTGAAACTGAGTGTCTCTGGGTAATGTAGGTGACATTATAGGACTAAAAACTATATCAAATCATAACCAACATTATTAGGAAACCCACACAGTGATAAAAATTCCTTTCAAATTGGATAGTAACACTTGTAACGTGGCTAAAAAAAAAAAAAAAAGGTTTGACACACATTCCTTGTTGGCTACAGTTTAACTTTCTGCAACTAATCTAGCTGAATCCCCGCCCTCTTCTCAAACAAACTGCGCTGATTGTTTGAAGGCTTGCCAATCATGCTGTGTTTACCAAATGGCGTTCAAGAGAGCAGGAGTTGATCCCTCCCCGACATCCACCCAACAAGTTTCCTGGCGTGCTGGCTGCCTTTCAACGAATGATATGTCAGCACCCTGACTCCACTGTTACCTTACCAAGCTACTCAACAATATCTGAAACCACACACTTACATTGAAGGGGTTGTCGCTGACAGGCGCTGCGAACGGGTTGCTATCAAATCCCGACATTTTGAAAGGGCTGCGTGCTGTTTTGTCCTCTTTCAAACGGGGAATAAACAACAAACTCTCCTCTGTCGTTGAGTCGCTGCTGCTACCACTTCCTCGAATGAAGTTTACCGCGCAGGCGCACTCAACCAGCTGCACAGTGACGTGTATGTCAGTTGACGCACATAGGACGTTGACGAGGCAGAGTGCGCCACCTGTGGATGTCAGTTTAATAATACAATATTTATATTAATTATATCTGTAACAACTCTAACTATGTGACAGACAACCTGCATTATAAACTCGGGTCAATGGAGTTTGAAAGATGAGGCCACAAGTGGGGAAGGTCTGTTAGAGGCTACTGAGTTGCATTGTGGGAAATGTAGGATACAGTGTTTTTGAGGTTTCACTCATAGGACTATAATATATATATATATATATATATATATATATATATATATATATATATATATATATATATATAATATCCTGACCTCTGCTGCATCAGTGAAGTATTAAATTGCAGGAGCTGCTAATATTACAGCCTATGTGCGGTTCTCAGCTCTGAGTTTAGTGACCATGGACGTTATAGCATTTTTATCACTTAGATTTATTTTATTTATTATTTATTTACTTTGGATTACACGGTCTTCTTTGAACAATAAATAAACAATACACAAAACAAAACAACAATATGGACCAATACAGGCAATATAGTATATACATTAAATCCACCATTACATTATAGGTCTATTTCAACAGTAATAATATGTAAAAATAAAAATAAAAAACTAATAAGAATACATAATAAAATAACATAAATACTATGCTTGGTTAAAGACTATGCATTTTTTATTTTTAATAGATCACATATCAATAAATTAAGCTTCTGTACAGCTTTAGATATTTTTGGCGCTGATAAAAAAAAACCCATTAATAATTTAATTTGGGTTGTTTTTATTTTACATTTGACATTTTAACGTTTTATGAAACTGAAAAATAAAAAAATAAAAAACTCAACGAAGCCGCTCGTCGATCGGTGACGTCAGCAGCGCTCTGACAGCCGACGTCGCAGCCATGGAGGAAGTGAGAGGTGAGTGAGATTTTCTCCCTCTTAACTGAGTCAAAATCATCTGTTTTATCGATGAACACTGAGCTAGCGTCTCCTGCAGCGGTTTATTTCCATTACAGGACACCTGATACGTGTTATAGACACGGTGAGACTGAACTAACGAGCCCGTTGTTGTAGCATCCGTTATTTCAGCCGGCGTTTTGTATGTTTTAATGTGAAGCGTTCAGAGCACCACTGTTAGCACTTACAGGGGGGATAACCACAGACTGGATAAATACAGATAACACATGGCTTAACCTTTTTTTTTTTTTTTTACCACTATATAAAATGTCTTCGGGCGGACGCAGTGGCTCGCAGACGTAAACCTGCTTACTGTGTGTGTTTCTGTCAGTGGACGGTGCATCGTCAGCTGGCCGGTGTAATGTATCCCCGGCGGAATCTGCTCCCCCGGTTTTACTGATTTTTTAATGAGGGTATATGTATCTGGGCTGGCTGTGTATGATTATTTCTCCCTGTCAAAATATGCCACGCCTTATTGAAAGACAAAGCTGATGTTGCAAGTTAACAAACCGGTTGCCATGCCACATGGAGAGGCAGCAGGGGTTTTGAAAAGACTTGCATCCTGCTTTGGGAAACAGTTGGACACACAGATAATCAGTGACTCAATGCAAAATGATGTGCACCTTTCAGGGAGTGTAATGTAGTTCTGTATTCATTCATTTTTGTTTCTAAAATGTGGTCCCTCCTCAGTGTTTCCCCTCACCTGTGCCGTGCAAAACTATGCATGGGGGAAGGTTGGTGTGGACAGCGAGGTGGCCAAACTGGTGGTTGGTGGAGACCCACTAGCTGTCATAGAGGCTGGCAAGCCCTATGCAGAGGTAAGGTTGTTACTGGGAAGGGACTGGTGCCAGAGATGTGTGTCTGTATATCTATTGGAGGTCAAGTTTTGTCAAAGTTGGACCAGAAATATCTGACATAGCATGAGTTGAAATGTTTGATCTGTAGCTTTCATTTTACTGTGAACAGCAGTTCTAGGTCAATTAATGTCATTTATATTTTTAAACACCAGAACAGAGTTTAAAATTAGTTTTTCCTTCCAGTTCTCTGACATATCACTTAGAAATTTGACATTAAATTGTAGGACCCCTTATAGATAATAAGATAATAACAGAATAATTACACAGATGCTAACACTTAATCTTTACATTATATATTATAGGATATTTAAATTTATTGACATTGTCCTCTACAGTGTGCAAACTCTGCCTCAGTACAAAGATCCATGATGTTGTTCCTCCGTGTCTTGGCAGAGAGCTGTGTTCTCTCCGTGCCTTTCATAAGTCTTTCCTTATTTAGCTACAGTAGCTCTACAGTGTTTGTCATGAAGGTCATTAGTTCAAGCTATGGCAGTGGTGACATTTCCATGTACCACAAGACACATTAATGTCACATGTCATGGTTGGTCATTATGTGATTTCATGCTGCTAGTCAGAGGGTGGTTTTGGATGTTTAATCCAACATTACAGTATGTGATTTAGTGTTAAGCATGTCTGTGACATGTTAGTCTTACAGTTTCATGTCCTGTTACAGTCGTGGTAAATTTTTTATTGATTACATTATAGCTTTGTGTAAGGGGAAATAGACATAATCTTAAAATGTATGTGTACATTGTAATACAAAATGAGAATTTACTCAAAAATCAGCAATGTGTTAATATAGTGGAACTTTCCTTCAGATTGAAAACACATTTAATCCATGACAGTATTTAATTGGGAGAGTACTGACACATGTACACATGTAGGGCTGATGCAGGACACAGGTTAGAGAGACCAGCCTGTACCAAAAAAGTTACCAGTGTGAGCCTCACCGCTGCAGTCAGTGTGTGTCCTTGATAGACTGTGTCCTTCATTTACATTCGAGTCATTAGACTAATCCAGAGTGATTTACACTAAAATGGTTGGGGTTCCTCCTTTCTCACTGAGTATAAATCACTTTGGATTACAGCATTAGATAAATTGGTTAAATGTAAATGTATGATCCAGCCCTTTCTCTCCCTCAGGAAGCTCGTTAAGGAGGACAAAGGAACAAACAGTACTGCCACGTCTACATTTTTCAAGTTTTATTTATTCTCAGATTAATTATATTTTTAATTGGGATTTGGAACTTATTGTTGTTTCATCGACCTTCTAGTCACAAACCCACTAATTCAACCTTTCGTCTTCTTCTGTTTCCACTCACTATTATTAAGAGTATGTCGAAATTCCAATATTGGACATTATTGACGTAATCTCTGCTGTCTCTTCCAGTTGTGGATGGGTGCTCACCCAAAAGGTGATGCCCAGATTAAAGACAACAGGATCGCACAGACTACACTGGGACAGTGGATCGCCCACTTCCCTGCCTGCCTGGGCTCCAAGGTCAAAGACACCTTCCAGGGACAGCTGCCTTTCCTCTTCAAAGTCCTCTCTGTCAACACAGCCTTGTCCATACAGGCCCACCCCAACAGAGTGAGTACACAAACACACACACACCTACACAGTGTTCAAATTCTGCATGACATGACTCATTATTCTGAATTGGGAAATTGTTTAGCTTGGATTTTTTTTAATGATTACAACATTATACTTTTTTCTGTGTTTGAATACAGCTGATTAAATTGGGAAAGCTGTCAAACAAAAACATTCTTACAGATACAAATGTTGTAAAGCCTTTTGTGTCTGATAAATTGCCTCAGGTGATAACGAAAACGAACAGGGTGTAGAGTTGCTGTAGTCCTTCTTCATCTCTCGTTGAGGCTACATTGGGTGGTACTAGCATAACACACCCGAATCTCTCACTAAACTGTTGGTGGTCGAGTTGCATTGTGGGTAATGTAGGCACCAGGTTTTCAGAACAATGCATGGAACTGCTGCGTCAGTTTTGATACTTAAAATAAAAAATATTTTCAACAGGTACAACACATCTTACATTGTACACTTTTGTCTTTGAATTTTTAAAAAACTTTCAATACATACAATACAATATTATAGAAGTGCAACCATTGACAGTATATATAACACTAACTTTAGTGCAACACTAAATGTTTTTTAAAATATTGCCTATTTTGAGAGAAGAGGGCTGTGTGATGGGAAGTATTTAATTTGTTGTGTGTCTTATTACAAATGAATAATTACTATCATAGTATCTTTGTATGGTTTTTATGATTGCTTAAAAGGAGAGCTTAATTCCCAGTCTAAAAAAAAAGACTGAATGTTGTCTCCTGAAATGTCTATTTTGAAATTTCAGTGACATTATCCTGTTGTCACTAACAGACAGAAATCTAAATACAGTATATGGTTATAAAATAGATGGATGACTGGCATGCTCATTTTTTTTGCATACTGTCTTTGGCACTCTGCCTTCCCTCTTTACTAACCCATTTCCCTTTCTGTCATTATGGTTTGGTCAGGAGTTAGCTGCTCGTCTCCATGCTCAGTTTCCGGAGCACTATCCAGACAACAACCACAAGCCGGAGATGGCCATCGCTCTTACCCGCTTTCAGGGCCTCTGTGGCTTCAGACCAGTGGAGGAGATCCTGGGATACCTTAAATGTGAGTCCCAATGTCCCACAGAGTCATTAGAGGGTTTTGGATTGATTTTGCAGTTACTAGAGAAACAAGGGGTTTTGGTGTCAAACCCGTACATTTACTGTATATCATATAATGGATGTGAAGGTAAAGTACTGTGCAGTTCATAAATTCATACCTTGTATCTGTGTGTGTGTGTGTGTGTGTGTGTGTGTGTGTGTGTGTGTGTGTGTGTGTGTGTGCACCCATCAGCTGTCCCAGAGTTCCGAGCTCTGGTGGGAAGTGAGGCAGCGGAGGAGCTGCAATGCTGCATGGGAGATGTGGTTCAGACGAGCCAGGTGCTGAAGAAGTGCTTCACCAGGATGATGAACTGTGAGAAGAAGGTGTTCGTAGATCAGCTCAACATGCTGGTCAAGAGAGTCACTGAAGAGGGTGAGGAGGTTGAGGGATATAGCTAATGGAAAATTCCTGTTTTTATTCAGTTTATTTAGTTGGTTTGTCATAAAGCGTTTACCTGTCAGTACTTAAGAGTCAAAATACTGCACATGTGTGTAGAAATGTAGCATTGTAGCCTGAGCTTTCTTTATTGCACGCCCTACCCTCTCTGTCTATAGCCTGTTTGACTATAAGAGGATTGCTCAATATGAGGAAACAATCTTTAATTTCATCAACAATCTGATATCTGACGCAAGTGCAATATAAAGACAGATATATCCACCAGCTGATAAAAGTTAAGCAACACAAGTTCACCTAAAAAAAAACTATTAGAAGAAGGTCAGCAAATTTGCAAATAAAGCTGCAAGTTAAATACTGAAACATGGTGACATTTCATTAAGCAGTAAAAGCATTATAATGAAACATTAATTAAATTAAAGCCACTCTGGGTCAATTTTTCTGTTATTATAGCCTCTTTCAAATGATTCTTCATGGTTAAAATGGTGCAGTGCTGCATATGCTGCTGTAGCACATTGATCTCAGTGCCCCAGATTCAGGGAGGAAGGGGAGTAGCACTGTGCATTCCTGTCTGCCAGTGTCTTTCAATGATACTACCACCAGGAGGCGCCAGAGATTTTCTAATTCTACAAATTGGGGGCTTTAAAACTAATTAAGAAGAAGTGCAGTTCAGTTGTTCTGCTCTTTTGAAACACATTTTCCTGACACTCATGGATGTTCACCCTCATGTAGGTGCAGCAGGGAAGGACACATCAAGCAGCAACGGTGACCTGTTGCTCCGCCTTCACTCCCAGTACCCCGGAGACATCGGCTGCTTCTCCATCTACTTCCTTAACCACATGGTCCTGGAACCAGGCCAGGCCATGTTCCTGGGTGCCAATGAGCCGCACGCTTACCTTTACGGAGGTCAGATGATACTTTTTGTTTATATTCATGAGATTTACCTCCCTAGATCTTATCCAGGCTAGTGGATAACAGCAGAATGTCAGTTCGTAAATTATTGACACTTCAGCGTCCCTGCAGTGCTCCTGTGTGACAGAGAAGCAGCAGAGGAAGTATTAAAGGATATGGCCAAAAGCCAAAAAACAACAATATGTTAGTGTGTCTCTGTCAATACTTTCTGGCTTTCCTACCCAAAGTCCATTGGCTCCTCCGCAGTAATTTCCTAAAACAGCTGAGCACTGTAGTTTTTAGCAAACGTTACTCAAACAGGATTAAATTTGTTTCTTTAGGGAGAATTTCCTGCAGCAGGATGGTGTAGATGGGATTTAGTCAAGATAAACTAGTATGTGTGTGTGTGTGTGTGTGTGTGTGTGTGTGTGTGTGTTGGTAATGAAGGAATATGTCACCCAGCTTTAGTTTTTGGACAACAATGGAGCTCTATGGTACTGAGGAATAAGCTACACCAGGGCTGATTGCACTAACAATGCTTGTTAATAGGGTCAATTCCCCTGTTGGTTTTGGTCCTTTTGGGACTTTCGTAATTTTTGTTAACTAGAAAATGAAATGTTATCTGATAATTTTCAAAAAACAAAAACAAGCACTGATGAAGTCACATCACATAGTAAATCATCACACATCATCCAGAAACATGGAGTTTTGTTGTCAGTCCACAGAAACATACTGTCTTCACTAACAGCTGCCTCAGCAGACCAGAATGCAATTTAGCTATAAGAGGTGTTGAGTTCACCTTTATCTTTGGAAAGAATGTTAGTCTTGCCTTTGCTATCAGTGTTCCTGTCCACTCATATAATCATCTCACTCCTTTTATCAAATGGCATTCTGGGAAATCTCTAATTGTGAAAGTAGATGAGGCCAGTGGTGGAGACGAAATAACTCCAGTAATGCATTTAACATCACATTGTAACAGTATCTGAGAATTGATTTTTCCATTTGAAGGAGAGTCGACTGCCCACTCTTCTTATTTAGAACTTGCTTTCCTTTTATGTCTATTCATCCGTTCATCTAGACTGTATCGAGTGCATGGCCTGCTCAGACAACACGGTGAGGGCCGGTCTGACACCGAAATACATTGATGTCAACACGCTGTGTGAGATGCTGAGTTACAGCCCCGCCCCCGCCAGCTCCAAAATCTTTCCGTGTGTTCAGGACGCTTCAGACCCATGTGTGTCCCTGTACGACCCCCCAGTGCCAGACTTCACTGTCATGAGGATACAGGTATGGAACCTCAGCTAACTAGATGATTACACCATTTCTTGATGATGAAACCATTAATTTAGGAATGGTTATTCCATGAATTATTTGGCCAGTGTGTCAGCGCCATAAAAGCATCTAAGGGCAATAAAGGAATAATTACAGCTTCTAGAAAGTAAAATTAGCCAATATAATTTGGGGAAAAAATAAGTTGCTTAAAGTGTTTGTCTGTCTGAAGTATAGTTCATCATGCATTGTCCCCCTTGGCTCTTCTGCTGTTGTACCCGGTCTCAGAATGTATTGGACATAAAATTGTAGTTCTGTAAAATAACAAATACACCAGAACTAATAAGAACATCCTAAAAATGTCTATTACAGTCATGTGTACACGAGTTAACAAGGTAGACACATATATTGGTAAAATCTTATCATGCTCACCTTGTTCTGTCCCATCCCTCCTGAAGGTCCCAGCCTCAGTGAAGCAGTACACTGTTGCTCCAGTCGACAGTGCCAGCATCCTCCTGGTCATTGAGGGTGACGCCACGGCAACCTGTGCCGCTGCCCTTTCCGACATCACGCTGAGGCGGGGCACCGTCCTGTTTGTCTCGGCCAACGAGAGCGTCTCCCTGCACATCACTTCTCAGTCGGGGATGACCATGTTCCGAGCCTGCTGCCTCCTGTAGCTGTGAGTCTGTGGCTGTGTGTGAAAGCTCATACTACCTGTGTGTTTTCCTCTGGTTTGACTCAACAAGTCTACACTGTGTTATGGATTGAGCCCAATGATCTCTGTGCACTTCTTAGTAGGTAGTATGCTAAAAGAGCTTTCAGACACGGCGTGTCGATGCTCGTCTGTGCCCGCTGCTCCCCCCCAACCCTAATTTGACCTGCGGACTGCTCTGCCGCCTCCAGCAGTGTTCTTTCACTTTAAAATCCAGCAGTGATCCATCGCTGTCTTTTTAACTATCCTGTTTTTTACCTGTATTGGTGCAATTACATCTTATAGAAAGAGCAGAGCATACATACCCAAATTCCTCTTAGGTACACACAGATAATAAAAAGTAAAATACGTTCACAACACTGAACAGGACACAATATAAAAAAGTGCAAATGACACTGTTAGGATCCCTGGATCCTCGAAAGGTTCCTGATGAGGCTTATGATGCAGATCGACTGATCAAAATGTTGCATGAAAGCTTATTCTTGACCTTGGAAACCGCAGTTGAGAAAACAATCTCATAAGATCAATTTAGCTTTAAGCTTTAATTCTTTTTAAGAAGAAATTCAAATGTGAAAATCTACAATTCCATGAAAGACGGCCAGACACTTTTTGCTGATAAAGGTCATAAGATATGATTGAGAGCTTAAATTCAGCTAATAAATAAACCTTTTTGTGAGATTGTTTTCTCTAAGTATTGTTCATGTGCAACTTACAGTGTGGGAGTTTTTTTTTACTGGTCTGGGTTTGTGGCATTCTCCTTTTTATTCCTAATACACTTCCAGCTGTATGTTGTTATCTTCCAATGTGAGACAGAGGTAACACACACTAACAGTGATTTATTCCAACAGCACTGAAGCAGGGTAGGGGATATGTTTACAATGGTGCAGTACACCACCACTCACTGCTTTGTACAAATACAGTACCACCTTGTTGAGAATTGAGAGAGTGTTAAAAGAGCCAGCAGATTGTCTTTCTCCAGGATCACTGGTGCAACTTCCTCTTTTATCATTTTAGTTTAGCTTGAACAAGTAAATATCCTCCTCTGGGAGAAATACAATGTTAGTATATCAACAGTTGAGAGAATATAGTGTTATACTGAGATGCCTGTGCATGTTTGATTTAGAGCAGTAATACTGGAGAGGGCCTCGACTGTGATAATGGTACGAGCCACCATCCACAGTGAAGTTGACCCTGGATAGTTGTACTGCTTTTAACTGTTACCAGCGCATGTTTATGGTCTGGAAACTTCTCCTCAAAGTAGTGAACAATCATAAAAAGAGAAGAAAGAAAAAAAACAAAACAGGAGCAATCACAAAGGACCACTAACTATCTTTGTCCCATGAAGCATGGCGACATGGGAATCAGGAATGCATATTGATTAAAACTCCAACATATATGATTGAAAATGCACTACTGCTGCTTGTTCCATACTTAATACAATTTGACCCAAGTCGGTTTACACATCCACGTATTGTACAGTTGTTCAACAAAATGCTGCATTCAATTTTATAGCATTAGAGGAACAATCGTGTCCGTATTTGAAGCCAAATTTTTCAGACTTTGCATGTTTTGTTGTTTGTACTGATTCATCAATACGTGACATTACATACTAAGAGAATTTATCCCTGGCTTTATTATAAGGTTTTATCTGTACATTGTCATATAATGGGGGTGAGTGGCTTATCTTTACTGTAAAATCTTTTATGGTGACCACTTTCCAACACTGTTGATACAATATTGCAACTAGATTATTTCAGGATGGTGCAAACATCTGCATAATATTCCAGTTCACACCAGGGTCAGTCTGAATTCAATCATGAAGAGGACTTTATTGTTGCAACAGTTTTTATAGATAGTCTTGAATCAAATATTTGAGAACGAATGCTCTATCAGCCTGCCAACCTACCACTGAGTGAATATTTCTACATGACTACAGTGAAATGAGCCAATGCTAATGTTTTTACCTACTGACCATGTTAGCGATGTAGGTTGATCTCTGATATAGATGATGTTTGTGGTTGCTACGACTGTTGAAAAAAGGAAGAATATTAAGAGATTGAAGGGCGTTAATAGTTAAAATTACTGCATCTTTTTGATTAAAGAACCATTACCTCAAATTCATCCTTCTGTATCTCTAAAATTGTAGCATTTCCAGTTATTTTTGTCAACAACCTATTTGCCATCTTTTCTAAATGTTTTAATTTAGTGAGGTAATCTTGTAGAGGTTAATGTTTTAAACAGTATCTGATTTTAATTTGTCATTCAACTATCACACCTTTGTTACTGATCTTGTTTTGAGTCACCTTTTACTTTTAATGCTGTTCGTCCAGGACTTTGCACAGAAATTATTTGTTATTTCTTTTTAGGATTTTTTCACTTTCAACTCTTGTCCTTCAAATGCACACAAATCTGAAGGCCACACTGTTTTACCTTAATTGTTTTATTTAACTATTGTGGGAACATTACTTGGAATATTTTTAGTGAAGGCATGGTTTAGCATTTTTGATCAATGGTGATGCTGTAACCTGGGACTGCAGAGAACACGTGTATGTAAAAGTGGTTTAATAAAGCCTTGTTCTGTTACTGAACTATCTGAATGCCTTAGTTTTTGTGTTGATTCTGTACCGCTAGTTGTTTAAATCTGATAGGAACAGGCAAAACACATTAAGGGCCTGATTATGCTGATAATGGCAATAATTCAACATTACTGTTTGTTGAAATCGTATGGTATGATCATGTTTTGATATTACAGTGTTATTTTCAAGTTTCAAATTTAGCCATATAGTGATACATATCAAGTTAATTATAGTAATTAGTTAGTAGTTAGTTAGTATTAGTAATTTAAAAATATTCTTACTGATATTGTGCTCAAACACTAACAAGCAATGAAATATACACACACACACACACACACACACACAGACACACTGTAGTTATACAATACATTTATTAACAGATTTATTTACCTCCATTAAAAATACGTTGTCTTGAAACTTTGACCTGAATTAACATAAATATTTTCTCAGTGACCAAACTATATACATAAGGTGAATTTTTCAACTGTTGTCACTACTAACACTCAGTGATGAGTAACAATTAAGCTAAGAAACATATTTTAAAATCTTCCTACCATTATCTACATTTCACCATTTATAAATCATACACAGATGTGTGAACTTTGGCTTTTTGTTAATAAATAGTGAAGAGGTAGCAAACAGTATGCAGCCATCTTAAAACTCTTAAGAAGGTCTTACTACAGCTGCATCAAACCCCCATGAAACCAATCTGCTTAGTATCGTGCAGTTTTTGGAGTAATGAAAAGCATGACTGAAGCATACATATACGAAACTTCAGATTGACAAAGCCAATAAAGGAAGTCTAGAATAATTAAAGACCATATTGGGCTATGGAAGAACCAGCCACGCCCTAATCTTATGCTGCTGTGATTTACAGATGTGCATGTATAGTCTCTCTAAGCTTCCCTCGGCTTTCAACAGCTTTTGTTCCACCATCAACCTTTGGAAAAGACTGACAGCTCTGGCTCTGTTTGCACAGGAACAGCCTTCTTGTTTTGTGCCACCAAGCAGTCGAGTGGGTTTCATGTTCTAGCATGTGGCACACAATGTCATCATACAGGCTGATGAAGGCTGCCAGTCTTCTGCGCAATGGTTTACTGTATTTATTTCTCAGTCTGATAATAATTTATTGACATATAGAGTTTTATAATTCATTAAGTTCCTCTGCTTTGCTCTCTGTGGCCTTCACGGTCTGCCTGATGTGCTCCAACAGGGGGCGCTTTTCTGGTAGTTTACAGGGCATTTTAGATTTCACAGTTGGTTTGTTTTTCATGGTGTCCAGAGTGAACTTATGCCTACAGACCACCTCTGGTGTGGGCTGAAGCACACTATACAGAGCCTGTAATGCCCGAACATCCTCCAAAGCATCATGGGCCTTGTAGTTCACACCCAGCAGCTCCCTGACCAGGTTCTCCTGTCGAAAACTCTGGAGGCAGAGGTCCTTCAGCATCTCGCGAGCCAGAGGCAGAGTGTCAACACAGCCTGAGACTGATGACTCAAACTCTGCTCTCAGGTCCAGTTCATCGAGAGCTCGAGCCAACAGTGGACAGTCGAAGCGGCGGATGTTGTGGCCAACAACAAGTGGGCGTCCGAGCATCTGAAGGAAAGCTATGAAGGAGACCAGGACCTCTCGTAGGGAGTTGGTGAGGACAAGTTGTCGATGGAGGTACAGTCTGTGTCTACGGACCCTGAAGCCGGTCACTTTGGCTGCTCCTCGCTGGATTTGACCCCGGGGGATGACGTAGAGGTTGAGTGAGTGGCCTCCACTCACTGCAGCCAGCTGGACGATCTCACAGGACTGACCTGGAGAAATAAAACATGTACAAGGCACCACGTCATGGCTTCAGAGGATTCAGTCTTTGATAACCTTCATTAGATAAAATCATACTTAAATGTATACTTTATCATGATGCTAATTATCTGGAAAATAAATTCAGAAAACTGTTAATGGAGAAAATACTCAGATAATTGTATGTCTTGTCTCTTTTGTACGGTGGCCGACAAGGGCAAACGCGCCGCAAATGGCAAAACGCTGCAAACATGGGAATGATGCAAAACCAAAAACACACAAACACATAAAAACAAATGCAACAGAAAAACTCAGCAACAGAAAAATGCCGCAATCACAGAAACGGAGCAGAAGCAAAAACATACAAACCCACAAAACAACTGCCAAAGAAAAATGCTGCAAATACCAAAAACACACAAAACAACAAAACAACAGCAAGATATAAACGCTGCAAATTCAGCATTTTTCTGTTGCATTTGTTTTTATGTGTCTGTGTGTTTGGATCATTCCCGTGTTTGCAGCGTTTTGCCGTTTGCGGCGTGTTTGCCCTAGTCGGCCACCGTACTTTTGTAATTCAGCAATTAAATGCCAAAAATCAGCACAAATCAAAGTGTTTAATTATTTTTAGAATCAATTCAAAATAAGACATAAACAACAACATAAAACAGTCCTAACACACACTGCAGATGTAACAGTATGAAACTGTATGGCCAAACCTCATGGTCCCACAGTATATATTGTTTTCATCCAGACCTAATGATAATTTTGATTTGATTTGACTAACTGAATATGAATATTTTAAGCAAACTGTAAAAAATCACTTGACATTCACATGAATGTTTGCCCCGTTATTGCTCCTTATTCATTTTAAACTAGATAGTCTTTTCATGCATCAATTCAACTTGTATTAAATGAGATAACAGTGAAACTAAAGTATGTTGCTGGTATCCAGTATGTACAGCTCGTAAGATTATCCACAAACATACATGCAGTGTGACACTGACAATAAGCCACAATATAACAGCAGTGATCTTACCCAGTCCAGTTGTCTCCAAGTCAAAGAAAACCAGCGACTGTGGAGATGTCTTCAGTCGGTCTGGTTCTGGTTGTTGCATCCCGCCACAGCCACAGTGTCAACTTTAATATGACAGTGGGGTTTGGTGAAATAAACAGAGACACACTAGAGACACTGGCGGTACGTATTTAGACACATAATGGCGTCAGTAAACTCGTGTATGCAGATTTTCCCTCCGTGTTTTTACGTACAGACAGCTCCAACGGGACAGCGACACTTTCAAAACAAAAGCCTCTTTGAAGATGAGTTTACGGACGAGAACAAGATACATTAGCTGTAGTCCATTAGCGGAGCACTAAAAACAGCTATAAACTGTGTTTATATTTCAGTATTGTTTTCCAAGAAAAACTAGAACGAATCAGGAAAACTTGTATTACCAATGCTTGACTTCAGATTTGCGCAGGCGCACAAATCACTTTCTTCTTTTGTAAAATATCAACCAGATACAAACAGTGCTGCCCTCCACAGGAAATAAAGGAACACGAAACCAGACAGTCAATAAAAAAGATGCACTGACTGCAGTATATGTCCATACAGTATGTAAATATATGTAAATATATATATAGTGATTATGGTAGTGAATTTTGTAAGAGATAAGAAGACCCACCAATACACTTATACTTAATTAATGTGTTTAGATGAATAGTTGGGTCGTACTATGTGTACTTGTGTACATTGTTACTTACTTTAATTGGATAATACCACTTATCAAGTGTATTTTATATTAGTTTTTATAACATCTCCCTCTTATTTTAGTCTTTCCCTTTTGTATAAATAAAAAATGATTGTTTGATTTTTTATTATAATTGTAGATATCAGATAATTTATTTGTATATATGTACACATATATATGTAAATGTAGCACACATAAGTATGTATATATCAACTTACTATTACTAATACTGTGCCACAAACCCTTGAGAAAAGTCTTAAAGATTTGGCATGGGTTTAATGGGTTTATTACACCTGTACACTGTAGGCAGGTAGGTGGTAGCTGCAGGTAATGAAGATGATAGCAGAAAGAAATGTTGAAACACAGAATGGGAGATGCAGTCCATGCTGTTCCACTGAGGCTTGTCCTTGGACAGATTTCTCCCTGTATGATTACTGAAATTAGGTGCAAATAAAAAAAAGTAAATACCAAGTTGTGAAGAAGAATTATATGAAAGTTTATTGGTTCTTGTTTGGCAAACTGTGCTACATTTGACTGGAAAGACAAAGTACACTTGTGAGACATGTTAAAAAAACATTAAATATGTAGCTTTCAAATATAAATCATTATACAGAATCAACATGACTTATCTGTGAGTTAACATTATTTGTCTCCATTCACAAGGAAATTAATTTACCCGTCATTTAATATTTTTTCTGAATGTTCAAAGTCCGTCCAACAACCTGAGGGTTCATGATGAGAACAAAACTTTTAGATGTTTTTTAGATGGAATATTTTTTCTTCATGTTCAGTTAGACCAAACTGTACATGAAGAAAAAATATTCTTGTGTTTTCTGAAGCTTTTTTTAAAATGCTAGGGATGACCTGTAGGTAAATCTGCTGATATCCCATCCGCCAGGGTTCCATGTGTTGAACAGCTCCTGCAGCATCCTCGCATCCTCCATAGCATTGTGAGCGTCATAGGTCTTTCCAAGGAAGTGGCGGACCAAGTTCTCCTGAGAATAACTGTTCAGACCATGGAAGACATTCTTGCTGAGCAGGAAGGTATCCAGAAACCCAGACACCACCTTCTGGAACTCCTGCCGGAGGACGAACTGTGTCAGCACTCTGGTGAGCACAGGCGCGTCAAACCGCCTTGCACTGTGGGCCGCCAGCACCACAGGGCGGCGGAAGGAGCGAAGGAAGGTGATGAAGGAGGTGAGAGCATCAAAAAGAGGGATGGTGTCTACTGGCACCCCACGGAGAAACAGGCAGCCATTGCTGACGGTGAAGCCTGTGACGTTTTTGGCGCTCTCGGTGAGGGCGCGGCGGGGGAGGGTGTAGGCGTTAAAGACCTTCTCCCCACAGATGGCCGACAACTGGATGATGTCACACACTGCAGTGTCTGAAAGTAGGGAACAGGTGAATTAAAGGAGGATAATAAAATAAAAAAAGAAAATATAAAAACATATAGGTTACAATATAATAATAATATAAAAACATATATAAAACATTGTCAGCAATTGTTGAGATTTTTTCTGCCCTTCTCAGAGATGTACTGACAGTGTGTTGTAGAACCAAATAACCAAATATCGCATGAAGCGGTGTAAATTAGTGAGCTGCTGTTCTACCTATCAACACATTTAAAGCTCACTAATTAACAAATTATATCTCATTTATTTCATCTATACAAGAAAATCTGTAAAAATGATGTGCTGGACTCTCTTGTTTCCAGGCTACCTATCCCCCCCCCGTGCTGTATCTTCAAATGTAGCGTACAGACATGAGTGATATCATTCTTCCCATGTAAGAGTCCAAAATGTCAAGTGATAACAACTGAACCATCTTTGTGACAACTGAGGAAATTCCTTTGCTTCTTCAGAAGTGTAAACAATGTTTCTTTTTCAAAAGTATTCCTTCTTGTTTATACAGCTATTGCCTAGCAACGCAAGCAGAAAGAATTACACCGAACAGAACATGATTTTCTGATCTTGAAAACAGAAAAGCAAGAACAAAAAGCTGTTATGTAAATAAAAGAATCACTGATATACAAGTTGTGGTTCAAAGGCTGAATTTTGTGGTTTCTTTACTCTCATCAGAGATCAGCTGACATGGAGATGTAACTATTTTTCCTGTCATGGCATCCTGCCAAATGTGTGATGGTATGTCATTGAGTCATTTGATCTGTATTAAACTGTACCACCCTAACCCTAACAGTAACCCTAACCCTGCCTTATTTTCTCAATTAAATGATTCATCATTTGGTCTTTAAAAAGAAAACACTGAAAGTTCTTGCCAAGCTCGCAGGGGTTTGAGTTTAATATTCTAGGATATGGACTATTTGTATAACGTGTAATATAATTAAATCTCCATGATGCAACAGCAGAGGCATCCTGTTGCAGCTACAGGAAGAACATCTCTGGTTTGTCTGTGGTTGGGCCTCTGTTGTGTAATATTCAAAGTGTAATGACTACCATGTAGTCATACTCCACCCTTCACTAACCAAACTATAATCTTTCATTGATCATGATCTTCATGGACTAGAAGAAACAATCATGTTCTTATGTGAGATTAGAAAACACGGAAAATAAAAACTGTACAGTCTTATCTTCCTTATCACATAAAGACTCCACCTCAGTTACGATGTTGGCCAATATCAGTTGAGTTCCTAGGAAGCGTCACATACATAACTTAGGTAATACATCACTAATTATAATTAAATAGACCATTATGTATAATGAGTACTCTTGGTACTTTAAATATAATTTGATGCTAATTTACTTTTACTTTACTGTTGTAAGATTTTAAAAGCAGGACTATTAACTAGAGTAATTCTTCCACTACAGGTTAAAAGTAATTGAGGATACAATAAGATAGTTTTAGGAATACACAATGGTTGAACATCATTATTTTGACAAATAAATTTTAATAATGAAGGCAACAAAATGTCGCTGAAAGCTCTGAATATGATTCAATATTCTAAAAAAATATATAAACATTCACACTCAATAAAATGATTTATATAAAAATATTTTTAAAATATTTTGGTCAAATACAGTTGAAAACGTGACCATTATAACACTGACTGTTATTAAATAAAGTTAAATAAAAGGTCATATTTAAATGAACTGATGACAATGTGACTGATGAAGTACTGATAAGCAGACAAACAGATTTTAAAGTTGACATTACCTAAGCCAGTGGTCTCCAGGTCAAAGAAAACGATGGTTTTATCAGCAGACATCTGCAGGAGTTAAAGAGATTTGAACATGAGCTGAAATACACCCACACAGTCTGACATCACTGACTGTCAATTAAATAAATAATACTCCACAGAGTTAGCTTCCAGCTAGCAATGAGACTACATCGGAGTCTGTGTGATAACCTGAGGAATGGAAGAAGAAGCTCACCGTGGGCAGTTTGATGTGGTGGCAGGCTGTCAGCTGAGTGGTGTGGCAGATGTGAAGTCAGCTGTAATAACCTCTCATATCTCCCCCGACCGAACCGGGAGGGAGCAACAGGTGAATCACTGCCCCTCAAACTGGAGCTCTACTTTCATTTCGGAAGAAGAGAAACTCGACGTATTTGTATTTCTAGTGAATCACCTCCCTGCTCGGTTGTGCTGATGTGGTCGCAGTCTCAAAAACAAAAGGTATTTATCGTGGAATCTTCGTCGCTGTTCTCCTCTGTTAGTTTCATTTTTGACCTGGTGGCTGACAGGAAGTAAGGGCTTTTGTTGTGGTAACTGTTGCGTGGACAACATATGAGAATGAAACTTACATTTTTAAGGACGAATCGATTCTGAGATGAACACAAACATATCAAAAATTATAAAAAAATATAATACATCAATTGATAATTGATTGATTGACGATTATGGATTACTGTGGATTAAGCTGCCGGCCAGTATATAATTATATAATTATTATATTATCAGCTGAACATTAAAGTGATGTTTACACATTGTTGCATCACTAATTATAATCAAATGATATAATATATATTATAGGCTACTAAAATTTGTATTTTTACTTTTGTTTCTTCTATATTGTAGACATATTTTGATGTCAATACTTTTGTACCTTTAGGCCTACTTTATTTGAGTGTATGACTTTTATTTGTAATTTTTAACCAAGTAGTGTTGATCTGAGTAAGAGTGTGCAACAATTAAGAGGTTTTATAATCCCTCAATAAATCTATATGTTCACTAGTAAATATTAAAAAATAATTGTAATAGTTAAAGTCAACGTTTGAAAGAAAGTGGTAACATAATGTATGAATATTATTAGAATGCTATAGTCACAATAGATGTGTGATATTATTCAGCAGGAGTTCACTGAATAGATTGATGCGTTTACATCCAGCAAATAACACCGGTTGACATACCCGATACTGACCAACCAGTTATTAGTAATTGGCCTTTTTCACAGCCGTTATTTAATATTCTATTCTTCTCAACCACATTAATAAACACAGGCGCAACTTATAACATGATATTATATATATAACGATGACTCTTCTGTTCATGTGTCCCAGTGAGTCATAACAGTGAGTCAGCATGCATGATACCGGGAGACTGAAACTGAACTGACTTCTGTCTGTCTATGTCTGGATATTTATGGCATACTTTTGGTAAACAGCCGTTTTTCATGGACTGGTTTGGGCATGACTAGGCCTGCACAGAACCCAGAACTCAACCCCATCTAATGCCTTCGGGATTAACTGAAATACTGACTGCGAGCCAGGCCTTGTCGCCCAACATTAGTAGCCGATTAAAGGTGCACTGTGGAATTTTTGAGGTCTTCCCTCTTTTTGTATCAAGTTCATCATCAGGTGGCAATGGATTCATATTTAACAATAAGTGGCAGTAACATGCAAAGAAGTACAGTTCAGACATACAGTGTATATATATATATATATATATATAATATATATGTTTACAAGAAGACTCCACAGGGTGACTTTAACTACAACTGTTATATTGAAAAGGAACACAAATGTGTGATGTTGTCCCAAAGAAACACTAATGTGTATGAAATGTGGGGGCACCCTGGCCCTGGCCCCTAGTCCTTGCTGCAGCGGCAATGGGTCCGGGTCCAACCTGTGGCCCTTTGCTGCATGTTGTACCTTCTCTCTCTCACCCTTTCCTGTGTATCTTCAGCTGTCATATCCAGTAAAGGCAAAAAGCCCCCCAAAAACATATATATACAAAAAAAATGTGTTGGAAATAACAGTGACATCAAAGTACAATACACATATTTCTCTCTGGACTTCTGTTGGGTAAAATATTAGTCAACTCATTTGTGTTTGCAGTTTTGCTTTTTTAATAAGCAGATGAATTTCCCCCATAAAGTCTTTTTTCTTACAACCATAGACATGTTTGTATCATTAAAAAAAAGAAATATAACACAAATTGCACCTTATACATAACCGTGTCCAGAGTGGTGCAGACAAAAAGACACGCTTTTCTTTTTTTTCTTTTTTTCCTGCTTTGTAGCACAAACATGACAGACCGAGATTGGCCTGCTAAAATGTTGCCATGATTAATAGTAGATAATGAACCGTACACAGGATAATATATCCTTTTATAACACCTTTTATAACAGATTCTTTTAAACCAATGTACACCCCAAAAGCATGATCATAAATAGTACATACACTGTGTATAAAAGAGGAACAAAAACAACCAGAGAAAGCAGAGCATGCCTTCCAGTGACAGGTACATTCACTTTTTTAAATTCTTTTTTTTTTTTTTTTTTTTTTTTTGGCCAAATGCCATATTGACAGACTGGACATGTACAAAGACCATCCCATCAAATATCAACTTCAAGATATTTGACTTGGAATCCATTTTGTCCTTTCACCTCAGCTCCAAAACAGTTTTTTTTTTTTTAAAACAAGTCTACAGTTTATGTTGTAAAAAGACAGCACACTGCAAGTCTCCACACCTGCATTAAAACTGAGATCAGCACAGTCTTAACTGAGACTTCCAGCTTCAAGGAAAAGTTGATTAACACTGATTGTGTTGGTGAGATCGGAGCAATGGTTGCCCAGAAGTATCTGATCACAGACGCAGCAAGCAAGGAAGGATATTGCAGCTTAAGTATAGAGACATCATTGCTGTTAAGCTACTCAGTAGGCCTAAAAAACGGAATATTACACTGACTGTGACTGCAATACTGTATGGACAGAGACAGAAAGAGAGGAGCAATATGAATATGAGAAACACATGGACGGTCTGAGTTAGTTGCTACTTGTTTTTGTCTGGTTAACAGGCAGATTAAATGCTACTTTTCACAGCCAGACCCGGGAGATTAGAGGATGGAAGAGCCGCTATAATGTTAAAAAAGAACAAGAAGAAGACGATAAGGAGAGCATTCTGGATGGCTCAGAGGACATCGTGGACGGTTTGAGAGTGCGGGCGAGTGCAAGACTTTCCCCACAACTCAGACTAATGAAACATTTCATAAGTATGAGTTACTTTTAGTGTCACTTGATGGTGCAGAGACTTTTATCACCTTTACAAGAGGATCATAGAAATGTGTAGAGAAGAGTACACATGCACATAGTGGGAGTTAATACAGTGGCAGGAATTATACATTCATTCATTCAGACATGCACAAACACACACACACACATGAAAAATGGCTTTTATGTGAACAAAAACAAACCTTGAAACAATATTGTCCACAAAAACACATATAAGACAGCAATAATATATATATATACACACACATACACATGTATATATATATATATATATATATATATATTATATATAAATTCAAGTCCTGATGTAGTAACACTGATGTTTCTGAATAAAACAGAAGGAAAAACAAAAAGTTTGCAGGGAAAGGCAGATACAATACACTTATGGCTGATTGACATTTGACACCACATGTCAAGTAAACGTGACACCAGACACGTAGCACTGTGAGCTGTGATCAACAGCTTTTCCTTCAATTGTTTCCCCAAGAGTATTACCCGGGGACACCCACAACTGGCTCTGTTTATTGTGAAATAGGAAAAGAGAAAAACCAAATGACGGCAAGGCCAGCAAAACCAGCACAGAATCAAAAGTGGAACCTAAATTCCAGACACGAAACTTTGCAAAATAGAGAAACAGGAAATAGAGACTAATCAACAATGAACGACCCAGGAGCAGCACTGGAGTTTCTTTCTATGTACACTTTTTTCCTCTGTAAAATAATAATAATAATAATAATAATAATGTAACATACAGCTGTAACGTATTCCTGTACAGTGTCTTCAAACTGACATTGGTAAAGGTGTGATGGAGCATGCAGCCTGTTGGCTGGTGTGTCCTGTGTAAACGTGAAAAGCAGACTTAGCTTGGCACTGGTTACAGACAAAATGTCCACCAGTTCAGTCAGTATGGCTACATTTCTTCTGGGTGGCTTTAACCACTTGCCCACATACTGAAAACTAAAGATGGGGCACTATAAGATTTGGCTTTGCAGGTGTGGGTTTTCTCTGTCTGTCTCACCACCCGTCCTTCCCTTCTTCTCTCTCTCTCCTCTAACCGACCCTGGGGCTCCAGCAGGGGTCAAACGGCTCTGAGATCAGAGGGTCAATAAACATGACCAACCACGTTTTTTTTACTTCACACTGTTCCAGCTTTCTGCCGTTCACATTAGTCATCAGTCCGCTTTCTCTGACCATCTGTCATTTTGTCCCTCTTCTCTTCTTTTATTCCCACAGCTTTATGCTTTGACTGGACCAGGGGAGGAGGGAGGTGGGCACTGAGGAGGGGCAGCAGGTGAGACTGGGCACAAACCTAACCCCGTGACCAGCCTCGTTCAACCCCGGACTCTCCCTCCTCCCCTTCTCGTACACCCTCCTGCACTCAAACAGGCGGCGACGGGCGTTCCTTCCCTCCTCGGCTTCACACCATGAACTCGTTGCTGCCGTACAGAACCAGCTGCTGTGGCCCCGAGCTGAAGTCTGACTCCCTCCGGTGGCTTCCCGAGGGTTCGCGTGGTGAGCTGCGGCTTAGCCTGAGCCTGTGGCGAGTCTTACCAGCTTTTTGGCTCCCCTCTGCCTCAGCCAACGGGGCACCCAACCCACAGGAGGTGAGGAGGGGCCCGGAGGAGGAGGAGCGGAACCGGTAGTGTGGGGAGGGAGAGCCAGAGGCGTTGGAGGAGAGAGAGGAAGAGGGGTGGTAGGAGGAGGAGATGGTGGAGGTGGAATCCGCAGAGTCTTGGGAGTCGGGCTGGCGGCGCAAACCTCGCCTTCCCTTTGCATCCGACTTTCTAGAGCGATAAGTGCCACGGTCTGCAGAGAAAGACAGCAGCAGTGGCAGAGAGGTGTTACAAACACATTGTATAGCGCTTAATCCTACTCCAGCAATGTTACTGATTAAAAACACATTATAACCATGTTGGCAAATATACTGTTTAGACACATTTACAACATTTAAAAGTACAAATGTCACCAACAAGAGTTGAAGACAGATTCAGAACTCAGAAAAAGCTTTGTGGGACAGATGCTTTGGCACCTTTCAAACTACCTTCTAAAAGGTGTCACTATGTCAGTATGCGGTTTGACTTACTGGGGCTTTCCTTTCAACAGAAGCAGGTAAAGTGAAACTTGAACTTATATTTATGTCTCATATTAAAGCAAAAGGAAGACAGCAGCAGTTTTAATATAGAGCAGATCTAAAGCATACTCTTTATACTCCAATAATGTTAATGTGGCAACCATGGACTGCAACGTCCCGGGTTGCCAGGAAGGGACCATTGTTGCATGTTGTTCCCCATTTCTCTCTCCGCTCATTTCCTGTTTTCTGACTGCTGTTAGTTCTCTAACATATGCATGAAAATCCTTCCCAAAATAAAAAAAAAAACACAAACACAACTTTTGTTTTGTTCAGGGCTGCTCCAAGTCTTGTTGAGGTTGAAAGGAGTAAACATAATCACTTAATCACAACTTATAAACAATAATCAAGTTACAGTGTGCATGTAAAGATAACGGCTATAATATCCGTGATGATGACATGATAACTGATGAATACAACAGCCTAGTACTGTGGGAACTGAGGACTCAGCTGTATCTCTGATGTATAAATGCAAGTAACTAACTTACACTCAGGGGGATATACCTCAAACACACACACACACGTACCAGAGGGGTCTGAGGTGGCTCCCTCCGTCTCCATGGTGATGTTCTCAGAGCTGTCTGCTGTGCCGATGGAAGCTTCAGATTCAGGAGTCTCATCATCGGACGCCCGCGGCTCCAAGATCAACATCTCATACGTCAGTTCCTCCCTGCCGACACACACACACACACACACACAAGCACAAATGACAGGTTACAAGCCTGGTCAGAGCTGCTGTATGTAAATCATTTTTATTCAAATTTGCGTTTTTTGAGTGCAAGTTTTCTTTATGATTAAAAACAACATCAATACGGACATCAACAATACCCTTTCCAAAGATATATAACATGCTAGAAGATAATACTGAAACACAAGTTGCAATTAAGTCAAAATGGAACTGGTGGACAGTTAAAATAGAAAGACTGGGAAAACATGTATAAAGCAATACATAAACAAAAATATTTCCCACTAAAATATAGGGAAGTGGCACGAAAACCAAACACAGATAAACAAAACACTTCCAATGTCATCTGAGAGAGACGTCATACTTCTCTTTCTGCAGACTCTCGATCTGCTCGGTGAGGATTCGCTCCTCTTGCTGCATCGCCAGCTGCTGCTGCTCGTTCAGCCCAGCCTCAACTGCATCCTCTCCTCCTCCTCCTCCTCCTCCTCCTCCTCCTCCTCCTCCTCCTCCACCACCACCACCACCACCACCCCCTCCTCCTCCACCTCCTCCTCCTCCTCCTCCTCCTCCTCCTCCTCCTGCACCTTCTCCATCCACCACAGGGAGAACCTTGGGGCTGAGGGGAGGCGAGGGCGTGTGGGTGCTGCTCTGCCGAACCCGACCTTTGCTCTGCAAGTTCACACACAAAATCACAGAGTGAGAGAGTATGTTGGTGGAGGCTGACCGATCATAATCATCAGATTTTTGTTGTTGTTGACAGCGACAGTGATGTTGCACAGACAGCAGACTCGCTATAGACACAGCTGCATGTTTTGACCATATACGGATTATACAGAGGATCTATTAACCACAATTCACAACACCACTGCTGAAACTACAGGGTCTGCTGCTCAACACATACGCGCGCGCACACACACACACACACACACACACACACACACACACACACACACTTGGGCATTACCTTAAGTTTAGCTGTGTTAGGCTGCATGTCAATAAGTTGTGAAGCAGAAACAAAAAGCAAAGAGCAGTCAGTGGTGCTCACCACACACAGAAGCTTTAACCAAAAACAAAAATACAGTTACAGCAGTGGTTACACTGGACTTTCCTTGGAACTGTAATTTCACTAATTTTAGTCAGAAATAATAACTTTAATTTGTCCCACAGGAACAGTGTCACTAACTCAATAGTGCTGTTTCTAACAGCAACATGGGATGCCAGCGTTGTTAGCTTGGTTGGCTTTCCACAGAGACTTGGCAGACAAAGCAATAATGCCATCTTGGAAATTCTGACAATTAACTTTACACAAACAACACAGCTACATAATTAGCCATATCTGAAAAAGTGTGAGTCTAAATCAGTTCAACAATGTTAGCAGTAACTCCACAGAACACAGGGTCAGACAGCTGAAAGAGAACTAGCTTACAGACAGACGTGACGAGGACTATGACTGGAGGTACGTATAACAGACAGTATGAGCGGACGGATCAAATAGACTGACGGACAGGACAGGACTGGTGGCGGGCGGCACATGGAGTGGCAGGGGCATACATACCGGGGTGGCAGTGCGGGTTATGCTCATAAACCTAACAGCAATTAGTACAGGTTTCTGAAAGGAGGAGTTGGGGGGAGGAAGGAGGGAAGGACAGATTAGGGTTAAGGAGCGGTGAAGGTAATCAAATAAGCATGGATTTGGTGATTTGCTGGTCAAAAGATGTCTCAACATTTAGGTTCAAACTGAGCTAAATTTGGTTGGAAAGTGAATTGTTCTTTAATTAAATATAACTGTGTCAGGTCCATGTGTCTAAGAATCATCACTTTTTAACCTCATTTTCTCAAGTTACAACCAAAGTGTTTAGACATATTTCGATCAGTGAATCATTAAACCATGCTTACTGAGAAAGTTTAGTTACAGTTGGTTGGTAGCAGGGGTGTAAAAACAGAGGTAGGTAAACTGTATACTGGTTCTCCTCATTGATTGATACAGTGGATCTGAAAATAGATGTGTCAACTCTCATTTCTAAGAGGTGGATAAACTGCGTTTGCTTGGGTTTACCCCCCACTACTCCCCTGGTTGGTAGAAGAATTCCAGAAGCTTGGGAATCACAAACAAGTTGGCAGCATCTTTCCAATTATTGTTTGCCAGAAAGACACAGCTTACTGCTCCTTAGAGAGCAGAGTAATTTAATCCCTTGTTAAAGAAGTATTTTGCATAAGTCTGCTGCTGCGATTTTGCATTGCAGATACAATGGGTTGTTGTTCCTTTCCCCTCTCATAATTCTGTTAAGTTCAGAATTCTTGTGAAAAAAAGCCTTGATGGCTTATACCTATTTATCATTTATATGGATGTTGTTTTTCTCTGAATTACTACCGTGAAGTAAGTTAGAAGACGAGGCATTAATAATGGAGAGGTGTCAGACATGCTTTCATAAAAGGAAGGGTTTTTGCCTCCATGAGAGGAATATATTTAGTTTAAAAGTCAAAGTAGTTCATGCAAAGTTACTGTGCTGTGTACATGTTTGAGTTATATCCTCCCTGAGTGGGTTTTTTGTCCGCATTTTGTTTGTGTTACAAAGACACAGCAAAATCTGTTGATGAAAGATGTGAAGAAACACGGAGGAATGAACTCCTGCCATGGCCGCGTGAAAACCATGCCAGCTGCTTATGGAGCTGAAAACGGTTGAGTCACCATTTAAATGATGAGTGAGAGGAACAAGTAGAAAAACATCCATGTCAATGCCAACAATAACGATTATTCATACTAACGTCCTTAGCATAATAAACTTGGCATAGACGCCTAGAGAGCTGTTGTCAGATCTTACCATGGACTTCCTGATGTGGGTCAGTCGGCTCTTGGCTTTGCTTTCTGCAAACTCCAGACTGCTGATGTCCTTCAGACGAGCTTTGTACTTGCTCATCTGCTCATTGATGATCAGCTCTACACACCTACAGGGGAGAGGTCCATTTAAAACAGGGTTGAATAAAATACGAATAGAATAGAGGATTAGGTTGCACAAGCTATTTCTAAATCGATTACAAGATTTGTGTGTGAAGTCCTTGAAGTATTATGCAAATTAGTTACTAGTTGGTTAACATCTGTAACCCTGTCTAATCAAAGTAACTGTAGCGTCACAAGCTGTAACATAACGTACAAAGGTGGCAGTCTTAGGGCAGCAAATATTATTTTACACTCAACTACCAATCCTTATGTATATGTTAGAGTAAGTGAGTATTTAGTAACAACTTATCTTTATGAAAGAAACTGTTTGTGTGATGAAACCTGTTTTAATTTAGTAATGTGTAAATCTCCACTTATAAAACACTTATGTTGTAACTAGGCTAAGATTGAATTTAAAAAGTGCTGTTACAGGCAGTTATTTGGTTTACAAGCCCTATTTTGTGACCCAAATAGTTAATTTGGGGAACTACAGAGGGCAGTAGACATACGCTGTGGTTTTGCTGATGTCTTGGACGCTCTGCAGCGGGTCGATGGTGTCTGGGCAGCGAAGGATGCAGGGAGCGAACACAATGGCGAGGGCGTTGGCTGACATCCTGTTAGTCTCCTCCTGCAGGGCGATCCTGAAACCCACCACAATATAATGCTGTTAATCCTGATGTTGATCCTTACAGAATTTGACACTCATTCCAATCAACACAGACAGAATGGCATGTGAGTGAGACAGCTAATCCAGTGTGTTTGATAATCAGTGAGAGAAAAACAAAGAGAGTCTGGAACCACTGCTTTGAATATTAAACTGCACAGACACTTTGCTGACAGGTAAAAATGTTATTCAGATCTTATGAAAACCCTCCTGCCTGAGGCTGTACTGCTGATGTTGATTATTATCTCATCACTCACCTGACCAGATGGAAGATGAGGCGCTCCAGTGTGCTGAGGTGTGTCCTGCTGAGCTGGTCGATCACCGAATACACCCCTCGTATCACCTCCCGCTTGTCTGGCTGACCTGAAAAGAAAACAAGCGCACACCATGAGACCAAATAACATTTCACCTTCTGATACTGACTCTCAGCTGGAGGAGCCTCCGGACTGAATTACGAGCTTACCCATGGCCCTGAGGAACTCCTCATACAGTTCAAAGGTCATGAGAGGGCTGGGCAGGTCACGAAGCCACTGTTTGAGAACGCTGGCAATGACATGGATGTTGTAGTCATCCAGGTTCACACTGCTCACATCTGGAACAGAGCAATATGTTCAGGTTTTATTCATCTTTCTCCTTTTGTGCCTGTATACAGTATATTTAGAAGTTGTGGTAGTGATAGTTGTAGTATAAAAAGACAAAGAAAATAAGTAGTAGTAGTAGTAGTAGTAGTAGTAGTAGTTGTAGTATTGTATTGTCTATGCCTGAAAAGACTTTTAACACAGACCTGCAGCTGCTCAAAGGTAGTCTAATTTATTCAGTATTTACAGTACGTAATGACTCCATAAAAAACTTTTACTTTAAACTTTCAAATATCATCACATTAGGTAACACTTCTTACACATTAGAAGCACACAATACATTAACTGACAATGAACATGAGACATATGAAAGCACAGACATGAAATGAAACATTTCCTATTTTTCCTTGTTTATGTCAGAGTCAGTCTAACCTGTGTCCAGCCCCTGGCGGAGTTCTTTGATCTTATTGGTGGAGCCCGACTTCCTGTAGATTCCCTCTGTGTAGAGGCCGTGCATCTCGATGTAGTTTATGAGTTTCTCCACCAGCTGAGGCACTGTTCGCTCCTCGCTGGTCAGACGGGACAACTCCACACCATACTGCCGAGACGACAGCTCCGGATCATACTTGGATACAAAACACAGAAACACCTTAAAGTCACAGTAAAGTGAGCCTTATGTACAGTATGACATAACTTTTACTATTTACTATTTCTATTGCCCCTGTATCAATTACGGTATGAAGATAAATGAGACAGTTCATTAACTCACTCAGTAATATTATACATGAATATCCACTTAAAATTTGCTAACATATGCTAATATTAGCCACTATAACCGACTGGTCATACCAGACCACATAAGTCTGTAGCGTCAAAACCTTTTAGCGTATTGAATGGAGAAAGAGTGTGTTTATAGCTCATTCATTCAAATTTATTCTAAGTATAGGTAGATTGTTTTCAAAAAGAGATGTATTATTTCAAAAAGGTACAGAAACTCGGAGTAAAAACAGACTAACTGATCTACTTTATCTACAAGACCCAAAGGCTGAATATCAAACCAAGAAAAAATAAAGTGTTTGTTTTTTATTAGCTGACAAATAGTTGTGTTATTTCTGAATTCTTTACATAAAATAGATCTACCAAAAAACCAAAGCACTCTGAAAACTGAACAAATCTTGCCAAAATGTGGTCGGCACGCTGTAATTTGTACTATGTTTCATAATATAAAGTCTCAAAGTAAATCAAGAAGACAAAAATTGAATCCAAGTTCTGATTAGTGACATCCATATCAAATGTTGTATTTATGCATTTTAAACCCTTGCGATATTACCTGAAACAAGAAACCTAAAGATAATGGACAAAAAAAATCTCCTCCTACCTTTTTACTGCACTTGGTGGTCATCTTGGAGCAGCACTTCCTGTGGCAGGCGTAGCGACACACTGCAGAACAACAGAACAACACAATCAGACTGATGGCATTCCTCCAACCACTGCACAACTGCACCAACATCTGCCGTCAGTCACAACCCCAAAGACTGAGACTGCAAACACTGAGGCGGTGGTGGAGAGTTTGAATATGACGTCTGCTTCTCACTGTAAGTGCAGATGGAGCTTATAACTAGATAGAAGATAGATTTATGAAAGGAGAGGAGTTTAATCAGATTTTTCTGACACTCAGGGAGGCAGGGCAAGAGTATGAGTTTTGTGAGTATGAACATGATGTTGTTTGTGTGTGTGTGTGTGTGTGTGTGTGTGTGTGTGTGTGTGTGTGTGTGTGTGTGTGTGTGTGTGTATGTGTGTGTGTGCGTGTGTGAGAAAGAAGTAGGAGGGGGTGTAATGTGCTGTGCGGATGGAAATAAAAACTACACATGGGCCTGAGTGCATGTGGGTAAGTGAATTAGGAGAACATTAGGAACTGCTGGTGGTGTGTATATCTGTGTGTCTGTAATATTAGGCACACTTACAGATATTTACAGCCTGCAAAAGGAAAGGCAAATACATTTGTTTCAGTGACAAATTATTTTGTACAAAAAGTTAAAATAAGACAGGTAACGCTCATAATATACCATTCATTTAGTTTGGGGACATAATAAATCAGAGGTTTGTTCATGTTTCAATAAAGTCGTGAACAAATTATCTTTCTTTACAGTTGAAACCCATGTAATGCTTTCTAATACACTACAATGTGAAAGTGTAAATAGATTATCCTAAATGTTACACACTGGACCTTTAGAACAGAGCAGGTGCTTGTCCTGTTTCAAACTGTCTGTCATTATTAAGTATAAGGTTTCTTTGTGAGCTCTTGGTATATGTGCTGTAGCACTGCTGATGCAGGATGAAAGTTTAATAACTGCTCAATGAATGACTTATCTGTCAGACTACATGTATACAGCTCATGGCTGGTTAAGTCAGAGTAAACATGAGAAACAGCGAAACAAAAAAGGCATCAATGTGTAATGTAATGTTTTCTTTTCTTTGGTGTGGCACATTGAATCGATCGAGCCGTGTAAAATCTAACTATCTGAAGTTAAACGTGTGTTCTTGCATCACTCTCTCACATTTGCAGACGCAGGCTCGATCCATCATCCAGATGAGTGAGGAGCAGTACTCGCAGTAGGTGGGGATACTGTACTGTGTGGACTTGAAGATGTGGCCGTTGTGTTCTTCCACCTGCAAGGGGGCACCAGAACCACCAGTCAGCTCAGCTCAGTTATCACCTTTATTCCAAACAGTTTGTTTCAGTATAGACACTATTTAAAGTGTCCTTAAAAATGTACAACTCACAATGTCCGTTTCCTTTTTCCTCGACTTCTTGCGTTCACGTTTAGGAGCCTAGAAAGAGAGAACTGTGTTACCTCGTGCATTTTGTGTATATTATATGTATTATTTGTATTGCAAAGTGCAGTAAATAAGTAAGATAGTATGTGATGTTAGTCAATGACATTCTAATGGCAAGCAGTGACAATGCCAAAATCCAACTAAACTGCTTCTTCGAGCAAAATTAAAATGGCTGGCAAAACAATCTCAGGTCTCTTTTCTGCTGTGAAACTCCACAAAGGAACAATGGACTCTCATTAGAAAATGATCAGAGAGAAATAATTATTACAATATTTAGTTTTTTATGTTCTGAAGTATTTCTGTTGTCATTTCATCCATTTATCCTTCCAGTTTTTAATTTTCTTACCCTGCCGATAGTTCCCTCCATGGGCTTAAACTCTGTCATAAACTCGTCCAGGAAAACCTTGAAGGTGTTGACCCACACCTTCACCGGTGATTCACTCCAGTCCCTCTGCTCCAGACGCATGGACTTCTCCAGGATGTGCTCGAACAGGGCATAGAGATCCTTGTAACGGATACTCTTCCCATCATCCATCTGGTGGTGAGGGAAAAGGGAATCATCAGGACGGCTCTTTGTGTTTTTAAATGTCAAATGAATCATCCTAATAGTTTGCATGAAATTCAACAAATCATCAATAACTATTTACACACAATCACAGGAAAGTATTGAAGAGTTTAGTGTACTTTAATGTGACTGACGAACCCCTGACATCTCTATCTCAACATTCCTGATGCAGGGATGAACAGAGATATGGTCCTTCAAGCGAAAACAAAGAGAAAAAGGCAGCGAGCACTCACCGCCAGGGCAGTGGAGTAGGAGTTGAAGATGTTGATCCTGAACTCCTTCAGCGCTTTTTTGAAGACGACATCCACCATGGTGTCCTTCTTACCATCCTCAGAGTCTAGGTCAGCGATCTGGAGGGATAAGTAATTTTCAAGTAAACGACTCCAAAGGCGATGAAACATAAATAAAACAGCTGAGAGAAATTAGCAACGGTTTACTGAGACAACATGACATTAAAATGTAATGTGTAATGCAAGGTTTTCTTTAACTTGTGGACGCAGCACTGTCAATATCCTATAATATTAACATTGTAGCATGATCATTTAACTTCACAGGGTGTTAATGTATCCTCTTAGACAATTGCAGCACACAGATAGGCAAAATATGAAGGAGATATACTATTTTGAATCTGATTACAGCAGCACCATCATACCAGGAGTGTGTCTAGTTGTATGTGTGTGTGTGTTTGTGTGTTTGTGTGTGTGTGTGTGTGTGTGTGTGTGTGGTAATTTAAAAGTATATTGTAAGTAGCAGTTGTATCAGGACACTGTTCAAATAAGAGACTCAAATAGTGTCTGCAAGATTAAATAAGTAAAATCCAACCTAACCTCACTGTAAAATGTCTCTCTCTGTCTCAATAACTGATGACAGTTTTTAGACTCTTTCTGTTTTTAATAAATGTATGAATGCTGTTTGACAAACAAAATTGTATCTACCTGAATACCACTCGCTGGAAATATCAATGACAGATTTCTCAAAACATGGACAGTGCACCTTTAAACTGCATATTCTAGACTATTTTAAGTTTCAGGCGTGTTCAGGTACCCTCCTACCTTCTTCATGAGGAAGTCGTTCATGCTGCGGTAGTCGTGGGCCGAGGTGAGGATGTGTAGTGCGTCGTTTTGCCACTGGGCGGGTTCCAGAGCGATGCTGCTGATCTTCACACTGCGACGCCTCCTCATCTTAGGAGACGGCTCCTTGTTCTCCTTACTATCCCTGAGCCCCCGAGAAGAGGCTGCCTCCAAATCTGGACTGTGAGGAGGAGAAGGGCCTTCTGGGAGAATGGACAGAAAGGTGGATCAGGAGGTGGAGGCACATGTACTGTACACGTGTCTGTAAATCTGCACTCAAAGGATAAAGACAAAACATTTTGTGTTGTTTTTAATACCTTGTGACTCTCCAGCTTCGCTCCTGCTGCCCTGCTTCTCTCTTGAAAGTTTTTTCTCTGAGTGCTTCGTCTTACTCCAGAATCTCATCTTTCCTCTCATCCTGCTAAATCACAAACACAATTGATTAATTTGACACAAATGTCTGCCACAAAAACAGACGAAAGATCATGGAAAAACTCTGATAAAAGACTATTAAAGGAACAGTCTGTAGTGGCATCTAGCTGTGAAGTTGCAGACTGCAACCATTTGAATACAGCTCCGCCTTCCAAGTGTGTAAGAGAAGCTACGGTGGCCAAGAAACTCGCAAAAACCAGGAAAGACCCTGCCTACAGCCAGTGTTTACCTCAACAAAGAGAGTTTTACCTCATGAACATGTCAATTTTCTTTTTCTACAGTTCTGTAAATCTGATTATGTAAAAAGTGAAGTTATTAAGAGCAGGAGGATTTTATGTGTAAGAAGATATAATTATAGTGATCTACCTTCCATCCTGACTGGAGGTTTTCCTGAGGACCTCCACCTTGCCCAGGTCTCCTGATGACATGGTCTTATGGATCTTCTTCTGGTCTTTGTGAGATGGCTGGAGAGCAGAGAACAAAATATATTAACAAGTATTCCAATGGATAGACCCGGTACTGGCAGGTTTAAAACCTGTCCAGGACGCTGTGGTTTTTTTGGCGACCATCCCCATTACTCAATGTCCTGTTTAAATATTATGGAGTAATATGTTTATATAATAATTTATTCTACAACATAGAGTATAGAGTACATAATTCCACATAACTGTGGTAAATGTTTGTAAATCATGTAAATAACAACATATTGAGGTAAATGACTGATCCTCTAGTTCTATTGATGCTACTAAGTGTACTGATATAATAAATCCACTGACTCAGAGAGTGACGCTGATATTGAGATATCGAGAGAGAGAAACAGAGGTCATGCTCGTAATGTCCTGTTAGAAAACGACGTTGTTAGTGAGAAGTCGTTCGGCTCAAGGTTTTCACGATTCCAGCATGCAGGAGCAGAGGTCGGCGTGCAGTGTGACACGAGGCATGATGCTGTGTTGTTGTTGAAGATCAAAATATGAGTGAAAAAGATCTTCAGTCAGTCCTCATCTCTGTTTGTTGTTGAGAAGAAGTAGATACATGGATACCTTAATACATTATTGCTGTATTTTGAGTTTTAACCTTTTATTTTTCCTTCAAGACAGCTGTGCACACAGTGTGAAGTTTTCTTCTTCACCTGTCTTTAAGTGACAGTTTAATTTGAGGGGGCAAACATTAGCAAACTAATTATTTGAGGCTGTAGCTGTGTGTTGCTTTCACTGATGCATTATATACTAAAAATAAATAAATCAGCTTCACCCAACAAATCAACAATTCCTTCAGAATGAGTGGTGAAGCGGTTAGTCAATTACTGGATTACTGGGTCAACGGAAAATGAATCGCCAACAATTCTGACATTCAATTAATCATTTAGATTGATTATTCAAACAACAACTCAAAACAGATTGTTGTTGTTATATCACTTGTAAAGTGAAAATCTTTAGGTGTTAGACTGTTAGTTTAATCTAACAAGCAATTTGAAGACATTCTTCATTATCATAATCACATTTTATTATTAAAAATTATCAAAATATGAATTCATATTGGCAATTATTGGTAGTTGCAGTCCTACATGGCAACATGGTGTGTGTCCACTGAAGGAAAAATACAAAATTAAACTCCAAAAATGTTGTATGATGATGATGATGTATCCCTTGATAAAGAGATATAGAACTTTTGTGAGATTAAAAGAAGAAAGAAGTCTAGAAATGACAGCTGAGATGACTCAGGTTGGGCTGAGATTCAAACCAGTAGCTACCAGAGCGACGTGCAAGGCCATTCACGCCAGACCCGCCCGGTGACGGTCTGTTTGAGCGAAGTGGAGAGACTGTTTGCTCAGACTGTAGCTCAGTAGTCAAACAGTCCGACAGTAGTTCAGTGGTGAAAAGTACGACAAAAGTGTGGTTAGCAGTGTTAAAAGGCTCCTCCCTTGCCACCTGGTCCACCTGAGAAGAAGGTAAAGGTGGGTGGCAGCCTGAGTGGACAGGAAAGAGATTGCTGATCAATTGCCTGGAGGTCATGGAACCTCCAGAGATCCGGTATTTTACCATCTCGGAGTCACTGTGACAGTCAGCCTCAGGGTGGACGCATGAGGGAGACAGGGATGGGGGCAGCGTGTGGGAGTGGGCGGGGATGTAGTATTCGTCATCGTCGTCTGACTGGGTCGCCCCCTCAGAGTTACAGCGGGTGAGGAAGTCAGAGCGTGTCCGGGACATCCGCGCTTTCTTTTTGGGGCCGGGGCGGCCCACCTGCTTCCAGGCAACCACAGGAACATCAGGTCAGCCGCTAACGTGTGTGTGTGTTTGTGTGTGTTTATGCATGGATGCATGAGATTGAAACTGACTTCATGTGCACAACACTGTGAAAGGTACATGTAAATAAAATCTTACCTGACCCAGATACATCATTCATGAGGTGAATTCTTCACAAAAGTACAAAAAGTAGCTACAGATACTCAACTAAACAAGGCCTGCAAATAAATGTGTATATTTATATAATATATAGTAAAGAAAACATATTAGCTTCATATAGTGCATTTCGAACGGAAGAGGGATTTGGTGACTTTTCATCTAAATTAAGTTGTAAGTTATAGATTTGTTCCAGGTTTATTTATTATGCATCAGCTGTACATAATAGGTGTGTGTGTTTTTTCATCCTGTATAAATCTGTTATGTAAATCGGATGTATGTCTAGTCTGGTTAGATTCTGTAAGATTATTTTCTGAATATTTGTAAACACAACGAGAGCCACTGAGTCAAAATCCTTGTATGTTTTACCATCTGTGGCCAATTAAAGTGAATCTGATTCTGAGGTTTTCACATAGAGCAGATGTTTCCAGTAGCTACAGTACATTTTAGAGTTGGTAAAAAAAAATATAATGATAATATAATTTTCAGTTTAATAATGATTTATTGCAACAATATTAGCCTGCACACATAACTGTATAAAGATGAAACAATGTGCATGTGATGTGTGAGGGAGCATGTGGGTGTTTTCACCTACGTGTGTGTGTGTGTGTGTGTGTGTGTGTGTGTGTGTGTGTGTGTGTGTGTGTGTGTGTGTGTCTCCTACCTCTCTGTTTCTGGATCCAGCAGATTTGGAGTCGTACATGGCCAGAGATCTTTCCTGGTTCACCAAATCCTTATCTGACCTGCAACCCGAAACCAGACATTTAAAGGCTCAAATCTACTTTTCATCTGTTAATACAGCATCAAACAGTGGTCACCAGCCTTAATGCAATGCTGCTATACATTAATTAAGTGCTAATAATCCCTACAATATATCAACTTCACATAGGTGTATTGCTCTTTTCTTGGATTTTCTGAGCAAAAGGTTTGGTGTTTTACAGAATTTGTAATTTTTTCAAAGAGATCCAAAGAGTCAAGGGGGTAGGATTGTGTCTTTCCTAACCTGCCGTCCTCCAGTATAATGGGTCACTTACTTGGAGAAGGGCAGCTTGCGTCTGGGTGGGGAGAACACAGTGTTGGAGGGTTTCTCCAACATGTTCACAATCACAGTCTGGGCTGAGCTCTTCTTCTGAGCTTTTGGAGGTTTGGTGTCCAGGACCGGGTTGGGAGCCTCCTGTGCTGGCCGGATCGCCTTCCCTTCCTGCTGACTGGGGAGAACAGCTGGGACAATGTCCTTTGGCTCAAGAATGATCTGGATGTCCACCTCTGAGGAGCAAATCCCGGGTACTTCTGGACTTAATTCATGGGCAGATGAAGACGGGACCACATCAAATGCACCACTCCCATTAGGCTGTTCCATCTCTGATGCTACATCCAAACCTGCAATGGGGGTCATTTGGGAATCGGATGATGCTGCTTCTGTTTCAGGAGCTCTTTCTAGGGTTTGGGCTGCCAGCAGCTCCCCCTCCTCCACAGGGCTCTCCTTCTGCATACTGATCAACACCACTACAGGCCTTCGAGATGTGGACTCTCTTCTCTCTTTGGAAGGTTTGCTGGGGCTTTCAAATTTTGGTTCATGTACTGGACTTTGGTCAGAAGCAATATAAAATGTTGCCCTTGGACCCTCTGTCTTGTTTTGTGGCTCCATCACAGGTTTTTCATTATAGTTTGAATCTCTCAGCCCCTCGTGTAGTTGCATATCCAGTGCTTGGGGATGTTCATGAGTTACAGTCGACTGGGAAACAAAACCTCCTGAGCCTTCAGTCTCCATGTCTTCCACACTGAGCAGTTCAAAACTTCCATGACTAGCTGGAGATCCCCGTGGTGAAAGTCTGTGATGGTCTTCCAGCTGACAGGTGGTGCTGTCTGGGACTGAGTCTTCTTGCAGAGGACCTCCCACGCTGGTGGTTCGGACCTTGAGAAGCTCTAAGCTGAACTGAGCCTGCTCCAGCTCTCTCATCCGTCTGCTCTCTCGTTTCGACCGACTCTTGTAACTCATCTCATCTATGCTCCTACTTCGCTCGGAGTCCTCTTCTTTTTCTGTCTCTCCCACATCGAACAGAACAGGCTTAGAGTCTTCAGAAAGTTCTCCAGAGATATCCTGGACGTAACCTTCCTGTTCTGATGAGGGGAGGTCCTCCATGGTTCCTGCATCCATCTCTGCTGGTAGACCAAGTTGTCTTTCATGCTGCTCCTTCATTTCACTGAACCTAAAGACATTATGAGTAAATAATACAAGTATAATTAACAACATTCTCCATAAAAAGGCAGAAAACTGAATATTATACAAACTATTCACAATAAGTGCTGAGAACATATGCCCTCCCTATTACAGTTTCTGCTGATTTTCACTCAAGGGTCCAGTGTGTAGGATTCAGCAGCATCTAGCAGTATAGTTGCAGATTACAGCTTTCTTGCCTCATCCAAGTTGGAGGAGAAACTATGGTGCCCGTGCAACTTGCAAAAAACATGAAAGGTGGCCAGTCTACTGGGTGTGCATTAGATAACACCACTTTAATCCAGTTATTATTATAACTGAAGTTCTTTAAATTTAACCAAAAGCCTCACTGACTAATCTTTTACTCAGACTTCTCACCACACATACTGTACATCCACTCATACTTTAACTCCTTAATTCACCTGAGTCGAGTCAGGTATCCCCTGGCCAGCGCCTGCAGCTGTGTCACACCCCTGTACGTCCGACAGAAGCGATTCCTCTCCCTGAATCCTCTCCAGGCTGTTTGAACCGTTACAGCTGCCAAACATCTGCGATGACACCAATGTCTCCAGCTCCTCTGTATAACAATGGCGGAGTCCCGCCACTGCAGGAACCTCCTGCGTTCTCTGTAGCTCCTCCAGGCCGCCTGCAGACACACCGCCGCCTCCTCCTCATAACTCATGTCAATGGTGGACTCTTTGAGAAGGCATCTTCGCCACCATCGCTGAAGAAAATCAGAAGGGGAAAATGTGTTTAAATGTATGAATTAAATGGACGTAGTCTAACAATCTAATGAGTAGATTTCAAGTTGTATAACCAATAATTCTTGCTTATGTTCAACAAAAGGTCGGCAAAAACCCCTTGACTGATTTTTCCTTTTAGGTTTGATAATGATAATAATAATAATAATAATAATAAAAGATAAAAATAAAATAAATAGGCTAATAAAAGTAATAAAAATTAATAAGAGTAAAAAACAATCTTAAGATATAAAAAACATAAAAACAAGTATGAGAAATAACAAATAACAGTAATAACGTAAAGAAAACAGGTGGAATTAATTAAATGCAAGATCATAAAAACTAGTTTTGAACTGTACTACTAAAGAATTGTACTTAATGACCTTGGCAGCAAATATTGTTTGTATTTGCCAATTTTGTGTTTGTTTGAATCCCCCTTCAGGTAATACCCAAATAAATAGCTGAAGTTTATGGGATTTTATATTTTTGTTTTTCCTGGCATGCTATATAGCATGTCTGATGATGGACTTATCTGGCACCTGGATCTGGCAGACATCACTGGAATCGTTTTACAAATTCAAACAGGCAGAAAGCACTTTACATTATTTTGATCAGACTCTAGAATAACTTTCTTCTAATTTTGTAATAAATGTATTAAATGCCAGATTGTATTGTGCAAAAGGAAAACCTTCAGCCAGCTACTGAAAAGAATTAACTTAACTCTGATTTGTGACTAACTTTCCTAATTGAAAGCACACAGTACCTCCAGATACTCATTTTCAGTCATAAAAAACAAGTTTGCAGTACATGTTATTGCTCTATTGTTATTCTTATATATGTTTTCTGTGCTTCATTGGCTCCTGCTCAGTGTTTCACTGTTTCTGGACTGACTGGGTTTGTTTTCTTTTAGCCTGACAAAGATTTGGACAGCTCCCCTCTGAGGGCTCTTCCAGAAAAAACATTCCGACAGTGGCCTGAATTCAGTGTTTTCTTCCTCCGACAAACCTTTCAGTGTTTGCTTTCTTTCATTCTCTCTCTCCCTCTGTCTCTCTTCCTTTCTCTCCTCAGAGAGTAACAGTATAGCCTAACACCATATCTTTTCAAAATCACTGATTCAAAAATAAAAATTGGTGAATAAAGACTCTCTTTTCTCTTTTTAAAGGTTTGACTTTAGTTTTCAATAATACGCAGTTAGGAAAATAAAATATTTCTTAACTTTGATGATTTAAGATGTTATTAATCATTTCACCCCCTGCCCTTAAAGAGTAACTTAACACAAGGCTAAAAAAGCTCTCTCCCCTCTTTGAGTTTCAAGCCTGTTTCTTCTTTGACCACTGATAGGTGTGACATATGCACCTCTAACCACACCCAAAACTGGTGTCACATAGTCCTGGAGTCTATCTGTACATCACTGCAGCGAGGTTGAGAAGTTAAACCATTGCAGGTCAACAAAAAGTTTTTTGGGGGTGGTTACATTATCCTTTAATAGGTTTTTAATGTTATCATGTTGTTGTAACATGTTTAAAATGGTAGAAATCTCATTTTGGAATGAAAGCTAATCGCTCAAGAAGATGAATGTGTACTTAATATTACAGAGTGAAAGCAATAATCCCTAGAACTATAAGTAGAAACTGCGGTAAGGGCATAAATGCGTATTGTTAATAACCAAAGGACTATTTAGAAACCCCATTCCTATTATATGAGGAGTAAATGCACCACTATTAATCACTTAAAGCAACAGTCTCAGGCTAAGTAGGCTTAATGGACTTCTCCTGAAATGTTGGGAGAAAGAAACCCTGCTGGGCAGGATTATTAAACTTCTTCATGATGCACTTACAGAAACAATCTCCCAGCTAATCTGAATTTGAAACATTATTTAAACTGCATGAACGAGACCACAGGAACAGGGATGTAAATTTGCTGAATGTAACCTCTTCTAAGACTGAAACCCTCTTCATCCATCTACATCTCACCTGGATGACACAGGTGGCCCTCCTCATGTTAACAAAGTGCTTCCTCTCCAGGATGGCTCTGAAGCGGCGCTGCAGCATGACAATTCGCCGCAGGACTTCCTGGTGGAGGGAGGTCTGAAGACGCTGACGCTCTGCCTCCCGCAGGAACACCTGCACCAAACATGAACATACAATAAGCGCTGCAGTCCAACAGATGAGATGGTGCAACAAAATAAAACAGATGAACTGGCTTCCAGAGTCCGTACCATTGTGTTGCCCACTTGATACCCAGCAGGTGGCAGGTGGATCCGTCTGAAAAACTCCCTGATGCCTGACTTGGTTGGACTCGTGCCTCGGGGCAGCAGCACATGAAAGTGATGCACAAAGTCCTGCAACATGACATATGTGTGGTCATTAAAGCAGTTTTAGACACAATGAGGCATCATAATAGTTGAAAATTACCCTTAAATATGAATCCAAACAATAGAATATTACTAAAAATCTCATTATATAAAAAAATCCTGCTATTCGATTTAAAAACAGAAACTGACAGTAAAACAACTGTTTTCCTAAAATAACACTGAGTCTCAACATCTAGCCCTGTTTGTGCAGCAATAAAAAGGAAGATTAGAATCAGAATCAGCTTTATTGGCCAAGTATGTTCAGACATACAAAGAATTTGACTCGTGTTTACAGTGGCTTGCAGTGCACTTACACACACAGCCGAGAACAAAGGCACAGAAGGAATTTCTTAAACATACAGGATAACAAAGCTCAACAAAGACAAACAATCATAAACATATATGCATGAGATACAAAAAAATAGCAACAATAAAATTACCATTAAAACATGTCAGTAAATCTCTATCACTGCACCATGAACTAACTGGTCAATGCTAGAGCGGAACAACATTGTACTGTGACACTAACATGGCATCGACTAATAGGTCAGCAGTAGGAGAGGGAGGATTACCTGGAAGGTGTACTTGATACTGTATCCTGATTGTCGGATCCGGACGGTTTCCAGCATACCTGTGTATCTGAGCTGTCTAAGCACCAGGCTGTCATTGAAACGCAACGGCAGCTGAAGGACAGAGAGACAGAGAGAGAAAGAGAGGGTAATTGACATGAAACAGAAATCAGCAGTTATGAAGAGAAACCATATTGAAGCAATGACTCTTTCGCAGCAAAAATTACCTTCTCAGCATTGGAGCGAATACACTTGACAAAGTACGGCTCTGACTGATCAAGAGTCTCCATCAGCTTATTGAGAGACGCCTGCACACACAAACACAAAGCAATGACATCACATCCTCATCTAGCGTAAAAAAACTTGTAGTTTTAAGTGTAGAAAATCTGCATGTTTATCTTATAATCATTATAAGGTGTTGCTGCTGCTGAGTCACTAATGTTGCTGTAATTCACATGTTTTCCAGCAGAGGGCGACAGCAGCACTGACCTGGAACTGTGCGCTGATGCTGGGCGGTTTCTTCTTCTTGTGCAGGTGAAGCAGAGATTTAGTGATGCGGTCGTGGAGCGTCACGCTGCTCAGGTAGCGCAGAGACTTCACGTCCAACAAGTGCTGCAAACACAAAAACAGATCATATATCCCTCTGTGTCTGTCAGCTGATACCTACTGTAACACCTCAAGCTGATATGAGTGTCTCTAAAGGAGCTGCCATGTTGTGTCGTGTGTGTGTCTTACCTTGGGAAGGGTCGGCTTGCTTTTGCAGTTTTTGTTTCTCCTAAAGGTGAGAAATAGTGTTTTTATCAACAGATTCAAACTCAAGGTATCACCATAAGAGTACATACATTCATTAAGTTAAAACTGAGGCAGTGCTTCTTCCTTAGAATAGCCTGGCTATTACACTACCCATAATGGAAATGGATAACATTTTCTCCTTTGGCCCTCCTGGATCGGCCACTTCTACCCACTAATAGAAAAGGTAAATGCTTCTCTTCATAGAAACTCAGACATATTAAAGGACCAGTGTGTAAGATTTACTGGCATCTTGCACTGAGGTTGCAACCAACTGAAACTGGTCGCCACAACCAAGCGTGTAGGAGAAACTACAGTGGCCACGAAACCCCTGAAAAACACCATCTAGAGCCAGTGTTTGGTTTGTCCTTTCTGGGCTACTGTGGAAACATGGCGGTTAAACATGGTGGCCTCCATGGAAGAGGACCTGCTCCATCTGCAGATAAAAATGGTTCATTCTAGGTAAGCAAAGTGCGGCGTGCGGTCCACATTTATACATTATGATTTTAAAGTCTATCAGCTTAGACCAGCAGATTAGGGTCAATAGTTCAGCAGCACTCACTGGTGTGAGTTTCTGTCTATGTGTGTGTGTGTGTGTGTGTGTCTGTGTGTGTGTGTGTGTGACTCACAGTAGGATGCCCTGAGCTCTCTCCAGGAGCTTGCTGCTGGTAGAGTTAAGAAAGATCCCGTCCTCTTCCAGGGCAGGGCTTCCCGTCGAAGACAGACGATCAGACCTGGAGCTGCGACCGTTACAGCCAACACCATAGCCATCCCTACAAAGGCAGGGATGGACGGAGAGAGATGGAGAGAAAGAAAGAAAGAGAGATGAAGGATTTGCAGTAGGTTCGGCAGCCCTAGCAGAAGTTTCTAATTTGAGAAAATGTTAATAACAGAAATTTTACATTTTACATGTTTTATCACTTCAATTGAATAAAGATCTTCCAAGGACCATACCACACACTGAAGACACAGATAAAACAAACATCTCTATGTCTGTAATCAGACTGAGGTTTCGTCAATTTCTTTAACAGGGTTATTTTTTGGTGAGAGTTTTCTTATCTGGGGTTGTAGTATGCTGCACAGATTGTAGAAGCAAATTTGTTGTATTGGACTTTATAAATAAAATTGACTTGATTCAGACACTTGAATTGTCTCGTACTAACCAGCTGGCCTTCTCATTCAGGGCGTTGGTGCCTTGAAGGTCTGACAGACGTGTCCGGGGATTCTTCCGTGTGATACCTGGAGGGCAGGAGGAGAGGAAACACATATGAAATTCAAAACTCACCAGATTTACATCTACATCTGCATCTCTGAGCCCAGCATGAACAACCATCAACCACCTATATACCATGTAAACCCTCATTGCTTTTCCCATGGACTGGACACTGCATTTTGTACAAAGCTTTTCTTTATCTCTCCTATCTGGCAGCCTTGCTGCTTTCCACACTACTAAAGCTTTATTTTGCTCCTGTCTTAGACTGATATTCATTTTCCCCAGTCAGCCGCAAGGGAGCGTGTGAGAGTGTCAGTGGTTTTGGCAGTGCAACATCAGTTCCTATGGAGATATTATATAAATGCAAACAAGCAGCTAATGAGCTGGGTGTTTCCAGATTACATTTGTGGTTTAAACCCACTGCTTTTACTATGCAGTGACTTATTTTACAGAACTTTAACTTTAACTCTTCAATAGGGATGGGGATTGAGAATCGGCTCCAGATTGTCCGATCCATCGTAATCGTAATCGATCTTATCAATTCCTTTTATCAATACCGCCATGTTTTTCTGACGGTTGTGCATTACAACAGCTATGACGTCAAACTCATGTGTCTAAGCTGCAGTAAACATCAACAAGGAGTCAAGGTGGAGAGGAAGAAACAGTCCAAAGCAAGGCTTCATTTCACAAAGACAAACGGTGAAAACAATATTCTGATAAACAAATACAATATTGATAAAACTCGTGTCTGTATGGTTAATATGAAGCTAAAGCCAGCAGCCTGTCAGTTTAGCACAAACACTGGAAACGGAGGGAAACAGCTAGCCAGCTAAATGTGACAAAACCTGCCGACAAGCGCCTCTACAGCTCGCTAATCAACCCTGATTGATTAATCCGTATAATAACTGAAGCGTAAAAACAACAATTAGCCATTTTACAGGGATTTGTGTGCCAGACTATATCTGGACTGGGACCAGTAACTTCCTGGAGTCTTCTACTAGTTGCCTAGCAACTGTGGTGGTATAAATCGTCTCATCTGACTTTCAGATCGAATAATCAGCACCAAAATGCTGAGTTACTTCTTTAAGCCAAACAAACCTTTTAGTTTAACTGTGAGGCTCCAATTTCTTTGTTAATTACAGCACTTCCATACGTTTTTTTTTTTGCTTAACAAACGGTTGAAGTTGATGCAGCAGAGGTTAAAATATCCCAATTTTTAGTCCCTAATATGGGCCACACCATACATTTGTAACACAGGATTTCCTTTTATAGCCTCCAAACCCAAGGCGAGATAACCCCTGTTGACATCATTAGGGTTATTTTTCAGACTTCATAGTCATTCTCTCCAGAGCCACACAAAGACATCACGCAACTATTTTTACAGGCTGGGTTTTACTAACCATGACTAGCACACTGATGTTCATGTATACAATCAGTGGAGTTTCCCTTTAGTGGAGGAAACACTTTGGCGAATTCATCTGAAAATTTCCTTGGAAATCAGTTTTAGTTCCGGCAGCTGTTAAATCCCGTTGGATTTATGTGCATGAAAGTGCAACTTTACATCATGATGCCACATGACATGCATACACACACTTACAAAGACACACATTCATGTGCAAACAAGTCCATACACATCAGAAGCCAAGTGTGTGATAAAGGATGACCAGAAAATGACTTGTAAAACCCTGCCGGTCCACATGCGACTGATGAATGATTTGTCTGATTACTCATGCGTGGGAACAGGTTTGGTTATGAGGTGAGTCAATCTGACCAGAACTCTGAATGACCCAGATTTCTGATTTCCAATATCTTATTAACGACTTTAATAAAAACCAGTTTCCTGAGGCTGAAAATCAAAGCGATCCATTATTCTCAACTTTACCACCAGGGACTTTTTTAATGCAGCCTGAAATTGATTTCTTTGATTGGGTTGAGCTCAGTGAAGGGCTTCTGATTGGGATCTTCACTTCAGCTCACCTCAAGTCAATGGACCTTTATTGACAAGAACCCATGATATTATAAACAGCATTAACAGAGAGCACATTTCAAATACTGCTTAAATCAGTTGAGGATTGTGTTTCACTTCAAAATAACCTAAAAAATAAATAATGAGAACGAGAAATAACTTGAATATACTTGAAGATAAGGTTTGGAATTGAAACTGATTATATTTCAAATGTATTTCAGTGTATTCTACCTTCTTAATAAAACATATATAAAAGTTGCTTCAGCCCTTTTATGTGTCTTGTGTGTGCAGATGGGCCATTATTATATTTAAGGGAATTTTAAAAAATTGTATTTAATACATTTGAAATTGGGAACATTTTCACTATGCTGTCTTTTTATTACTTTGAATGGCTGTGACAGCAGCTTTTGTTTTTCTGTCCATTTTGTTCCAACTTCTATTAGCAGAAACATATTCTGAGGTGCCTTCCCCTTAAGCAGACCCTGTTTACAGTTAACAGTGTCCTCCTGCAGCAGAAACAGTGCAGTTTAAACCCATGTACCCCTGTTTTCTTTTAAAAGGACGGTATTTATTTCTGTTGATAATTGGCTGATAACGGAGAGTCTTGAGGTATTTGGAGTAACCTACTGTATCTCTCGTCTTTGCATCTTTGAAGGATCTCGAGGCTCCTCTGGTGAACCGGGTGATGAAGGAAACTGAAGCTGTCGACAGTTTTGACAACAGCACTCGGAACTGCTGCATCGTTCCCTAAAGCAGAGAAAGGGAGAGTAAACAGAAGAGAATAAGAGACTTAATGTTTAATGAAGCATCTCCAGTTTATATCATGAAGTAAAATTGGTTCTATATGTTAAACAAAAAAAGAAGAAACAAAAACAAAAAGGATAAGAATTAGAGAGGGAATTCTTCAAGTGAGGAGAACAGACACAAACCCCTCTGAGATAAGTCAGTGGTGACATTTTCAAACACTCTGCACTGTAGCATTCCTCCCAGTCTGAGAAAATAAACACTGCAGAAGAAGATCAAAACCTCTCTTCTTCCTCCTCCTCGTCCCCATCATCATCAACAGCAGAAGCACAACTCCAACTTAAAACTCTTCACCTCCCCAAACACACCCTGTTGTTCTTGGCCCAATTGAAACAGGAGTTTGGACATCACAGCATGAGAACAGCTTTCTCCATAGTAATGAATTACAGTTTGGAGTATTTTGCATTGAGCAACAAAGAACATCTATTAGCAGTCATGCAGAATCAGAATATGGAGCAGAGAACAGTTATTGTTGCTTTCTGCAGTCTTGGAAAATAAAAAACTAAAAACTTTTGAGTAAATATAGAAAAATAAGATCTTTGTATTTTGGGTTCAAACTGAGTTTTTATCATGTAACGTAATATAACAAAGGCTGCAAATCTTGCATATTTTCATTATATATGAATCTGTTGGATTATTATTTATTAATTGATTAATTGACTCTCTCAAAAACTAGTGAAAAATGCCCATTGCAAATCCTTCAAACTGCTTGTTTTGTGTAACATATGATATAAAGAAATTAAATTCTAACATTTGAGAGAGCGCAGAGAACAGATATTGGGAGTTACATAAACAATGAACTGATTATCAAAATTGATGCTATCGATCCACTTATCAATTAATGGACTAATCGTTTAGGTACAAAATATAATAAAATAAATAGAATATAATGTTTCTACATCTGCAAGTGATGTCTTCTCATACTGGACTCCAGAAGGTTAGTGATGGAAATAATAACACACAAGGAGGGTCAGGCATTTTGCTTATAAGGTCCAGGGCTATTGATATATTGGTTGACTCTGAGATTGATTAATCGCTTCGTTCTGCTGGGACTAATTGGACCGACAGTAACTAAGCAACCCTGCAACTGTCATCAGATTCTAATGTTGCTAAATCCTGATTGGTAACATAACCTAAACAATTCTAACTTTGAAAGTGTTTTCATGTATAATCCTACAACTCACAGTATCATTAGTTCTCATTATTATATTGGAAGTTTTCTCACCAGTTTTTTTCTGAGTGTGTCTGCGGCCGGCCTGCCTGAAAGCCACCAGGGCTCTGAAGTAGGCTCGCAGCACAGCCCAGCGGAAGGTCGCCACAGGGTCGATTCCCATCAGGCCGCAGATGAAGGCCTTCTTGCTGCTCTTGAGCAAGGCTACAATGTCGGGACGCATGTGGTCAGTGTTCTTCTCCCTGAAGTCCTGAATGAAGGACAGACATGTGCATCCAGCCGAGTGTTAGTTATTCCTCAGGACTGTTTTGTCGCACACTGTCTTTATCATCTCACTGGTATTTTCCCATCAAAAGCGATCATTCTTTTATCTGTTTCCCAACATCAAGATGGAGAAATCACAAGTCACAACCATATGCAGAGCTTTCTTCTGGGCTGTGTTTTTTTCTTGTTTGTTAAACAGTGGAAAGCCAGTTGGCAGCACAGTTTATTTAACTATTTACCGACAAATGGTTCCCTGCTGTTACTCCACAAGTAAAGGAATGGGGTTAGATGAGAAGACTGATACTATCATGTTATATCTGTTCGTTAAATATGAACATTGAGACAGCACTCAATTAGCTTAGCAACATGGGGGTAAACAGCTAGCCTGGCCCTGTCCACATGAAACAACAGCACCTACCAGTACCTCTAAAGCTCATTAATTAACATGCAATATCTAATTTTATCTGTACAAAATATACAATTAAAAAAATCCCATGCTGCGGTTTTATTTCTGTTTGTGTTGATTTGTGAACACTAGAGGTGCTGGTAGGCAGATTTTGGGCAGAGCAAGGCTAGCAGTTTCCCTTTGTTTCCATACTTTATGTTATTCTAAGTGAAATGACTGCTGGCTCCAACTTCACATTTACAGAAAGATATGAGAGTGGTATCAATCTTCTCACATTTCCCAAAATGTCTACAGTGAATTAACAGAATTAAAGCAAATAATTTACACAACCTGGAAATACATCATTTATTCTAATTTGTTCTAATATAATTTTCCTTTTACTTCTTCACATTAAATATGAGATGCGGTAACACACAAAGTTAACCACCATCTCCTCTTCTGCCTCATCTGTCTGTAAGCACTTAAAATATTTCGACTGAAGCTGTGCTATGATAACAGAGCCATGAACCCTTCAACATATTCCCTCTCTATGATACGAGTCAGCTGTGTGTTCACTACCGAGCCAACGTCAGACACATTTCACCACCGTGGCTCTCGCTACACAATTCACACCAAACAGCTCATTGGCTCTCGCTAAATATGGAATACCTTTTCACATCCACGATAACCAACTGTTCAACAGATTTATGTTACAGTCAAACAACAATACGCTTGTCCCATTCCAGCACATGTGCTTCTTATCAAAACGCAGCTGGGAAGTGAACAGAGAATTTGATTTAGCTCAAAAAGACGGTTCGACAGCACAACAAGCAGGTCTGCTGCAGATTTGTAGAGTTTTATAAAGGTTTAAGTGAAGATGCTCCCTTTATCTCTTCAGAGCTTTGAGTTTAGACTTTAAGCACAGAGACAGAAGAGTTATGTTTAATTTACAGTACATTTTAGGAATATAGCTCACACTTTTAATCCAGATCCAATCCTGATTTACAAGACATACACAACAGATTCACTTGTGTTAAAGGGGCCATATCACATTTTTTGTCATTGTCAGACAATTAAAGCTCTATTGTGATTAGTTTGTTGTGATTAGTCCTTGATGTCTCTAACATACTGAAATCCACAGTTTAGTAAAGAAAGACGAAAAACACTTGACTGCTTCGTCAAACCCTCAAACAAGTGACTGGTTCCTTGTACCCGTTGATCCATGATGGATTCCTGTCTGCCTTGATTTGGTTATTTGAATGTAATAGCATTGTTCTTATGTGTCAAAAAACTGAATTAAAAAAATAAATGCTCCACACTTGGTGTAAAAAGACCAATAAGGTTACTTGTGAAGCATTGAAGCAGCTCAAAACTTAAAGAGTCAGAGATATTTTTCCTGCAGATTAATCTCATACTGCAGGATGCTGCTTACATTCTCACGTGTACAAAGCACATACACTGACAGACCAGAGCATGAATCTTACCTTGACTCCGTACTTGACTTTACCAGCGTAGTGTCTGATGATGAAGGCGGGCTCCATGACAGCAGGGAACTCGATGTAGCTGTTTCCTTCATGCTGACGCTTGAACTTGTCCAGCAAGGTCTGATTGGAAGCCTGGGGGAAACTAGAGGGAACAATGATTTTATCAGGCTCAGGTTCAAAACACAAACCATTGAAATCTGAAATCTAATAAATCTCTGATTAGACTTTATGCACAACAAGTCTACTAATAGAAAATATTTTCTTTATGAAACTCTTTTGGCACTTTTTTAAAGAGCCATTTGTCTCTTTTTTATTTGTACTTTCAACTCAAAAGCAGTGCCACTGTAGCAGCTGATGACTACACCATACATTTATCAGAAAGGACACAGCATCTCTTATTCCTTTTCCCTAAGCTTCAGGGATTAAAACTCAATGCTATGGCTCAAATTCAACCAAAGTTGCAGCACCTTTGCTTACACTTTCTTCTCTAGTGTTTTCACCTTCGCTTTATGGAAATTATACCCATTCACTTCTAACCTCAGGAGGCTAGATCAACATTCCTAAAGGGATGTTTCATATCATCTAAACCTCCATACAGCTCTGAAACACATCGCTGGATGAAGCATATCCGCAGGGATCTTAAAGCTTGATGCTGTTACTGTAGAACTGAACCCCCACACTCGCCCCCTATCCTGCAGTAACCTAATCCACTTCTCCAGAGGCCCCCGAAGCCCCCCAAGCTCCAATAACTGTGAATGATGACATCTCTACGCATCTTTCTTTCTTTCTATGTAATCATTTAGCATGAAGCCCCTTCCCGTGGCAGCATAAACCCCAGGAGAGACCCTGTCCCCGCCACCTCATTCCTCAATTCTCCAAAAGTGGTCGACCTCTTGATTGACACACATACACAGACATATATACATATGACCCAGCTACACTAAGTGACGGGTAAGATGACAGCTCACATAGATAAATATGGCTGTGTGTGCACCGCCTGATGTGTTTTTATGTGAGAGGGGCGGGAGAGGGCTGGGTTTGATTTATGAAGGAGAAAGAGTCAGAGTGCTGACCTGCAGAAGGAGAGCGTTTCACACTAGAGAAGGCAGAGATCCAGAGATGCTGGCGGAAGAATAAGCATGTCTTTATGCTTTATTTAAGTCCCAGTGTTGGTATCAATCAAGCTAATGAGCAAAATGCCTGCACAGGGAGCTATTTGTCTCTTCGAATTACCAGTTGTGTGAAAGATGGGCTTGTGCAGGGTGATCAAAAGGCCATTTAAACAAAGAGTGCTACATTAAAATATGTTGTACTTTCAATAACATGGACAAGGTAAGAATGTAAATTATGTATATGGGAACTCAATAATTGGAAACGTACACACACACTCAAACTTTAGCCGTGTAAAAAACATCCTAAACTCCACATAGAACACAAGCTTGTATAACAAAATGAGTCCTCATGTTTGGTGCTTCTTTTTGAGATATTATTAGAAATAGTGGGGAAGCCAACTATTAGTTAAGATAAAGATCGAATAATTCAAATTGGAACCCATTATAGACCAAACTACATCCAGTAATCTGATATATTTTCAGAGCTCTCAGGGTTTCTTGTAGTCTTTCATGGTGAGTTGACCCATCGCACCTAAGATACCTGAAGAAATACAATATTTGGCTTACTGAGCTTTTGGAAAATATTCAATTTTGCTACATCACACAGCAAATACCACATACTCAGTGAGTCAGATGACTGTTTTATCTGTCATCAATTAACTACATTGATAACAAGCTCAGCAGGCAGATGGATTGATTGATGACACCATACCTTTGCTTTGCAGTTATTAATCAAAGCAGGACATCTCAAAGTCAGCCAAAAATGAATCAGTTCTTACAAGTTGGGAGAAGCCTAATCAGTCACAATCAGTGTGAGACAAGAAACTGTCTGCTGCACTTCAGGTCTGACACAGGCTGAAGTTAGTTTGATAAACACCAGCAGGACATGAGTTGCATCGAGGTGAGGTTCAAAATTCGCATTGGCCAATCTGGACTTGTGTATCACCAATGTCTGTAATCAGACACTTCTGACACTGATCTGATTATCCCAATAAATCCCCCTCCTCATGTTTGACACTGTTTGTTATGATTTAATTTGATCTCTGAATCAATTCTCCAAATGTTTGCCTAAGTAAATAAAATGCAATTAACAAAGTAACCAGGTTATTTAATTGTCTCCAGGTGGTTTTACCCTCCATAACATCACTGAATGTAACAGTACACCGCAATATCAACATATCATCTGTCCCAGAGTTACCCAGTTCACTGTTGGAGAAGGCATGAGTAACGAATGGTATGGCATCAACATAGCCCCAAACTCAAGTTCAATTTGGGGAACTCTAAATAGAATTACACAACTTTCTCTTTTTGGCTAACTCAAAGGTGGCTTACTTGCACTCCTCGTCCAGCAGGTGGAACAGTGCCGTTGGTTTCTTGCTAATGAGGTTGATGCAGCCGCTGTTGTCAATGTAGTCGATGTTGTGCCAGGTGATGCCCTCCGCCCTGTACTCCTCCTGCAGGGGGAAACACAGAGGAAGGAAGATGTTGGGTCAGTAAATACTCGAAAGGCTAGAGTTCAGAGACGTTCTGCAAAAGCTGTGATTGAGAAAAGGGCATTGTGTTGACGTTGTTGACTTTTTTTAACCTTTATCTTAATAAGACTGAGTCATCACTTCTTTGCCACTGAGCAACTACACAGGGAGCATTCTGGGGTTTTGGTGTTTTTTGGAGGGAATTTTCACACTAGCTTCAGAGGAAGTCTTTAGTCATAGTCTTTTCCTCACTTTTTTCAGAACTGATAGATTCAGGGTTAGGGGTTAAAAGACAAAAGACAAACCTACTCTCAACCCGACTGAGAGGGGCAGTGACGATTAGAGTAAAACGTTAAGTGTGGCTGGAATAATCCAGAATTTATTATACTTTGGTATAAACCAAAAAGTCCAAGCAAAAGCACTAAAAACCTGAATCCCCACCATGAAAACACCCAGCTGCTTGTTGGTTGTCAGTAAAATCAGTCAGTTGGTAACATCTATGAGCCCCCAAGGGCCAATGACGACTGAGGTATACAACCCATGTCCCCTTAATACCCCTAAGGGAGTAACCAAGGACAAACACCAGTTACAATCCCTCTGTTAGCTTGGATGAAAAGTGGGAAAAAAGTGGAAGGAGAGGTACGTCGAGGTACTTTTGAGTAGGTATGTAAACAGTTTCTGCTCCAGTAGCTTCACAAGTCACTCTTACTGTTGGACTGCTGGAAAAAACCATGCATGCTCAGCAAATCTTTCCTGAATAAGTACAACACCAAAACTTATACACCCAATATCATATGATGTAGAGAACAACATACTGCTAATTTTGCTGTTGTTAGAACCTTGCCAGTAGTTGGATGAAAAGCAGCAGGGTCATTATGAACAAAACAATTTATCCCTCTCACGAGTGTGCTCGGAAAATGTAATCGCAATGTGCCTGTTAGGTTATGTCAGATCTTGTGTGTAATGCCAAATTGCTCCTCTGAGGACCATGGATGTCCTCAGTAAATTAAATGGAGTCTTACACTGGGTACCATGAATATCCATCCATCCATCCATTATCTGTAACCGCTTATCCTTTGCAGGCAGGTGGGGTGTACTATGAACATGCTCACCAATATCATGAAAACCCACCAAGAAGCTTTGTGACCAAACAAAAGCAAGCAAACTTTATTTTACCACTTTTCAAAACAAAAGTTACAAAGAGCTTTAGAGGAGAGAGATGGAACAGCAGAGACAGAAGACAAAAACGAGGATATAAAGTGTAAACCACAAAATATAAAGTTAAAAAGCCAAAGAAAACAAGTGAGTTTTAAGATATTTTTTTAAAATGTTCATTTTCGTTTTGAAAAGCCCCCGATATTTAAAGTCAAAACCATTAAATTATATGTGTTAATTTCTGTTTTTAACATGTTATTTTTAAAAATTATCATAATGAATGTATTAAACAAGACAGAATTTGACACCAAACTGGGGTGGCCATTGTTTAGGGGTGGCAGCTGCCCATGCCAGCCCTCTAGATCCGCCCCTGCCTTCACACCCACGTCACAACTGTGTGTATGGTTGTGTGTTAGTATGTTCTCTCTCTCTCTCGTACCCTTTTGTAAGTGGTAATAAAGGAAAAATTTAAAATATTTATAATATTCAGTAGTCAAGTATTCAAGGCAGCATTGGAAGCTACTTTAACACATGCAACCCGTCTGCCCTAGGCCGCTGTATCACTGATGAGGCATTCAGATCATGTGGCATGTTTGTTTTCGTTCAGACGTTGCACCAGATCAAGGAAAACAAAATCCGAGCCATAAAAATGGTCGCGTTTGTATTTTTGTTGTTTGTTGTTTAAATCTCATCAAGCAGAGCGCTCACTGATGACTGACTCAGTTTATCTGGCTAACTTTGTTGTGTCTGTTTGGGAACACGAGTTGACTCATAGAGACAATTAGATGCAGACACACAGATAAAGACATAAGCATGCACCCGCTCATCAACCATTTTATTGCATACACACATTTAAGTAAACAACTCAGCTCATCACAAAGCTGTGACTCAGTATGCGGAGCATGCAAAGACGGTGGTTCGGTAACGGTTTGATGGCAAAATGGCCGAGTGACTACAAGCGGAGTTTCATCATGATGTGCCAGACATGCCAGATCAAGCAACTAAGAAACTTTTTTTGTACGCTGCATAAGAAGTATTCACATTTTCATATGACATCTGCTCTCACCAGCTGTTCGTGTCTAAAATATTAGTTTATTTTCTAGTCAATCTACCAAAAATGTATTGGCAACTATTACTGGCGACTATAACAATTGATTAATTGTTTCATTGTGATTCCAGCCTCTCAAAATGTGAATATTTGAAGCTTTTCTTGGTCCAACATGATGGGGATGGGGTTGACTATAATGTGCATTTTTCACTATTCTCTTACATATTTTTGACAAAAAGATTAATTAATTAATTAAGAAAATAATTTGCGATGTAAAATAAAAATGTCCTAGTCTGAACATACTTTATTTATCACTACACTGCTCAGTACTACCGGCCCTCAATTCCAGTGGCGTGTGGTCCAGAGCATTGCTGGTTTATTCTTCTACCAGCTGTTTTCACAGCAGTCCAATTAAAACACTGATGTAGACTGAGAATGGTAAGTGAATGCAACTAAAGACAACTAACTAAGTGAGGGCTCATTAGTAGAGTTTAAGAGAATGGAGACATTAAATTAAAACACTGCTGCAGAGGTCAGATGAAAACGATCTAAGCTGGAGACACAGTAAAACAACAACACAGTTTAACTCAGAGCACACAACTGAAGCTCTTTTAGGGTTTCATTCCCATCAGCCAAGACAATGAAGACAAAGCTAAAGTGAGCCAGTGATCACCAAAACCCGGCAGTGGTCCAGTGGTGAAAAGTAACTAACACCACTACAATTCAAGTAAATGGACTTCTCATTTGTTGTGCTCAAAACATTGAACAATGACACTCCTTTCAAATGATCTGCAACTGTGAACTGACCCTTTGAAGTGTCCACTGACCACTATAAACAGAAATAACAGATATTTGCACATAGAATGGACACAGACGCAAAAACAACAGACAAAAACCAATCTGCGAGCAATAAAAGCCCTTAAACTTCCTGCTGTGCAGAAGAAAGCAGTGAGTTCTGTTGTGGTCAATGAGGCTGGTAAACATCCCTCCATCTAATAGTCAACTCCTTGTGTTCTCTGTTGGGTAACACAGCTTTCAAGTGTTGTTTCAGCCCAGGGTCCCGGTGTAGAGGTGCAATTCTCCATGTCTCCTGCTATCTCTCTATTTCTTCTTTCTTTATATTTCTCCCTCCCTCAGCGCCCTTCTCTCTTGTTATGACAGCAGACTGTTTTTATTGAGCAGACAGGAGGAACAGCTCTGCAATCATTGGAGCTGGAGGTGGTTAAAGCACGGACAGAAAGAAGGCTAGAAACTGACAAAGACACATAAAGAAAAAGAAGACGAGCTTGCTGTGTTGTCATTAAACATGCCTTGTACTGTAAGTGGGTTTTGCTATTTGCGGTCGGCTAGAAAGTGTGCAACTGGGACTCTGTCGACCAATATGACTCACAAAAACGACGTCAAGGAATGAGCTGGACTGTGCGATTGGAAAAAGGGTAGGAAGTGGCATTGCATCAAAACATCCACTCTATGATTAATAACTTTATCAGTATGACCATTCATATAACAAAGAGAACATTTACTTAAAATCTGGCTGTTTTTATTAAGGAGGGAGGAAGATCCTTTAGAGAATCCCCTGGCACTTCCAGGCTTCCAGTGAACTCAATAACAGTAGGCAGATGGAGTCTCCCATTCTATCAGATGAACGTAAACCTGGCCACATGTTTTTTATTTCTTTACCGAGTCTGGACATCTCACGGGTTAAATTTGATACCGTTGTTTGCCTAAGGCGGTGGTTGTCATGTGTTTTCTTGCTTTGATATACCGTCCTCACACAGAAAAGAAATCAAGCACCAATTGGCATGTTGAGTGTAAACACTGGACTCGAGAGTCACACACACATACACACACACCCACCCTCTTCGAGCTCACTGAGGGTTGTAGCTGGTGTGGTCCTATTAGCTTTGGCTGCAGTTCCAAAGGTAAACACACACTGCTGATAAGACCAACTGATTGGTTGGAGTGGGGTGAAGCCCGGAGGAAGGACAAGAGGAAAATCCCCCAGATGGAAACTAAAAAAACACCTTTCAGAGAGAGAGAGAGTGATGGACAAAGGGAAAGTAATTGTGCACACTTGCTCTCTCAAAACTTTTGCAGTGATGGGTACATGTAGCCTATTGGGTCCCGAACTGTTTGGTTCGGTATGCCACTTTCTTGTTTGAGTAAGGCCTGTGACCAGCGGTAGTATGTTAGTCGACTTAGCCAGGTTAGCCACGTTAGCCAAGCTAATGTAGGGTTTGTGTGAGTCTGTGGATACACCTCAAACATGCTAAGTAATTTACGACGACATCAACCACATGTTGATTAGCTGAACGAGACAAAAACTGACTAGAAGGCAAGTCCTTCTCCCAACAGTGTCAGGCAGCCTCTCACTGCAGAATCCGACCATGACCCCCTGAACCCAGGTACACACTGAACCGTGGCTGTTGTGGACAGTTAGTGTTAAGTAGTTATGATGTGTATATGTAAACTATGAATGTAGCCGCTGTAGGCTATGCACAGCAGTTACAAAGATGGAGCACATGGAGACCACAACAACTGTGATTGGTCAGCCTGGGCTGCTTCAGTTTTCTCCAACAAATTTCTGATATCTGTAGATATGTGTAGCAGTTAAGAGAGGAGTAAACATGAGAAAGTTGAAGTAAGACTCAGTATTCTGCTCCTTTTTTTGATAAACCTTTCTAATTCAAACCTTCTGTGATCGCTTGTTTCTCCCACAGTGAATGAAACAACGTAAACTCAGTGATTTCCCGGAATAGTCTCATATTTAATAATGACATTAACCATATTATCCATCAGTTGGATAATATAGTGAATGACAGTTATTGATGGGAATATGATTAAGGCAACAACAACAAATGTTTGCACAGAGAATCTCTGGTTTATAAAATGGTCTTGCTTTAAATAAATGTACTGACATTTTCTAATTAATTGGAAATAAACTCAAAAGAAATATCAAAAACTCCAGCATCATGATGATCGTTTAGTTTGGTTAGTTTATGTAAGCCAGGAAAGTTTCTGTGTCTTCTAAAGGTAACAGATGGCCAGCAGTTAAAAGCTCGATACAGTGCAACAGACAAGGTGTGGAATGCTTTCTCTCCTCATGACGTCAAACTGAGGGTAGAGGGGGCCCGTGGCATGAACTGCACAAATTTATTCAAACAAACACAAATCAGTAAAGCTCTGGCAACCCTCGATTAGGAGGCTATACCAACCTGCCTTAGAGGGGCCCCAGAGCCCAGCACCACCTCAACTGTTGGTGGTATTGGCTGTCAAATAAACTCAAGAGAGGCAGAGAGCCAAAGGTTTTGAGGACCCCAGTGATTAAAGGATAATAAACGTGAACTCTGCTGAAACAATATTGGGCACCGTCCTGTGAGGGCGGACGTCTCAGCAGCTCATTGACACTTATTAGTTGAACATAACACAGGAACAAACCTTCAAGTGAAAGGTTCAATCAAAACAGAGAGAGCCATCAACGAGCACCTGCTGTCACAGAGGAACTAAAATTTAACATTTTAGAGTACTTTTTAAAGTACAGAAGGCAACTGTTGATGACAAAAACACTTTAATATATACTGTTCTCAGTAAAGACGGTAAAGGAAATGTTTTATTTTTCCTGTAAAATAGACATTTGGCATTCTGACAATTAAACATTTTATCAGTTAATAAAAAAAAACTTTTTATGGGTAATAATTGTACTTTTCTTGCACACTGTTTAATTTTCCTATTCCTAATCTATTATATTAGTGTTATTGGTTTTATCATATAGTAGCAGTGGGTATTTTATTCTTTTCATTTTATAAATGATTTGCCCCAGTACAGTAAATTTTGCAATATGTTTTATCTGTTTTATTGTTAGTACCTTTTTTTTTTTTTTTTTTTTACAGACGGGGGTCATTTATTCTTTTAATTCTACCTCAATTCAATATGATTTTACTTCACTGACTTTATTTTTATCGTATTCTTTTTGCCTCTTGATATGTTTAATCCTGGCTCCAGTCACGTAAGGCACTCTGTAACTTTGTTTTAAAAAGTGCTGTATAAATAAAGATTGTTGTTTGTTGTTGTTGGTATTATTATATTTTCATAAGAGAGCCTATTGTTTAGCTTTGATGGCACATAATTATCTCTGTCATCACATCAGCTTCAGCTTTGGAAAATCTAGATATAAAATTAAATGTTTAACCATCAACGTTTCATTCACTGTAACCCAACCTGTTTGTAAGTACGTGTTACATCCTGTGTGTGGGAGTGAGTGTGTGTGTGTGAGTGTGTGTGAGTGTGTGTGAAAGGCCTGAGGGCTAACTGTCAGAAACAGATAACAGAACCATTAGTGCATCGACAGCCTGAGATCCTCATTGAGGGTGAAGGGACGTTACTGCACTCGTTTACTGAACACTGCTCTTTTTTCACTCTGTTCCTCTCGTTTAGCCTTCAGCGATAAGCCCGCCTGCTAAGTTGCCACGACCAATCAGGATTCAGTACGAGTGAGACGCAAGCCGACAGCTACTGTGACACAGTCCAACTGATTGAGACTCATTATCTCCCCCAAAACGTCTCTCTTTCTCTTTTCTATCCCTCTCACTGCTCTCCCACTTGTATGGATATGATTTGGAAAAACATGAAACATGTGCAGCGAATATTAAGTGGTTTGGCAGTTGGTATCTGAATAAATGAGCATAATGAATACATAATATAGCTGGTCAGGGATTAGTGGTTCAGTAATAGTCCTTTTGAGTGGAAGAGAGAGGGTAGTTACGAAGCTGGAGCTGACGTCTATCAGCACAGCAGTTATAGAGAGGAGAAATGGTAATGAAATTAAAACAGAAAAGAAAAAAAGAAAGGGAGAGTAAGGCTCTTCAGAAGCATACAGAGTAAACAAAATCAAACAAACAGAGCCCAGTCAAAAAAAAAAAAAAAAAGCTGAAAGGGTTAGTGGTGTTAGCAGCAATTAGCTGTCAGGAAACATTCAGCTCTGTTTGAATCCTGCACTCCAACGCAGCCTGTCAGCCTGTTCAGGTCATTCAACACTTTTCCTCTGACCTTCACTATAATGGACGTGTACACTAACTTACTGTAGCTACATAATTACAGCTGCTTGTACTGTAATGTCAGGGGGGACGTGGCTGTCCAGCACAAAGCATTCATAGAAGAGAATATCCAAATGACAATGTCAGTCTGGTGCCACTGAGCTAAAGAAAAAAGGTAGGAAAACTAAAACATTTTATTTTGTAGCTTGCATTTAAGTGTATGCTTCTTATATCCCTAGCTACTATAACCATAGATTATCAGAATGAAGATACCGGAGTCTGGTCGAGGATTGGGAAGAAAGCATTATGTTAAATGTAGAAATCACTCATGGAACTGCAAGTAAATAATGTGGGTAGAGGGGCACAGTGGGCATGAAGAGAGGGTATTTATACAGCAGTGATAGAGCAAGAAAGCAAATAAGTGTACTTCCCAAAATATTGAACTATTCCTTAAATGTTCTTGATGATACTTTATTTCTTCCTGGCATATGACTACTTTGACAGATTTGTGACTCAATTCTTGTTACTGTACTGATGTATTTTTAAATACTTTTGTTTATGTTTATGGTGTCTCATCTTGAAAATAGCCTAAAGTGTGTTTAACATAGCAGGAAATGCTACAGATCAGAAAGCATGGACAGCATTAGAAAAGCTGCCCCTCTCTCACAGTGTGTTATTGTACTGCGTTCAAAACTCTCCACTGAAGAGGAAGTCATCCATTTTCACCAGTTTGACGTATGAAGGAGGGGTGGGCCTATTCTTCACCCCATCAGTTGAATCAAGCAAAAGCATAAAAGGCATTTTTGCAGAATATAACAGCCACAACAATGTGACGCTATTGCATAAACTGACGTCACTGGATACCAAGACACAGTGTATGAGTGTTTGTGTGTTGTTAACGTCGTCACAGTGGCAGTAAAACACAAAATGCAATGACGTGTTATCAGCAGCTGCACAATAATCATTGTCTGGATGTTGGAAAAATGGCCAGAATGGCACAGAGAGTACAGCAGAAAATAACGCTCTACCTGTTCTAATTTGAAGATGTGTTGGTTGAAGTAGTGCTGGAGCCGTTCGTTGGCGAAGTTGATGCAGAACTGTTCAAAGCTGTTGTTCTCATAATCCTCAAAGCCAAAGATATCCAGGACTCCTATGGACAGAATCTGGTGAAAAAAAGACAGACAGCTCATTTTATTTCCATATTCTACACATTTATGGGATCATTGGAAAAAGTGTGATGAAAACAGACGAAATAATATCCTCTAGCAACACTGTAAACATCAGTAAAAATGTATGATTCTTAATCATCTGCACTGTATTTTTATTGTGTTTCTTTTTATACCCCATTCTTTACAGCTTCAGTGACCCATTTGATCCCTGGGTGTCAGTAAGATTCATATCATCATATATCATTAACGTGCACCATCTGAAGAAGGCGTTCACTCAAAGAGGGTCTTTAATTACGAAATGGACTGTAAAAGCTGTTTCCAATTTAATTTAATTTTATACAGCAGTGTTTTATTTCTCTCTGAAGGGCATTTTTATTTTCTATTCTGGCATAAAAACATACATGAGCACATGCTGCATATATAAACTGTTATCTGTACATAAGAACAATGACCTTGACAGAAAGTGCAACCTCATCGACCCCCTGACAGCACCGAGGGAGCACACAAACACACACACACAGATGATGTCAGTGCCAAGAAAGCACACACACACACACACACACACACACACACACACACACACACACACACACACACACACACACACACACACACACACACACACACACACACACACACACACACACACACACACACACACACAGCACTGGGACAGCCGAGGACCACAGGGGGTAAACTGAGCTGAGGGGAACTTGATGCCATCTGCCCAAATGTTCTTGGCACACACACCAACGCACACACACACACACACACACACACACACACACCGCGCGCGCACACACACGCACACACGCACACGCACACACAGAATGATCTGTTTTTCTAATCCTTTAGATGCCCCCACAGGGTCTGACTTGCCAGCTGCCACTCCAACACACACACACACACACAGGAATTTTCATATCACACTATTCCCTGCCTCTGGGAGTGGAGGAAGCCAGAAAGCAGGGAATCAAGCCTTGGAAGACAGACAGACCAAGAGACAGACAGAGACAGGCAGATGTGGTTGACAGACAGACCAACAGCAGCAGGATGGGGAGCATGAGTTGAGGAAAGACAAAAAGAACAAAAGGGAAGACATGAGCAGAACAAAGGGACGTTGGTTTAGGAGGTAAATATTTCTCCTCCATCAGTAAAATAGACCTTTTTCACAGTAGACTTTGTCACTTGTCATCATAGGGCAGGTAGAGGTGTTATTAACACTGTTAACACTGGCTCTGCTCCATGTATGTGCATCAGTCCTTGTGAGTGAGCCAGCATTCACAGTAGCAGTGTCCTGAAACTAGTAAAGCTAAATGGTGTGCAGCCCTTATTAATATCACCATTTACATGTGTGGTTTTCCTGTCTGCTGTGAAGAAATAACACAGTATATAACACACCAGTGCAACACATGAGTGACAGTGATAGCTATAGTCAGATAGGATATGTTCTTCTTGTGCTGTGAAGCAAAGCTGTGACGGATGTTGCTTCCGGAGAGAGCTATGATAGAATACACATTACTGATGACGCTCGCCAGCCGGCTCCTGTATTCACTGTCCAGGTTGCCATACCATGTAGAGATACTGTATGACAGAACACTTTCAATGAGACATTTATAGACTCAAAAGAAGATTCAGATCTCATGTATGAGCTCAGCCTAAAGAATATGTCCACCTGGTGCACTTCAGCTAGCTGCTTCGTGTAACTGGTTCAAACTGACTGTTAACATGTGGTTAAAGGGGTTTTCTTAGTTTGAGAAAGCAACACCGAGATGGAAACCCTTTCAGACCTTTCATATGAATGTTAAACCATCACTTCACTAAAATAGAACAGAATGGAATCTTACTGTCCGTAAATTATCGAACACACACAGCACTGCCACTATAAATACTCTCAGATATTACTGTACTATTGGACATTATACTGTATGTTACCATGACATTTTCAACTACAAAGCCCAAAAAGTTCAAGACATGTTGCCTGCTTTATTTGTTTATGATGGAATTGGAATTTAATATGAAATCAATTAATCTAAAAACAAAAAATTATAAGCTTGTGATAAATAACAACACTTCTACCTTTAAAAAACAAATTCTATTGTTGTTATACATTAATATTTTTGTTTTGTTTTATTTAGTTTTGTGATACGTACTTTTTGTTTCTATGTTCCCTTGAACAGTTAATGGGATACAAATATTTTGTTCATGTTTATGTTACTTTTCTAAATTTTGGAGAACAAAAACAGTATGTATGATAATATCTGGCTCTCAGACAGATATTGTAGGTGTGTTTGTGTCAGAACATGAAATGTCTTTAAGTGTGTGTCTGTGTTTTAATTTCTACCTTTGAATTGTCCTCCAGGTCCTTGTTGTTCAGCAGGGCATGGTTGGTCCTGAACACAATCCAGTCAAACAGTGCGCTGTACAATGACTTGGCCATGGAGTCTCTCACCGTGCCCGCCTACACACACACGCACACGCACACGCACAAACACAAACACAAACAAACAAACATTAGTTACTTTCTGATGAAAAACATATGGATTTCTTAATCTGGAACAGGAGCCAATACTGCTCCACTGAATGTGTTTTATCACTCACAGCCTGGCAGAGGGACTCTGCTGCTCAACCATTTTTATTTCACAGTAGTGTTGCTGAGGTGGCCCACAAGTGTTAAATGATCACTTATGAAACCAGTAAAGCACTTCTATCCTTTTGTTAACCTATTTATGTCTTTTGTCTTTTTATTATATGTGGTAGAAATATGATAAAAACCTGCCGACTTCATTTTATCAAACCCAAACAACTGACAGCTAGAGCAGCTTACGTCAGAGCAAGACAAACATGTTCCTTCTCTCTTCTCTCAAACTGGATCTGTGTCATTTTAAATGTGTGAAGTGGGCAGAGAAAAGGTCTAATGAACTACTGCACAGGGAGTAGCTGAGTCATTAAAGGGACTGACCGAGAAAAAGATCAACAAACCACAAGGGAAAACAGAGGTGAACAAGTCAGAAATTCTGTGGTGAACAATCAATCAACAGTGTTTTTATCAGGCAAAAACAGTGAATTGAATAGGCTGTATTTGGGTTCTAGACTTGGGTCGGATAAAACAAGTAATTTTAAGACTTAACTGAAAAAACAGATTAACAGATTAATTGTTAATGAAAATAATGCTTCATTGCCTTTGATGCACCTTGCCGGTATAGTGATACAATTAGACGTTTGTTTTCTGCATTTGGTAAGATCAATACCAGTCTCATATCTGTACACTTAATATGAAGCTATGGCCCTATAGCTTCAATTGAGAGACAAGAGACAATTAGCTTACCTTAGGATAAAGACCTAGAAGCTCTGTCTGAAGTAAAAGAAATCTGGCCAGTAGTACCTTGCTTAAGTGCATGTGTTTTATAAAAAACTTAAATAGTAAACGTTCATAACAAAAAAAGTTTGTATCTAGAGGGCAAACATGGGGCCTGTGTTAAACCTCCAAGACTGCTGCTCTGTGTTACTGTTGTTGTGAGTTTGGTAGTCTTGCTGTGTGAAACACAGTAATACTTTAGGTGTTTTCAGTCAGGAGCCAGAGCCTTAAGTGCCTCCAGACCTGCAGTTCACTATTTGGAACTTTTTTATGGATTGCTTTTTGATCCATAAAAAACAACACAGCCTAGAGGAGCCATTATTACACCTCAACAAGCCAAAGAGCAACTAAGCTCTCTCTTTAGACATGATGAAATGCATGCTAAGCTAACATAAGCATACTTAAATGGAGACTTGGACACCAGAGCACGTTCTTTGGCAGTAGGAAGTGTTATGATTGAATGAGGAGTGGAACATGACAAAAGAAATCTGCTTTAACTAGGTCAAACATTTTCATGCCAGGAACCCCAAAATAGTTGCGCGTTACAAGAGACCTCAAGACCCTGTTCACTGTAATCAAATAACAGTACAATTAATTTAGCAGAGATTTAAAACAGGTGAAAAAAATGGTGACACTTCTGTATTTGTGAAAACCTCTTGTGAGTGAAAAGAGCACCCCATAAAACCTTGACAAGGCAGTTCAAACAGGGCCGGCAGACAAGATAAGGAATGGGGACATCATCTCCCTACATACAAGTTAGATACTGTACCTTAATTCAAGACATATAGTGAAAGAAAAATGGTATGAAGACCGGATTGAATTGATTTGGGGTCAAAGCTCATGAGAGTGCCACCACACAGATGTTGAACTTCGATGTTTTGTTAGTGTAAAAGCTGTGTCTTACAGTCTGTAGCTCTGGATTCTAATGACAATACTTTTTCCTATTTATAGACTGTTGTTGTACTGCACTTAGCAAATGTTCTTAAAGGATGTCGTAATAGTGAGATGCCCATATGAATATTGATTGGCCATTCAAATATCCCTTCCTAATGCAATGGATGTGATGGGGAACACAATCCACAGCTAATATGAGGCTTCAGCAGTCTGAGTTAATAAAATCCAGTGGAGATCTTACATAGTTACATGTTTTTATTTTGAAAGTTTAAGTCAATAAAAAAAAGATACAAAACAGACAGTAGTACAACCTATGACAAGCCATGCAATAAACAATATCAGTTTAAGGACAAATAGGGAATTATTTGTCTTACTCAGACTATGGAAGCCAAATATTAGCTTTTATTAGCTTATTAAAAATGTATTTAGGAACGGATCTCTTAATGGCCAGTATGAACAGGAGGAATGATTACAGCACCTGTGTTACAACCCTGGCTCAGAGGGAAGCAAGTAACAAAGAAAAAAACCAAGACAAACCAACTTTGCCAGAAGAAAAGAGGCACACAGACTCACACTGCCAAGACATACAAACTGAATATGGCAATATGTCCCAAACCAGTTATATAACAATAAAAAATAAAAATATTACTCCTCTTTCAGATGCTTTTGTGGGACACTGTGAACCTGATGAAGCCCCAAAGCTTCACTTTGAAGGACTTTTAGGAACGCCGCCTGCTGAGGCCACACGCAGCCAACAGCCGTGATGAAGCAAAACTGTTCATTTTAAAAGCTGCCTCTTCACTCTTGCATTATTGATTGTTTATGATATTTTTAGCAAGCAGGCCTGTGACGTCCCTGCTCCCACAAAGTTATGTAAGATTGTTATGAATAATACAACCTTTGAAACAGAATCACGATTTAAAGGCTTCAGCAAGAACTCAGGGGATTGGCAGATGTGATGTGAACATTTGACATGCTCACTGAGCGTGCATTGTCTCCGTGTTTGCCATGTAATTTAATTATTCACCACAATGGGACCGGTTACAAACGAAGAGGGAACATGGCTGAAAGCAAACTGGTTGAAAATGGGGGCCAGCCAAGAAACTGACAAAATAACTAGCAGGACTTTATCAGAGACATTTTAAACTGTAAAGCTGCTGGCTGTTAAAACAGACTTTAGCTGGTGTTTGTGATTATAAAGTTCTGCTGAGGGGAAGTTGTTGTTTTCTCTCATTCCATTTCTTTCTCTCTTTCTTTCTCCTGAAAACCACAGGAGGTGTGAAACACCAGCATGAGCTCACACTGCACGTGGCCTGCTAACTTCCTCGCTGCAGGATGTTGTGTGTGCGCGCGTTTCACCACAATATGCCAATCAGCACATGTTTTTAATTTGTATCGTTGTAGTAGCTGTTTTTGTCTGAGCGCACTTAAACGTCTATGCCTATATATGTGTGTGATACCACAACACTCTCAAACAGTTTCTAATATGAAGCAGAACCTTTTATACGAATGCAAAGCATATGAATGAGTATCTAATAGCCCCCCCACCTCACTTCCCCTTCCCCATGTCTGTCTTTAAGCAGGATGAAGGAAGTGGTGGAGTCAGTTTATCTGGAGCCACATCAAGCATGTCAAAGTCAGACAGCACACCTTATCTTGACAGATATGGGCTCACACGCACGCAGGCCATCATGAACTCGCAGATGCACACACACTGATGTTTTCACACTTGTCCAGGCTAGACCCGAGAAAAACTTTGAGTCTAAACCTGAGAGGTTAAGAGTATTTCCACTGAGCAAGGCTGCAAGAAGGCTGGAATTCCCCATAATTGTACAGTAAATGTTTATCAATGATAACTTGATAATAGGTGTTTTAAAGAGAGGTTAGTCTGTACAGTATACAGCAAGACTCTGTGAGACTGTACTTAGCCACAGAGCTAACATGCTCACAATGACAGTGTTAACAATAACGTTTACATACATTTTATTCTCTCCTTTTCTTTTTCTTTCTTCCATCATCTCCAGCATTGGGACATGGGAAACTTTTAACATGAACATAGCTGATTCTCCTTCCCAGATGTATGTACTAAATTTATTTATATGCTAAATGTTTGATTTGAGGCCTGTTTGCCATATAACAGTGAATATCAGTGGATGGAGAAAGAAAACTATCCCAGATTCCTATCCCAGGGCATAAATGACGATTTTTGCCTTGATGTTTCTTTCTGCCTTTTCTGAGTAAAGCATTGCCTTACTAAAATCTTAAAACATAAACAGCAGGGTGGCTTATTGATTATATTTATGGCTCTTTTAATCTTTTGTGATGTCTTGACTGATCGAGTTTGTGAGAAACAGAACAAAACAACAAAATTAGGGGCAGCATGATGTTGTTACATTTTCATGACACGTTCAGCTGAGCCACTAAGGCTCTTAAACATAAACTCAACTCCAGATTGTAACCTCCTAACAGGCTGCCAAGCACAGATTCCCAGCTGGAAGAGAAAATTACTTTTACTCTCATTATTACACTGGAACCAAAACCCAAGCCATTCATAAATGCATTCCACCTGACTGAACCAGGGCCCATCCAACCTCGAACTCTGCAGCAGATCGAGGTTCAGAAGGTCAGACACCTCGCCAAAAACTCCCCATCCCAACTGTGGGTGGATGGGACAGCTGCCTAGCACACTTTCTCAACCTTTCTCATCCAAGTAGGAAGAAATCATTTCTGAGAAGAACCAGCAACATTTGCCAGGTTCTTTTTTCCACATTTCCTTTGTATGAAAACAGGCATGTTATGGATTCCACAGGTGGCCTCAACTCGCTCCCACGGCCCTCAGTCAGATCAGGGCACAGCCTCACTTTCCATGCTCTCGTGGTGTGTGTGTGTGCTCTTTTACGTCTATATTTGTGAGGACATTTTGGCTAGTCCTCACTTCTTCAAATGGCTGTTTGAGGGTAGAGACTTTATTTAAGGGTTAATAATGTTGGGAGAGATATACAATAAAAGTTGTCTTAGAGCACACATATGGGGACTTTCATTCATCCTATTTAATTTTTTTCAATCTTTTCCTTTTCTGATAATGGAGGACTCAGAAATTGAAAGGTCAGTCTCTCAATGACCTTCTATTTTTATTTTCCTGTTGTTTCTATCAAGATAAGGCCATCCTATGAAGGACAGGAGGGAACTTCCATGGCATGACACCCAAAGCTGCAGGACAGTATTTATCATAGCTGGCAGCCTTGGAGTCTAGGATTAAGTTTCTGATCACACTGTCTGAGCCTCCGTTACACAACTTTTCTATAAAAAAAGGGAATTTATGTGTTTGGAACATGTCTGACTGAAGGAGAAAGAGAGAGAAAGAGACAAACAGAGACAGACTCAGGATCTGGCTTTTGGCCTCTGTACTGTATATTCCAGTGGAGGTTGCACATTCCTGGGACCAGACCACATGACTGGGGGTGGGGGGTGTATAAGAGCGGGAGCAACCATTGTTGGGCTAAACTAACCCGTAAATCAGATGAGGGGGTGTAGATGAGCAGGGTAATAGACTATCTATGTGTAGCATTTCCTTCCTCAATGAAAAGGCCCTGCAGACACGAGCAGAGAGCTGGACCACATTCAGTTATACACTGAACCATAAAAGGTTTCAGGGATGGAGGGATAAACGAAAACACTGAATATTAATTTTCACTAGCACAATGATAGTTATCAGAGCAGTCTATAAAGGTCAACTGAGACATCCTGGTGGTAAAGTTTGCGGTCCAGAGTGCTGTATGGACAGGGTTAAGTCACATAGTTCCTTGACTCGACAGGAAACAGGAAGTTGCAGAGGAAGAGACCCCTATCAAAAGAGCCTTAGAAAGAAGCGGTGGGGGCTGCGGAAGTGCCACAACAAACTCCCCAGACAAGCTACAAAGCATTTACACACAAACACTGAATCTCCCCCACAGCTGACGCACTTCATGACAAAACATTTCACTCTAATATGCTTCCTTGAGACTGACTGGAATGTATTCATGCCACGCCCCTCTTACCACCCTCACACAGGCCCTTTTGGCCTTTAGTACCAAAGAAGAAAACCATGAAAATGTGTTAAGAATGTCTCTCAATATTTAGCATCTTCTGGGGTTTTGGTAAGTGTGTGCTGGAAATAAGGGACCAGAAAAGCTCACAGTAGGAGTGTTTGAGACTCAGGTGGGTAAGTGTCACATTTTGTGGATGTTGTGGTTACTAAAAAGGTCACCTCTGCAAGTTTGTACGGTACGATGAGCCTCTCTCCAACAGTCACAGTCTTCCTGGTCGTCAGCGCTTCCAGCAGCATCTCCTCTTTGACCTGAATACAAAGAAATACACAAGGTTCAGGGTTTGGTGTCACTTTGGTGTAAAATAAATTCATACAGTATCATGGATAAAAAATAAGTGAGGATTATTTCGGCAATATTATGGCCTTTATTTGACAGTTAAAAGTCAGGGGAATAGTGGGGACGATAACATGCAGTCCAGTTCAATAACGTCCCAGAGGATTATTGCAATAAAGGGGTTTCCAGCTATTTAATATTACACTTCCATAAAAGTTTGAGGTCTCACAAGAGACAGATTTGAAAAAAGAAAACGGTTAACATTTAAGCAGCAGAAGCCGTGATAACGCTTTTGGTTCCAGGCAACAAAAACTCAAAATCTTTAATTTCCCATAATGCAACAGATATTGTTGATACACCATCCCTGCTCCATAGCACCCATGTGTAATGCTTTCTGTTTCAGAATACTTTGTACATTTTACATTTATACTTCTGTTTTCACAGAATAAGTAGCACTCTATAAGACTTAAAAAAACATTTCAACATTCTTTATAGTGAGAGCATACACTGAAGTGTCTTTGTGCAGGACACCAAAACTACCAGGGAGGCTTTCCTGCAGCTTCAACCTCTGACTGAAAGAACATTTGATCTTTTTTTATCCGATGAAAATAACATTTTAGTAGAAATGTGCTTTGGATTTAAATTTAACTTTGAACTCTATCTAGCATATGTTAAATTCTGCACAAAATATAATTTAAGATATGTATTATAGAACAAATGTCCACAGCTGGACAATATGAGGATGTACTGCACACTGTTAAAGAACACAATCCTTGATTTATTTATACAGGGAGTTTGCTATTGTTTCCCATTTAAACCAAGCTAACTATTTATTTATTATACCATGGTCTGGCTGAATACTCAGACCTTCGCGGAAGGACGGTTCTGGCCTCCACATCGTCCATTAGTTCCTAATAATGGACACTTCGTCGGGCATTATCCATTACATATCCCTGGTTTTATTAGACCATTGCTGGAAATGTTGCAAATCCATGAGCAGGTTTACTTACTTAGTGAGCAGGGTAATACTGGATTAACAGGCTTTTTGCTTCAACGTGATGAAGTACCTCAATTTATCAGGTACTTACTTCATCTGATAACAGTCACATCTGGTTATTTTATCTACAGTGTAAGCAGTTTCTCAATTAACTTTCTCAAAAATGTACTATATCATGATACAGTTTACCACTGTGATATAAAATTACAAACACTATGATAGAAGATTTTATCCCTATCACTCATCCCTAATAAATCAATCTACAATCTCCTAAACTGTTGCTCATAATAACTCTGCTTCTAACTAACATAGCTTGCCAAGATTAGCGCCTAAACGCTGCTCTCTGTGTCACACATACAGCACAATACTATGTGGCCTTGCACGCACGGACTCTAAACTTGGCCCCAGACAATGACAGGGCCACACTGGGAGAAGCAGATGTCACCGCACACATCTCCTCCATCTACAAGGATTATGGGATTTGGCTGAACAGCTGCTGCTGAGACCACGTGTGTGTGTATGTGTGTGTGTGTATGAATATGTGACAGCATGATTGCCTGATGTCTTCATGTATAAAAGGCAAGGGTGTTAATGTTAAAGCTAATACCATTATGGATATGGCGCCTCCTTTGTAAAGTCTTTGACATAAACAGAGAGGGGAGGACAGGAGGAGGACTCTGTGTGTGTGTGTGTGTGTGTGTGTGTGTGTGTGTGTGTGTGTGTGTGTGTGTGTGTGTGTGTGTGTGTGTGTGTGTGTGTGTGTGCGCGTGTGTGGGAGTGAGTCAGTGGCGGGGGGGTGGCATAATCAGACTTCATTTCACACTGCCTGATAATCCCTCGACTATGAGCAAAGCCCATTCTGCAGCCTGGTGATTGGTCTTTAGCCGCTACATTTCCATGTATAAGTCGCTTGGTAACAGGCTTGCTGCTCCGTCTATGATCACAGCTCTAATACCATAATACACAGAAGTGTGTAAGCGCTCGTTTGGGATCAGTGATTCTGTTCTCAAATTAACCACTTTTTTCCCCCTCAAGTCTAATTATAGGGCAGCAAATCTTTGGCTCTGACAGATGCTGCTCTCTCTTTTCTGTTTGTAAACACAAACACGACACCAAAACTGATGGATCCTCTGCACCACCTCTTCCTCTTAATGCACAAATCCCAGCTCTGCATGGACTTGGACAATATCAGTCATCTTTCTGGTCTACAGCAGCACTCGGTATCCTGATTATGTACACAGTGTTTTCATTTCATTTCCAACACCTAAAACAACACAGACCTCACAGTCAGATCAACGTTACTACCAGTAACAGTCACATTAAAATATGTGTTTTTAGTTAGTGTTACATTTATTTTAATTGCCCAAATAAAACCATGAGAGACCTTGGAAACCTATACATTTAAATTTAAATAATAATATTATTTAGGTGTCATGATTCATGGTTGCTGAAATTTTCTTAAAATCGGTAAAAAAGAAGCTTGAAATAAGCAGTACTGTATGGTTACTGACAGAAAATAAAACAGTGAACTGAACGCACTGGCCTTTGACTGACTGTTTTTAGCATTAAAATACCATCAACAAATTCAGGCTTTAGTGGGATTTGTCCTCACAGTAAGATACTCTCTCTGGACTGATTACCCGTTTGCACAGGAATGTTTCTGCTTAGGTTGAATCACTCAACTCTACAGCTCAGAGGATCCAGTCTGTCAGCCGTCCATCAGCTCCTACGAGCTCTACTTCCTCTTCCATTTCCACAGGAAACAGGAAGTCCCAGCTAGTTTCATTCCTATTCATCCATCAATCCACACCCGTGCCAATCAGTTCTCCCTGAGAGGTGCTTCACATGTGAGCATCCTGTCTAAAATGTTGCCCATTTTACATATCAAAGTGAAGTATGGACTGATTGCAATACTGGGTATTCATGCAAATTAAGACCTCACTCAGCCAGTAGGTGCACTTCAGTAGACTTGCGTGACTCACCCGAAACCGCATTTAGCAAACCTCATCAACCTATTTTAGACATTAATGCAAAGGGTCTTTAAAACCTCATGCATGTAAGTGCAAAAGTACGTATGATGGTGCCTGTCTGGTCTATACATACATTACCTTAGCATCAAGCAAATTAAATATTAAAAGAAATTCAAAGGCATTTCCAGTGTGAATCACAGTGAATGCATGCTTTGCTGTTAAATTATTATTAAATGAAATACAACTTTTAAGCTAATTTAAAAATTACATTAACTTCCTCGAAAACACCATTTTTAACAGTTGCCACATACAAGCAGTAAATATCCATCACATTTTCTTTAATTATCTGGCCCTCTCCTCCACTCCTCATGTCAAATAACAGTAATTTCCCATTGGTGGACCCCTCTTTTGTCCCTCCGAAACATTATATTTCAGCAGGAACGTTGCCAAAAAAAGACGTTTCACTGTGGCTCTTTGATTTCATTAAGCTGTGTTTTGGTTTTCCTTCTTTCTTCTTCTTTGCTTTAAGAATGTTTTATATGTCCCTGGGGACAAATAGCCGCAGCCTCTGCACCAACTAACAGACATCCAAATAAACTTGAACTTAAAACAGCAACCCCGAGCATGTGGCCAACATGTGGCTCAGCATACGTCACTGCCTCTCTGGACGCCTGCAGAGTCAAAGAGACCAGTCTGGAGGGTAAAGGGAACCCTGGCAGGCTCTCCACAGTCATAACATCCCTGCTGTGCTGTTGACAGGAGTCTCCGGCACACTTCGGACATTGTTTTGTCAGCGACTCAACAAGCACATCCGGCCAATCGTTGAAGTTTGTAACAGGGACTGGGAAGTGCCACCATCACTCAATCCCAAGGTAAATCAGAACAGCATGTGGATGTTTGAGCTGTCCTTGCAGTGCATACGGATGAGTGTGTATGTGTGTGTGTGGTCTGTGCTCAGTGTCAAGAATGAACCCAAATTCAGCACAACATCATAAATTTGTAAACGCTGTGTGGCACATTAATCCATGCCAGGAAATGTTTTTCATGTCTCTCATAGTGGACAATAAAGAGTCCAAAGCAGTCTTAACCTACAGACCAGACAGATCAATGCATGTTGGATAACTCCTACAGTATCTAAATTGAGGCCAGGAAGATGTATGCATAGATGAAACTATTAAACTTTTCAGTTTAGTTTTGGTTTGTGCTGTAATGAAACAGAGGTGAGGTTATAAAGCTGGTAAATAAAATTAGGCAAAAGAGGAACAATGAAACCGCATTTGACAATGCAGCAACACTATTGTCTATAAATAGTCTGAGGAAGTTTTACTTCTACTGCTTCTATAATAATGTTGAAACCAGAAGATGGCTGAAATTCATTTGAACTTTATTAACAGAGACAAACTAATCTACTTGCAAATAAGCAGTTAGACAAGTAACGATTGTACTACGACAATCACTACTGGTTGAGTGGTTGTTAGCTCCTCCAAACTTTTGTTTCTATTGTATTTCTTCTGATTATTGCATAAGACAATCATAGAATGATGTCTGAATGGATTTGATTTTAAAGGGCTAACCCAAAAGGCGATTTGGACTATGGCTGCGTACCCAGATGCTGCAGCCCGGCTCTCCTTAAAACTTCTCTGTTTTTGTTTCAGTCTATTTTTGGCTTTATTGTTGAAACACGTATTATGTAAGACAGAAATATACAGTACTACAGTCATTGGAGAAAGAGCTGTGGGGTTTGGATCAAAGATCAGCAGGACCAACCCACCATGGTGGGTGCTGTGATCGCCCCAAGAAGAGAGGAAGAGAGCCGGGATATATTAGCAGCCATGCCTTATGGCTGCTCCTGGCTAATGTTGTGCCCACATCTTTACAGAGACCTGCTCCATCAACATCCTAAATCTTCGTCAGGTGGGTGTTCAGAGCCGACAGAGCACAGGGAGAAAGGAGGCGTTGATGATGTGTGGTTGCTTGTTGTACAACATTGTGTTGTATAATGATAAATCAATTTATAAAAGAAGAAATCTTTAGCACTATGCAAAAAAAACAACTGGTTTACAGGAAAATTTCACCTCAAAATTAAGGGACTAACTTTGACAAGCACATAATGTAGGACAGATTCACAATGACCCTGGAGCTTGTATCGGTGTATAAACATTAAAATATGGTTTGACCATACAGGTGATACTGGGACAAGGACTTGTTGTTCCTGGTGGGAAAGCTTGCCTACGCAACAGCACGGCAGCACAAGAGGTCTGAAAATAGCCTCAACACAAACAGTACTTTGTGGAAGCACTGGATAGTTGGACGGCTCTTTGGGACCTGAAGTACCTCTTAACTTCCGCTGTCACCACAAGCTGTGCTTGTACGCAGAGAGTCCTCAGCTCTCTAAAAGGCTTTTTGTAAAGCCCACATATGGGAGGCAAACTCTGGCAATAGGAATCACGATTCCTCACAAGCATTTAAAAAAATACACAGCAGAAAGAAAACTCAAATGGATGCTACTTGTTTTTTTAAAGTTCACTAAGTCTGTGGGGTTTTAAGTATCTCCAGTGGGCATGTAATAGAATAACTTTGGGAGACAGCATGGAAAAGAAAGTATTTAGGGAGAATAAACAAGCCCGTGGTAAAGCCCTGCTCCAATTCTTCATTTTTATTATCCTTCAAAGTATTGTATTTCAGCATAAAGTCAGCAACACAAAACATTAAGTTTTTTGTTTCTTTTTTGAGCCTGCTCTAGAAATGTGCTGATTATTGGCACTGCAGCTTTATTGCTAATTATGCATCATGTCTAATTTATAAAAAGAGCTTTTACATGGTGAGATATCAATAAATAATTAAATCAATACAGACATTCAGTTATCATTCATTGGTCCTTTCAGTAGTACCTTTCAGAATATATTATAGAGATAAGACAAACAGGTTAGCTAATGTTAATTGTTTACCCAGATTGAATGTCTCAATATCCAACCAACCAGAGTCTGAATCACTTCATACCTAATCTACCACATAAGTTAGAAGTTAGCTGGTGTGGTTTAATGTTGTTGTTACCAACTGCCATCCCTCCCTGATCTGATGGTGTAAAGTTGTGGTCTCCAACAGCTAAACCAACTATTTACTGTCTTAGTAGTATTATTATTTGGTAGGATTGAAATCATTTGGGATGGGCAGAGCAGCCTGGGCAAAATATTCATCTTGATCAGAGAGAGGCCCATCAAGTCATTATGGATAAATTGGTTTTCTGTATCTTTTGAAATACAAGTTTAACAAATATACCTCGGTAAACAAAACCTTGTGTTGCCCATTGGAGGGGTGATAACACATAGTGCACTTGACCAAATGGCATTCAAAACATTTTGTTTTTTGACTCAGACATGTCAAAGGTGGCTTTTTCTATTGGAATTTCAGATGAATTATTATTATTAAAATTGAATTATATTCCCCCCAAAAAATGTTTCATCATGCTGCTCACCTCTAGCAGCTCGGAGACGATGGGCAGGACCTCTGGGTTGCAGATGTCAATGGAATCGTCCCTGTAGGTCTTCTTCTTGTAGCGGATGTTTCCCAGGTGGAGGATTGCTGACAGCAGGGAGAAGATCCTGACCAAGAAGAAAGGTACCTATTCATGAGTTTTGTGTAATTTAACCTTCTGTCTTATTGAGCATGTTTTACAATGAATGAAAATAGTATTTGTGCTTAGAGCTTCTTGACCAGGACACCTTGGTGTGTATGTAGTGTGACATTTCTGCTATTGGATGGTCTCTTTATTACACCGAACTGACACTCATCTGATGAAATATTCATCTTTAAATACACGGACAGTGAATAGAAAATGAAAAGAATGTCAGTTTTTACTTTCAAGCACTCTATTCATATCCTAAACACTATGAACATTTATAGGAGTAGTAGAAATTTGCATTGTTGCCAAGAGTTACATAAGAAGATCAACACCACTCTCTCTGTTGGTTAAATACGAGGCTATAGCTGGCAGCCAGTCGAACTATTTACTTTAAATTTGGAAAAGGCAACAAAAAACTAAACTAATCTAGAAGCACAACATGCTTTGAGCCATTGCATGTGATAAGTATGTGAGAAATCAAAGAAATTTAAATGTTTTTTTTTTTTTAAAAACATAAGGGATAAGAAGTAAGAACATGTGCAGAGTAATTAGTCTGTTTTAAGTCTCCATTATGTTGCCGTCCCTTAACCACATCTGCTGAGCTTGTAATATGTTTTCACAAAAATGTAACACGATACATTTCTGCACATTCACTCTGCTTGAAAAAATCCCTGTAATCTGTTATATAAGAAAAGTTGTATAAATCGCGTAGCTCATCTTACTGTTTGCGTGTGGTGGGTAAGAAGCCGACCATTTCCATAGCAAGCTGCAGCCGCTCAAAGTCATGTTTGAGATCCTCTCCCTCGACTGTGAAGCAGTCCTGCTGGTGTCAGGTGGAAACACACAAAGACAGAAGAAGAGAGGAAGACGGAGAAGAACATCAGTATTACAAAGGATTTTTTTATGAATATACAACATAAAAACTTAACTACAACCTGTCTGATAATTATCAAAGCAGTCCAAATGGGAAGGATGAAAACTTTGTGAATGTATCAATTCAGCAGGGTTTCCTACAATATTTCATATACATGAAGGGCCACTTGAAATAAAGACTGCGTTAACATCAGAGGAAGTTATTTTACTCGAAAATGTATTTAATTTATAAAATATATCTTTAAATAAGACGCAGAACAAGTCAGTTTTGCAGGTCACAAGTAAACCTCAAGTCCCGATTTTTTTTACAGAAATAATAGGAAGTGCTTTCAAATGAATCTCACAAAAATATTAAGTTGTATCTTGATTTTACTGTGATAATGTGCTATACTTCGTGCTCATGCAACGTGATTGGCTTCTGTCTGATTGACTCAAAGAGCCTATGAATTATTCATTACATAATTTTCAATGGTTGGGAGTTCCAAGTCATTCCAAATCAAAAGGTCCAAGTGAAGTCAAAAGACATTGGTTTAGAAGTTGCAGTTATTAGTTAAAGACTTGAGTCCACACCTTGCTCCTCAGGGAGATACATCAGACAGCAAAGGCCACATATTAAATGAGTAAGACCACCATGTTGGAACAAAATTTATTACAGGAGACCAAATGCTGTCATGGTCGTCTGACTCATCTTAGCAGCTGCGAGTGATTAATCAATCAAATCGTACTTCGCTTTGAAGTGATTAATTAAAGCAGCATATTGCAACATTGGTCAAGAATAAAAATGTGTGTGTTTATGGTGACTGTGTGTGTGTGTGTGTGTGTGTGTGTGTGTGTGTGTGTGTGTGTGTGTGCGTGTGTGTGTCTCCTCAGGCCCTCGGGTCAGCATGTCTCTGCTGCGGCAGCCAGCCTCTCTCAGGCTGTAATTAGCACATACCACAGTGACCGGCCAGAGAGAAGACACAGGAACCCATAATCCACACTGTCGATTGCCTCTTCTACACGTTAACATTCAACACTCCTCTGCCTCTCCATTGTTTTCCTTTGGCTTAGAACTTGTCAGGAGCTGCAGAGCCAACAATCGGCATATTTGTACAGCGAGCTTCTCCAATTGCAACAAAGGGGTTTTGAGGCTTCTCGATACTGAGGCGAGACCCGGGAAAAGCCACTTTTCAAATTGCCGGGTATGTTAGACTTCAGCGCCAAGCAGCACAATGTGATACGTTGAAGGAAGTTGAGAAAATAAAGAGATCAATTTTGGCCAATTGCAAGGGAATACTTTGGTCAAAAACCAAAACCTTAGCTATTGGTTCTTGACAAAAAAGAACAAGGGATGCTTGAGTGCAGCACAAAGATGATTAAGAAACAATCTGTTCTTCTTATATTCTAAACAAAGAATCTTTTCTCCCTTCGGAACTCGAAATTGTAATTTTAAGCCGGTTGCAACATTTCTGGTGCAGATTTGAACAAAACTGAGTCGAGTCAGAAGCCCAGCTGATGCTGCACATGGAGCGTTTTAACAGATCACTAATGGACCAGTTACAAGTTTTAGTTTTGTGCATCCAGTCGAGACTTTTCCTGTTACTTACCATGACTTAAACATGATTTATGTTGTCAAGGCACCCGGTCGATTTTGTGCCAAAAACAGCATGCCACCCTGTTACCAGACATTCCACACGGCCAAAAACCATAGACACCCAAACAGGCACAAAACACAAACCCACAGCCACCGAGGCCCAGAACCAAACACCCGACTGCACACATCAAATGCAAACATCAAGAACATGTTTGGTCTTTGGGATCTTCAGTCAAATGCTTGTTTTTTGTTTTAAATTCAATTTTGTTTATTTTCTATTTTTGGCTCCAGATGTTGCATCTGGAATCTATTTACACTTGTCACTGTTCAAAGTGCTGAGTGTCTCTATTTACTTCAGCGTGCCACCCGCACACTGACCAATGGTAGAGGTCAAAGGTTTAATGGGCCCAAAGGGTTGGTCAGATGCTCAGACATCTGTCAAGGGCTGCTGAGCTTTCTTTGTGTGTGTGTGTGTGTGTGTGTGTGTGTGTGTGTGTGTGTGTGTGTGTGTGTGTGTGTGTGTGTGTGTGTGTGGGTTTGTGAAGAGACTGACATCATCTCCTTAGACGGTGGGGTCACAGACTGATGAGGTCATTGACTGACCCTTGAGAGAGACAGTGTGTCAGCAAACAGTGAGAGGGGACGGTTGTGTAAGGCGAGAATATGAGAGAGAAAATGGGAAAAAGGAGAACAGAGAGTTAAAGGAATAGTTGGGAAATACTCTGTTTTGCGAGAGTGAGAGGAGAAGATCGGTAATCTAATGTCTTGTGTGTAATGTAAAGGCAAGGCAAGACAAACAATAAGGCCAAGACATGGAAAGGCATAAGATCAAGATATAAAAAACACAAGATGATATAAAAAGACACATAAAAGAGTAAAATATAAAACTTTAAAAAAAAATGTGGTGGCAAACAAACAAGTCAAGTACAGAGGAATCAAGGTGTGGTTAGCATAAAGACTGGGGAAAGCAGCAATCCTGTCTCTGTCTACACACACACACACCTCAAAGCTGACTTACACAATGCATCTTGTTTTGTTCAACCCGTACATAAAAAGAAACATGTTACAATTTACTGTTTCTTGATGAACAAGCCCAGTACCACTGTGCAGCATATTTAGCTATAGTGCTGGTTGTGATCACAGGTTAGCATGTAACTCCAACCAAAGCCAGAAATTGTCTTTTTTTATGTACTAGTAAACAAACAAGATACAGAGTGTGAATGAGACAGCTTTAGAGTTATAAGTAGGTGTAGTTTTTCCCCCCTACTTGTAGTCTTTATGCTAAGCTAGGCTAAACATGTCCTGGCTCTATTGTAGTTCCATATTTAACACACCAATGTCAATCTCCTCATCTCACTCTTGCACAGAAAGCAAATAAGGATATTTATAGACATATTGAAGTATTAAATAATAATAATAATAATAATAATAATAATAATAATAAAATAATAATAGCCTTTTGACTATTAGATATCCACCTCCTGCAGGCTGGATCTGAAGCGCTTGTAGTCGCAGCAAAAAACATGAATCAAAACTTCCATAGGAACTTCTAAAATCACTCCCGCAGCATAATATATCGTCCAGCATTGATCTACATGTTCAGTAATCTTCACTTTGCTAAAAATTGCTTATTATGCTACTGCATATGTTATTATGTTCTGCAGGAGGGATTTCTACAGTTTTTATTACACCACTGAAATGCATAATCCTTTTCAAGCATACATGAGGTAAATATTTGATATTCAAAAGATAGATTTTTGGTGGATTTTAACTGGAGGCAGGGCCTACAATAAGTGCTAAAAAAAAGTGTGTGTCCTCAAAAACCCTTTCCTGGATAAAAAAAAAAGGGAGACAAAGAGCCAAAGTCAAGAGGGAAATACAGTAAGACCAACAGATGAGTTGTATTTATACTAACCAACTCTCATGTCAAGTGTTCTGTGCTCGCTGGCAAAGTCAAAGTAACATAATCTCCTATTAGGAGATACTGAATCCCTTAACTACACACAACAAATCCCACTGACCAAACATTACTCACTTCAGGTGGAGGCTGGCACGATTGTAGCAGGCTTAACGACCAGTGAAACGGCAAACACACACACACGAAATGGACCACACACACTTAGAGGGAAGTTTCAGGATGTGAAGGCTATCCTATTGATTGCTATTCAAACCTTTTCATAGGACGACGGTATATAAGGAATGACAGTGTCTTTAAAGAAATGCTACTACAGAGACTGGAAATAATGGCTTGTGTTACTTGTGTGTCATTTTGAAATTTAGATCTTGGTCAATATACCGGCTTACGTTTCATGAAAGTTTCTTATTGAATTTATCGTCTTTTGATTATAAAAGTTATTATTCAACTGTGAAATGACCTGTCTAACAACTATTAAAGAAATAATTCTGAAAATTTCATGTAACCAAACTCTGTTTTTGATATTATTTATGGTCAGCCTTTTTTCAAGTAATGGTCATTTAATATATTTCCAGTCAGTAATTTCCTCTGTATATAGTAATTGTCATTGTTAGTGTTGGAGTCCACCATTCCTGTGCTCGCATCTAATTGCTACTCACTAGATTCACAAACACAATAAACATCCAGTGTTTGTAGTTTTACCTCACTGACATAAGCCTCACTGTTTACTCTAGCCTTGTATACAAACTTAATAGTTGTATTAAGTTACTGCTAATACAAACCCAGCATTTCTTCTGCTGCTAGTTCCCATTAAAAGCATTCAAGTGGTTGACTTTTATTACGAAGCATCAGTTGTAGACAAATCAGCCAGGACTGACTCTGATTATAGCTTTTAATAACTTAATTCCATGTTCCTTACATTAAATGTTGGTTTATATTTAGAGTTTTTAAAAACTGTTAAACCAATTATTACCATATTGGTGTAGGCCACAAACATTCAATATTGACTTCCACTAGAAAGATAAAATAAAAAAACTTAATTGAAATTAACAACATGCATCTGGTAATTGAAATGTTCAATATGCATTGTTAATGCAGTGTTTGTCGGATAATAAATGTAAATGAAGTGGTGAAGGTAAAATCCTGAACCTTCCCTTTAAAGACCATATCCCAACAGCAAAGCATCCAAAACCAAAGATAAGATTAAAGGGATTCCTTTACGCTTACATTTTATTTGGTCAATCAGATATTCACGTGGTTTCAGACAGAAATGAGGAATCTATGAGCTCCATTTCTTCTAGATACTTAACTTACGAGGAGCAAATATTTTCTATGATATAAAACTTATAGTCAAGACTTATTAGTTAATTCTGTTATCAATCTTTTTTTCAGTGTCAATCTTTTGTCAAATACCTCACTTTATATGAGATACTGAATGTGTGACACCTTATTTAAAAGTGCACAAATCAATCAAATACAGTAAAGTCATTACATTTAAGGTATCCCTTTAAACATTTTAGAGGCATTTCTTTAAAGAGCTCGACCAGCTGAGGTCAATTCAGGTCGCCTCCATCTTTAATCCATTGCAGTGAAAGCAGTCGTGCGTGGACAGCGGAGAGAGAACAAGACCAAGGCTGGCACCAAAAACCCAGAGTACCACGACACACCCATGAGTACAGACGTACACAAACAACTTGTCATCCACATGATACTGACCAGATCACTCTCATAGTAATTGTCCCAGTGGAGTTTGTGCGATTTCTTTGTCATCTGGAAGCAAGGCAGAGCGGGTTAAGAAGGCATGAAGTACACACAATAATACGCACAGTTAAAGGGGACTGAGAAAGATAACACATGCGGTTAATATGTGAGAAAACAATTACTAATCCTCACACACAGAGACAGACTCACACATCTCCAGAGCTACAATAATTGAATCCATCATGTGACGTAATCAGAGATGTGGATACAACTGGTTTAACTTTATGTTTGGGATGACATAACTGACTGTCTTACACAACGCTAACTTTTCACATCTTTTACTTAAGTAAAAGCAACAATACAACAATGTAAAAATACTGTATGTGTAACTAAAGTTGTCAAATAAAAGTACAATATTTCCCACTGAAATGTAGTGGAGAAGAAGTAACATAAAATTGAAGCACTCGAGTACAAGTACCTCAAAGTTATAATCCTTAAGATTTTCATGAAACCTTAGACACTTGACTTCTCTATGAAGTAGTTTTTATTGGTAGTGGCGGAGCACGCCATTGCCATTTCAGAGACTGTAGTATTCACAGGAAATGATGCATATATGTAATCGAGCCTCACTGTTTACAATTAAGTTACTGCTAATGCTACGCCAACCTTTCCTATTGCCGCTGCTTCATGTTAAATATGATATGATGTTTGTTATTAAGCAGCTGCTTTTACCCATCCAACAGTTGTGGAGCAGCATTATTATTCAACTGGATTAGTGTTTGTGGACACCTGGTGAAGTCAATATGTATGTCAATATTCACTTTCTTTTAGTCCTGTTTTTCGTCTCCACCAGCTCCTGATGGAAATATCTGGCTCTTTAGCTGATCCACTGTGTTCACCAGTCAGTCGCTAACTGTGTCTATCTTCTGTTTAGTGCTGAGCAGTGAGTTTTTACAGCCTCTTATCTGCCTGCTGCAGTCAAAAATGACATTACGAAAGTGGTGAGAGTGACCTACAGTAGTAAAGTATTGGGCCGGACAGTTAAACAGTGAGCTGAAACTCACTATAAAGCTTCACAAAGCCTAGCAGAGCTACAGATTCACTTAATAAGTCTCTGTAGGTTTACTTTCATACTGTCACATTGCTAGCTGCTTTAAGGATTACAACTTTAAGTACAGTACTTGAGTAAAAATGTACTTAGTTACAATCCACCACTGAGAGAGACAGACAGGCAGACAGGGACAGATGAACACACAGAGAGCAGAGAGACAAATGGATCATAATTTTGCTCCTTTGTGACACCATGTGTGTGAGGAGCGCCTGTGTGTGTGCTCAGACTAACACGTGTGCACACAAACACACGCGACCGCCGGCGCCCTCTGCACGAGAGCAAGTCAGTGCCAGATTAACTGAGTCTGGTTGTTGCCGTGGCAACAGAGCTGCATAGTAACAGGCAGCCAGCAGCAGAGGATGGAGTGGGAGTGGGGGGGTGGGTTGTTGTTGTGGGGATTAAGGGAGGAGGAGAAAAAAAAAACTGTTACTTTTTTGGGGAAGCCAAAAGAAATGAACAAAGGAGGTTTGTTTGTTGCCTCCCAAGTGTACTGCCATAGGAAGAGGGAATATGAATCCTCACACATCTGCTGCCAATGCACACAGATGTACTGCAAAAGATGCTCACATATGGGGACTTCTGGCATGTAGACAAGCATGTAAACAAACCTAACCCCACACCCACACACACACAGATGCAGGGCTAAAAAATATTGGGCTGATGCAGTCAACACTACAGAGCACTGAAAAGCAATCCAGTTATGACTAAATAAGATCCAGTGGAGAGAAAAGGAGAAATGTCTCATCATTATCTTCAGGGTCTCCATCAGTCTCTACACAGAGTCTTAGCTTTATCTTTCAGTGATAACATACTTTATAACACCACTTCAAATTTACTATGAATTCTTTGCAGCACAGTAAATCTTTCACATTGGGCCTCATGCAAAAACCACTTGTACAGACTGATTTGTTTCTATGTGGCACGTACAAATGATTTAAGAGCTCTTTCTCTTAGGTACCTAAAGTAGTCCAGACCTTTTGTACGAATCATATAGCCTAATTTTTACTGGCATATTTCAGCACAGCAATTTATATATTTCAGTAGTTTTTAGGACAGCAGCTTCAGGATTTACACGCAGGTTAATGTTTGTTGTAACGTCACATATTGTTGGCTGTACTATTCTAACATCCCCCTAGACTGTCTCTTGTTTTAGCCATGGACCACTTCAGAAAGATATTTTTTAGCATCTATATGTCAAACTGCTCGTTCTTTATTTCTGTCACAGTGCATCGTTCCTCTAATGACACATCATTGATAGCTATGTTATTAATATACTTTAAAAACTTAATACCACTACTTACTCTGCTAAACTTTTTATCTGCTGATTTCCAGCAGCAGCACATGCAGCCCCGTGGTATGAAAGCCTTCCTTTCACACTTTTTTTGTGATTGAAGCCTGCCCACAAATGGAGCGGAACAGGCAATTTCAGGGGCGTTGACTCTGCTAATGATCAAATCTCACGACCTCCTCATGAACAGATCGTATTCATCAGGCTGGAATTAGTGATTTACGACAAGTTATGGCAGTTAAGAGAGTTTGGTGAAATGTGCTTCTTGCATGAGGCCCATTCTTTGTTTCACGTTACAAATCAGATCTTTTGAATTCTTTGGCTGAATCATCTTGTTACTTGTAACACTGCCACAGTATCATTTGTGCTGATAAATGAAACACACCAACACACTGGATAATTAATGTCAAGACAACCAATTACACCACTAGTCATTTTGTCATATAACATTTGGTCTTTCTGAGGAATTGCATTCCTGTTTAATTCTGATTTTGGCACATTTTGTGGTATCTATGTCTGCAACTTGCTGTTATTGCTGCCTAGTTTGGCCAGGCCTCCAAATCTCTTTCGGTTTCAATAAAGGTTACATTGAAAAAAGACACTCTACACAGTAGCTACACAAATAGACTGTCCACATTGAAACTGAGATCTTTTTAAGAACCAGACAGCAAGTTGCAGACATCACCTAATTTTTCCCTGATTTTCTTGTCTTTCATGTCGACAGAAACAGGATTTTAATAAGTAACACAACATAACAATATAATAAATATATCATCATGGCAGCATTTATTTTGTTATTTATGTCCGCACTGAATACTGTGTGTGTGAGCGGACCTGGTTCAGGTAGTGGTATTCCTCAGGTTTGAGCAGGTGGAAGGACTTTCTCTCCTCTTCACTGGCTCCAGCCAACAGGTAGTAGAACACATGGTAGTTCCTTCAGACACACATACAAACAATATAAGTTAGAGGGTATATCTCTAAAGCACAAAAACAGTTTTCCTATATTGATTTCTGGAATCATTTTAAATTCCCTCAGAGGTAAACTGAGGACAGCGGGCTTCACATCTCCTCATTTTGCCCAACCATCGCTTAAAGGGGAGACTCCATTCAAAGAAGTGGATTACGCAAAGAGCTTTCTATCTGCAGCCTATTTAATGACCCATACCTACACCATGTAACAAAGTCACACCCTTAACCCCCTGTAGGGTCACGTTTCAAGTCAAACAAAGCAGCAGTGTAGTGCATGGGCTGGAGGTAAGGAGTTGCGCTTCTGTGACAAAGGCTGGGGCTTCGGCCAACACACTGAGATGCAATTTTATTACAGCTGGAAACGAGCTTCAGTTCTCTGCACAGGGACACTTAGTGCCTGATAGAGTCGTGGAAAGTTAAAAAGCCCAGGGAGGATATTAAAGAATTCCTATCTGTAATGGTGGATGGGTAGAAGGATGTTTTAACTGAAACTTGTGTACAGTTACAGAGGCGATACTACAATGTGAGACGTTTGTAATTAAATGTAGTAGTAGTAGTAGTCAAATATGTTGTACAGCTTTAATGTGAATAAATTTTAAACTCTTTAACCTCTATGACAAATTAAAAGACAGATAAAACTGCTGACAATGCTAAAATATGATTTCTCCCCTCTGTATTTCCATATGCTGCAAACATTTAGGTACAATCTTTTCAGATCAGATTCAGGGCAAGAGGCATTTGTTATTTAGTTAGTGAAACTAATAGCACAATATATGAACAAACTAATAGCTAAAACCTTATTTCTAATAATCTCAGACAGAACTATAGTTGCTGAATAAAGACCCTCACATACACCAAGTACCGTACCATCGAGGTCCAGAGTCATAAAGCCCGACAGCATCACTGGAAAGCTAAGTTAGTTCCTTCCTAGTAATTTTTTTTTTCCTACACCGGGGTCGTACAGAGGCAACCTGTCATGACACTGGCTTTAAGATTTAAGATAGTTTGCTGTTTATCATCAGCCTCCCTTCTCCCCCACCTCTCTGCTTCAGGTCTGAGCAGTCTGGGAGGTCTTGTCTTTAGTTTCTACTCTATCAATATGGCCGCCAGGGCCTGTCATCAGGATGAAATAGAAACCCTGGTCCAATCAGAGTTAGAGGGATTAGATGACCAGCGGACAGTTTTACATTGTTTTTTTCTTTGCTTTCTTTACAAAGCCATTATCCTGGTGGGATCAGTGATTTTGTTTTTTAGGGTCGACTGGGAGAAATAAGCAATATGAGACAGAGCCAATTGAGAAGCCAGGGTGTATGGGTTGGCTGAGAGAAGAAAAAAATATTTTAGATATGTAGGTACAGGTGGAAATTCCTGTTTGTGTGTTTATGTCACATCCTGTACGCATACTTATCCAAATTCAGAGGGACACCTGATAGTTTGCAGTGTTAACTTAGCAAAGGGCAGAGGCCTATTTCTGATGGACACCCGATATATCTTCAGCTTGCAGAGGAAATGAAAATTATTTTAGCATTGAGTTTCTTAGACAAAGAACACGTCCGTGCAGAGATATGGATTTGATATCATATCTCTCAAACAAGCGGGAACTTGGCTGTCAATGTTTCTTATTTCTGATTTAGGTGATTTATGACTGCGTCACATCACCCAGGTTCTTAAGGTTCATTTACATTTTAAACATTTAAATTTTGTAAAGAAATAGATTGGTTTAATCTGATTTTCTTTTTAAGAAATTGTTTTCCAGGACCTTTCCCAGGCATTTTCCAGGAGGGACAATAAAGGATAGCACTTGCTCACAAACAAATTCAGTCAAATATATACAGAGCTTTGCTCAGCAACTCTTCATCCATCCTGATAAAACAAGAAACAGACAGCATGTCATCCACAAACCCTGCTGTCTATCTCTGCCTCCTCTCCACTCACCTCTCATTGTGCTCCTGGTACACCAGACGTGATTTCTCCAGCAGGTACTTCTCCACATATGCTCTGAAGATGAACATACACACCGGCACAGAGAGTCAAAAGAGAAAAAGAGCCATGTAAAACAAAAGCTCTGATAACAAATGGGCTGTTATCAACATACAGGGAGGAGGGTTGGAGGAGGTGCAGACTCGTGTTAATTATAAAAGATTTAAAGAAACAGAGGACAAACAGAAGAGAACATGAAAACAATTATGAGGTAGAGTTATCTAATTGTGTTTTTCATAATTTATGAAACACAACTTATTAACCAAGAGATTAACCTCAAGATAACCTGATTAGTTCAGTTCTCACATGTGTAAATTACATACTGTGAATAGCAGCTATAAATTTACAATCAGGGTACAATGAACACTTCTTAATCATAATATTAACTGATGTATTCATACATAGATAAAATTTCATTATTAGTATTTCAGAACACAACATACAAATGATTTATTGCTCTGATTTTATGTGACCAATGTGGGATATTAATTATGTTTACTAAATCATTCAAAATTAAAGTATCAAGTAAGTATTCATAAGTGATTAAATTATACCACTCCACCAAACCGTATTTATAGACGTTTGAACCATGCACCGATTTCTGTGTGTGTCTGTGTGTTATGTGTGTCTCACCCCCTGACAGTCCCACTCTCCTGGTAGTTGACCTGGATGAACTTGCCGAAGCGGCTGGAGTTGTTGTTGTGTGCCGTCTTAGCGTTCCCAAAGGCCTGAAGAGAAAATAGAAAGAGCCACCTTCAGGTCAACATATCATGTTGACAGGTGATAACGGACAGCTTTCATTCTCTATGTACAATGACGGAGAGACAACCTGCTTTTGCCGTAGCAGAAAGATTTACGACTTATAAACAAGTTAGAGCTGATAACAGAAGCTTTTCAGGTTTACAGGGTCTTAAAAATACTTTATTCTAACTTGCAAACATTATGATGGGAACCGAACTCTGAGCAAAGTGAAAAAATGTGTTAAGAGTAGAGGGGAAAGCTACCAATCACAGTACTGTAGCAGAGGTCATGAGGCTCAGGAAGGGGCCCAGAAGAGGCACACACACACACACACACACACACACACACACACACACACACACACACACACACACACACACACACACACACACACACACACACACACACACACACACACACACACTCAAGACACGCCAACCATGAACTAAACTGCCAAATTCCTATAAAGGCAAACACACTCGGAGCTGAAAACAGACACAGTCACAACTCGTGGGAGTCTGTGGGCATTTCTGCTAACACACCCACACACACACACACCCACACACACACCTACACCTACACACAGAGGGAGTCCATCATTAGAGGCCCATCAAGGACTCATTCAGGTTCTCATTAGGAGTCTGATGGTCCCAGAGGAGCTGGTTAGTGAAAGGAGAGGAAACAAGGAGAGAAAGGGAGAGGACAGTAGATACAAAAGAAGTCAAGAGACAAAAAAGGAAACATTTAGACTTTAGACAAAGATGAAGAAGAAAGAGAAAAAGTAGCAGGAGGGGCAATGAAGGTTGCGGGGAGGGAGGAAGAGAAGATAATTCAGGACAGAGGAGATGATAAAAGGAATGAAGGAGGAGTGAGGCAACAAGGAGAAGACAAAACAAAACATGAGAAGGAAGGAAATGAGGACAGTATAGAAGGTCAGAACCAACAGATTAGCTAAAAATGAGATGATAGAAAAGTAAATCAATAAGGTAGAATAAGAATAAAAGAAGAAAGGGAAGAAGTGGGAGAGAGGATGGGGAGGAGAAAAAAGGAAGGATATGAGGAGAAATTTGAGACAGAAAACAGCAGAAGTGCTTTAGTGTGAGACATGAGAGGGGCATTGCAGTTCACAGAAGCATGGGTGAAATTTCAGGCTGATGCAATCAGGACTTTGGAGTTATGATAAATGACTAAATAAGAACCAGCAGAAAAAGGGGGAGGCAAGGAGGAGGGAGGGAGGATGGGGAAAAGACAGAGAGAAAAGTGGGCGTCAGATAATTGATTGTGGCTGCTGGGTGAATACTACAACTCTGGAATAACACGGTTAATAAAAGTAAAATCCTGCTCCTGGATCAGGCTTTGATCTCTCCAATGATTCATTCAAAAACTCCCCCAACGCCGCCAATCTGACACACATTTAACGAGCCAATCAGGACAAACTAAAGGAACAAAACAAGAAATATGACTGCAATACAGTGTTCCTTTTCTCTCTCTCAGTGCCCATCCATCCCTTGATTCCCTCACGCTTCTCTCCTTCAAATCCAACCATCTTTCTTTTCCCTTCACCAGATCCCCATTGAGGTTTTATAAATAATAGTCAGGCAGCGTGTATGGGAGTGGACTGGCAGTGAGATCTTCTTCAATTCCTTCAATCCAAAATGTAAATCGAAACTGCAATTTACATGATAATGACAGAGCTTTCATCCTCGATAATTTCTGGATATAAGAGCCCTTTTGTGGCTAAATGTTTCCAGTTTTGAGTTTTAAGGGAAAATCCACTTCCTGAAATGATTGAGTGAAATGAGCCCAGCTCTAATGGAAACTGTCAATGACAATGACAACCAAACCACTGCTAACAAAAGACACACAGAGGGAAGACATACACTGTGTATGTTTGTGTGTATAGGAGGATGTATGTGTGTACTGTTTGCTCATAATATATGCACTTCTTTTACGCATGTGTGTCATGTGTGGTAGCATGTGCAGTGCTGTGTGTAGTGTTTGTGTGTGTGTGTGAGAGAGAGAGAGAGAGAGAGAACGGGATTAATGAGCAGGACGGCAATGTCTGGATGATTTAGTGGTGAACTCTGCTTCATGGTCAACGCCTGCTGTGACCACAGCACAGGAAAACACACACTGTGAATGGGTGATTACTCTGTGTGTGTGTGTGTGTGTGTGTGTGTGTGTGTGTGTGTGTGTGTGTGTGTGTGTGTGTGTGTGTAGTATGCATACTAAACATTTAGGTACAAAGAGAGAGAATGCACGAGATAGAGAGCGGGCAAACATAAAAACAAAATTTAACAAAAAGACTATTTAATTCTGGTTACTAAATTTACAAATTTACTTCTCAGTAACACCTTGTGTTGCATGTCCTTGCTCTCTTTAGATTTCTCCTCATCTCCTGTTGCTTGCATGTCAATTTTTTTAATCAAGCCAGAAACCCCCCCTACGGCCACCATAAAATGTAAAAACAAAAAAGTCTATTAATCAATTAGAAAATGTAATTTATTATAATGTTTCCTGTTCTGATGAATGTTGAAAGGTGATGATGACAGATTGTTTACTTTGTGTACAGCTGGCTTATTTTGGTTAAAATTAGTATATAGTTGTTGGGGGGCGAGACAGGATGAAGTTCAAGGTATAACTGGAGAAAAGAAGCCTATCAAAGAACATATAATCATATACTTGAATTATTACTTTTTGCTGAATCATATTGTTTTCTTGGTGCCTAGCAGCATTATGTTCATTGACCTATCCTGGTCCCTGGTTCACGAGTTGGGAACCATTGTGGCAGAATGTGTGCTCAGTGTTGCGGTTCAATATTGTTTTCCGTCAAATTCTAAATTCATTTTTTTGTCAAAATATCTGACACCTAACATGCAGCCATAATTTTAAACACTATTTTCTACACATAAATGTATAGAAACATGTCTTGTACATATTTCTATTGCCATAAGTAACATTGTTCTGAACACAATGCTTTGACTTTGGATCTTGGTCTAAATTAATGTCAGGTATTAGAAAACATGGACAACTGTGATTTCATGTTTTCATGTTTCAGATCACGTAGCCTTGAGGAAACATCGAAGAACAAGGGATACTGACTGAGACGTTTGCCGTTCCCACAGACTTAAAAGACTGAATTGTCATTTCAAATTGAAATTTAACGTGACTCAGTACAAACTGAATTAACCTCAGCCCTCACCGTGCATAGCCTGTGGTGCCATATGGAGTCCAGAAATAACCAAGTGTGTTAAAAACAGCTCACCACATCATCCACTAACACAAATCAAAGATACAATGCTTAGCTGACCATATGTTAGATTTTATGTTGAAGCAAATGGGCTGACCCCAAGGCTTAATCCTGCTGTGACTATGTGTGTGTGTGTGTGTGTGTGTGTGTGTGTGTGTGTGTGTGTGTGTGTGTGTGTGTGTGTGTGTGTGTGTGTCCGAAGTCCAAATGTAACACTGGCTCCATACTGACAGTATGCTAATGTATGCTTATGCACCATGTTAGCCCCCGTGGGCTCTTCCACGCTGTCACATTACGTTATCCAGTTGTTTCCTCCACCGCTGCAGAAAAGCCCAGCTCCTCAGCCTCAGAGGAAGTGAGCTGTGGTGCTGCTATTTCAGAACAGGATTTAGCATGTTAAGTGTTGAGTGGAGTGGGAAGATGGGAACTAGCCTATTAATTAGCATGTCAGGACCTTCCTCAAAGCTAGGGCTAAAATCAGCTCAAATACTAATGCTAATAACTCTTTCCATCTCTTTGCCTGTTACCCCAGTACAGCTGCGGTGTTTCCCTAAATGCTATTAAAAAAAAACGTTTGGTGACCTAGATTATGAAAAACAAGGGGAGCCGTGCCAAAACCACTGCTGGGAAAAGCTTCCATTAGCTTGTTTTCTGTGTTTCATATAGTGCTGAGTGGTTAAAATTATTGATGCTGGCTGCAGCGTCCCGATGTCCAGGTGACAGCGATTGCTTGTTTCAGCAGTTTCTTTGTTTCTGCCTTTGTGGATATCCAGGTCAGAGGGAGTTGACGTCTATGTGGGGGACCAAGGTGAGGCTTCACATCTCGAGACTCGAGACTGGTCCCTGACTGACTGTTTGCAAGAAAGGCGAATGGAAACATTGACTCCAGTATGGTGTTTATTTTAAGGACTGTCATTCCAGAATATTTTCCAAGAAGTCTTGTGAACCACCATTTACCAAGAAGGTTAATCTTTGTCTCATTTTGCTGCATGTAAATTTTACGTCAATTACGCTAATTCAACATGACAAAACCAACCTAGAAATCACTGCTCAGCATTCAGCCTTCGCAGGCAGCAGTGCGCAGCAGCACAGCTACATGTTCTGTGTCAGTCAAGCTTACGCACACGCACACACACACATGTTGTATAGAGCAACCACACGCTGAAAGATTTTGTAGCAGATACAGTAAATACCATCGCTTACAATGACACATACACTCAAGCTCACACTAAGCCCATTTGCTGCTTCATTAAACAGCTATAACATGACAGGAGCAGACTGCCAAGTTATACCGCTGATACAGTTGCAGTTGCACGTGTCAAACTGGGACAGCTTCACCACTGTAAAATAGCAATATAGCAACTATAGGACACAGTTCTCTAGAATCATGACTTTAAGTGTCAGGACTTCTAAGTACAAAAACTGTGAAAGCCATTTAAAAAACTAATGAATACCAGAGTGAGAGGAAATAGCTCTTGTTTCTCAAATGAGGGAAAAATTACTCAAGAATTTTTTCAAAAAACAATCAAAGGATTTACTGCAAGTGTGTCAAAGGACTGTCTTTTCTTCCTCTTTTAATAGTTGGACTGCCTATTGCCGCTTAATTCAGAGCAGCTAATTTCAGTCCACTGGGCCATTATTAAAGCGGACATCTGCTCTTTAGTGTTTCTCTGCCCTACAAGCATATTACAGTGTGATTAAAATTTAGAGACAGTCACAAGAGGTTGTAAATTGTAA